GGCTTGGGATGCTTCCTGTAATTGTGGTCTGAGTTGGTCTAACGACTTCGACGAGTGTTTACCCTTCCATTCAATGGCAGTCCAAGTTGCCGGAACTCTTCAGATGGCTAGATCTATGGGATCTGGAAGGCGCCACAAAAAAGCTGCGCACGGTCCAACATTGGCGTTTTCTTTTACTGTCGATGGTGCTATCAAGTACTATCGATTTCATGTGGTTTATTGACAATCCAAGATGCTGTATATCATCCCTAGATTGACCTAGGCGTTCGATCAGGGATTCTCTGTTACGAGCAAATAGTACGACATCACCGATTGGACCAGCTGAGGAAATTAACTGTGTTTCAGACGGTGTGTAATACTTCCTCAAGGGCCATGATGAAGAGCAAAGGAGAAAGTGGATCTCCATGACGGACTCCATTCCCTGCGTGAATCCTCAGGCCGTTGACGATTGAGATCCCGGAAGCATAACTTTACGTAATGTAGAAAAAATGAAGGGGAATCGAAAGAGGAGACTGCGTGAAGCGTGGGAGATGGAATCAAAAGTGTAGCCAGCATTTCAAACATTGGGCAACACTTCCTTTGCTCTTAAGAGAATCGCGATAAAGTCCTTAAGATCGAGGTAATGTGTTCTAGTTGCATTAGATCATTCTATCCGAAATGTATATTAAACGTCGTCCAAGAAGTCAGGCATATAAATAAACAAGTATACGGAAGTGGCTACGACTCCCCAAAGACACCAGCCACGCTTCCTTTCACGCACCAATTAGGAGTTATGGCCTAGGAGTTCCGTGCCTTTCTAGTATGACATCATCGCTTCGGAATGACCGCTAGAACGCCATATTTCACTCTCTCTCTCTCTCTCATCCAATTACCAGCTGGGTAATATAGGAACCTTCAACGGCTACCATGCAGCGCTTCGTCATGAAACCCCTGATCACTGGGAATCAAGTCGTCTTTGACAAAGTGACGCGAAGGAAGTATGGAAGAATTCACTGCTACAATCTGTGGACGTATCATTGCTTTGTGGGGTAATTATGACGCCAGCGTCTCGCAAGTGGATAAGAAACCCCGAGAGAATTTTTCTCAGAGAAACCCAACTTCGAGCAGGGGTGCTGTCGACGAAATCCCGATGCTCCAGGGGACGACCACCCTCAAACCCTACCGATCTTCACTGTCGGGGCGCATGCGGACAAAACGAAACACTTGCTCATGTCTTGTGCAGTAGCACACGACGTTCGCTATGAGAGGTACAACCATATGATGAAGCAATTAGCCAACACCCTTCGTCGCAAAAGGGCTCAAATGATCTCGGAACCCCGCAACCCAGCGGCATTTAATCACCATCAGGAACACCACAGCACATGTAATGGACGCGGCAGTATGCGACACCTACAGACTGACAAGTAGCTACCGAGGAAAAATCGACAAATATGATGTAGGCGCTCATGCGGAATCCAAAGCCCATTTTGTGCGCTCGGATTTTCCTACGGCATTAATTATAATGTATCATCTGATAAACATCAGTAACTAGGGTCATATATTCCCAGCCTCCACCAAGCACATTTATGCACTGGGGCTGACTAAAATTAACATATCCGACTTGTGTGTGTCTACTACGATACCTACATAAGGGGTGCAATGTCACAAAACATCCCATATTGACAAGGTACCCTCACAGATTCGAGAGCGGTTCCGACCCTTTTTACGTTTAAGATGATTATTCTATTATATTCCGCCAGGACCTTTGTCTAAGCTCGCTGAATTTATCTAACACTCAGGTCTTCGGCCATGCATGAAATTGCTGAAAATTATTTTCATGGACCGTGGTCCGCATTGAAGTGAACCTTGGTCGATTCGAGCATCAGGACCCGTAGCTGAAGCAGATGGTATCTGCGTGTTGCCCCCCCCCCCGAAAACAATGCACACCACGCCGCGTTTCGATCTTATTTGATCTCACCAGGTAGAAATAGAAGGCCTCGAACAGGGGAACATTGGGATTTTCAGAGAAGCATAGGCGTGGAAAGTAAATCCAAGTTGGAAATATTTTGGTGTTATTCATACTAACACTGGCACCCGACGACCGCGGTTTCGTCCTGCTTTGGACTCATCAGGTGGAGATAGCCTGAGCTGGGGTGGAAATCATAGCCTAGTGAAGTATATACCTACACCTGATAAGTCCAAACCAGGATGAAATCGCGGTTGTCGGGTGTCAGTGTTGGGGTGAGCAACACCAAAATATTTCCATTTCACCTACGGTCCTTATGATCGGAATGACCGAGGTCCACCTCAAGTGAACGGAGGTCTCAATAGAGGTTGCTTGTAGCAACCAAAACCACACAGCGGATTCTCCAACTCCAACTTTGTTTCCGCTGTACCAAGCGTTTCTCAAGGATCTCAGTGGCATAGTGTTTATGGCGTCAGCCGTGAACCACTAAGCTTTGCTTTCCACCCCAGCTCAGGCTATCTCCACCTGATGAGTCCAAACCAAGATGAAACCGTGGTCGTGGAGTGCCAGTGTTCGGATGAGAAACACCAAAGTATCTCCATTTCACATACGGTCCTTGTGATCGGAATGACCGAGATCCACCTCAAGTAGAACGAAGTCTCAGAGGTTCTTGTAGCAACCCAACCACACAACGGATTCTCCAAGTATAACTTCAAATCCAATTTGGATAAAAGAGAGTGAACATCAAATGATGACAGATTTGAGATTGATTGACAGGATGAAATAAAAGGGGCGGACCAGGTGAGATCCTTCGTCTCTATATGTGGAGGTTGTGAGGTATACTTAAAAAAGGGATATAAACCCATTTTAAGCCGACACACCACCTTAACTACTACACATTCATCGGACGACATCCGTCCTTTATAGTAATTGATGACTGAGACGAGGAAAGGGAACCGAGTGTACGTTTAAGCGCACTCCAGAATTTGTCAATCAAGCTTGCAGATGGAATGATTACCCTATGCTGTTAGAGCTTTGTCCCAACTCCAATTCTTTCGTGGTGAATTTCATGACTGACGCTATCCGGATTTGACTGCGAAAGGATGTCTGCACCTACTGAAGGACTATAAGTGGCTTGTACTACGCCATATGCAGATTCATGCACACACCCATATACAACGTATCCCCAAAAGAATAAGACTGGGAAGCACGAGTGATTCGGAGGTGACCCACATACGAGCCACAAACCCTGGCCTATATTCACGTCCAAATATTTTCATCGTGCATGTACTTACCCAGTGCACTAATCTATGATCCCCGTTTCTCCCCCTAGTGTGTTTAACTGTCCAACAGTTCATTAGTGCATACGACACAGTAAGTTGTTTATTATGTTGAAACTCATACTTAATGCAAAGGCTCACGCAAACGCATCCACCGGAATGTGTGTGCACAGTGTAGTTAATGCTCGTTCATTCGTTTTCACGAAACAAGCAGATTAGTGCACGAAGACGGATCTGTCAGACGAAGTTCCAACTTCAAAAAATCTCAGCAAGTGGAACGCAGCAGGATAACAATGTATACTCAGTTGGAAGTGACTGTTCGCTTAGGCAATCATGCGACGTACGTGACTTCACCGGTTTCCCCTGTAGTAACAATGTGCACTCATCCCACCAGCAGTTGTCACATACCGTAGAACTTCTGAGGACAGGGAAACTGAGTTGCTGATAGAACTAGTCGTCCAGAACCCCAAGTCCGACTTGCCACATAGATGAGGTGATCAAAAGACTAAAGTAACACATGGTTGGTACAGAAAATAATAGAATTTATTAGGTACAACATGGCTTATACTACAAAATCTTCAAAGTAGGACTCTTGTGAAGTCACACAGCGCTGTCAACGTTCTTTCCCTTGTTTGCACGCCATCTGGAACTAATCTGGATGTCACGAAGGTGCATCGTTGTGGCGTCATGAATGACTGCGACAGGATAAAAAGAACGTGCTTCCATGACCCTCTTGAGCGGCGGGAAGAAAAAAGGTCGCACGGAGACAGGTCTGGGCTGTAGGCAAGATGTGGTAAAGTTGGAATTTGTTTCTTGGTCAGAAACTCCCCAGTCGCCAAGGCAGTGTGGTTCGACGCGTTGTCATGGTGGAGGTTCTAGCTCTCGACAATCTCACGATGGAAGTGATGGACCTGTTGACGGTCGTCAAAATTTCGTAAACGCGTTTTGGGTAAGCCTAATTCCTCCGCGATTAATCGCACACTATTTCATCGATCACTATTCAAACTGTCCTGCACACGGTCCACGTTTTCCTGTTTTGGCGGTGGCAAGTCCACTCACATGTTTATCGTCCACAACACTTCTTCCCTCTTTGAGGGCCTTATGTTACTTAAACACCATCGATCGACTTAAAAACATTAATTGTCGTATGCTGTATTTAACATTTCCAACGGCTCTATCCCGAACTTTCGCAGTTTGACGCAAAAGTTAATTGCGTAACGCTGTTCCATTATTTACGACATGTCACTCAGGACAGGGATTCACTACTGCCACGATCAGCACGGTCCAACTGCTTGTCGACCACTGGGGCACTGATTGCAACGCGTAGCTAACAACCCCAGCACTCATGGCGCATGCATGGAACCATAGCGCTTGTCCGATTACTTTCAAAACAAACCCCGCACAGATGGAACAATGGTCTATCGCAATTAAAAATGCACAGATTCATAACCCGTAAGCTGGAAAAGCAAGACATTCACAAAGCAGAGTGAGGAATTTGAAAACGATTTGTTCAGCTCGGCATGTAACTCACCACACATACCCACAACATAGACGACGCTTTATACCATTTGCATTATATGCCATGAGCAGTGTTTATCTTGTGAAGGCAAAACGCTAAAAACCACGTTCGCAAGTCCACGAAATAAGAGTAAGTGAGCTAACATTCGTTAGTTTGAGTGCCATGTGGAGTTTGCAGGTGTTCGGCGTGCCTTGCCTATGAAGTTCACCCAGAACATCCTACGGGAAATGTCGACCCTGTATTATGCCCTGTTCCATTCCAATGACCATTGCAAGCCCTGAAGTAAACGAACCAAGTATGCAGAAAAGATTAATCTCGTAAGTAAATCATCCGGACTGTAATATAAAAATATAAAAGTATGCTGTAGTCGGTGGAAGAATGCAGATGAAGTAACACAAAGATAAGACCGTGGCAAAAGCATATTAAGGATGATGATAATGCGGATAAATCGGATGAAGAGAGCGGTGTGTTACTTTACATGGCGAAGGTGATGATAATGAGGGTCAAAAGGGTAACGAAAAGAGACGGGGTTGACAAAGTTAAACGCCTAATGGAAGACCGGCAGATAGTTGAAGTCACGCGGGCGATACTTTGGAAACGGCGCAGTCAGGCAGGAAGGCATCACAACGACTGTGGGTAAAGGGGATGAAAATTGGGGGACGGCAAAACCACGATCAAACTGCATGCGATTTGTATTGATCTTGATGTATGTGTTTCAACTGCGTGTGTAAGTTATCCAGTTCCTTCTGCTTGGCTGCTATGCTGGATTTGGTTTCGATCACCTGTGACAGAGACAAGCAAGTTAAAAATGAAGGTGAACAAGATGAGAAGTTGAACAGCATCGGCCAATTCATTGAAGGAGTACTCCCAAGGTGAATTCTTAGATGAATACAGGATTGGGTGTAACGCAGGCTTAGCCATCGACAAACCCATGTAGCGCAATAACGTGCACTTAATGTCATTGATCAGCATGAGACCTGTACTGGTGGAAGATGCAAGCGAGAAGAATGGAAATAAGAAACCTGTGCTCAAAACGCAGCAAGGTTGTGACTATAAATAATACTAAATGGATGGGTTAGTATAAACTTCCAGTGCATGATGTCAGCAACTGATTCTTTGCATTAGTGATTTCAACATAAACATTAAAAGTAAGAAGGCGTTCATCGATCAGTTCCGGGATAGACAGTCACACAAGCATACGGAAAAGCGTTAGAAGGCCGCTTCACTCATTTGTGACTCGCCAGCAGTGCGCATCCCCGGCCCTACCATAAACCGAATCCATAGCTTGTAGACACAGGCCGTTCATGCCACAGTGCCAAACTTTTATGAACAGTAACCAGCAACGACATAGCGCGGCGCATCCTCCACCACGTCTTCAAATTCCAACCATTTTCTGCATCAGCTGTCACGTAGGTTCTCAAAGGTCACCCTATCTGATACATACAGCAGGGCGGATAAGCGAAAGTATGCTGGCGCCACCCAATTTTCTTTTTCACATATTTCTCTTACTCTTCTCCTTACCCCCATTACTAACACTCGTTGCATAGTTCGTAGCGCAATTTATAGGAGCTACCTTCGCGCACCACCCATTGGGTGCCTATCGACAGCAGCCCTGTTTCATTGGCGATGTTCAACGTTTGTACTCTAAAACAAATTGGTCAGTAGGTTTTTTGTGTTTGTCGCAGCCAGACACCCACGGCCCTTTCGTCCTATTGGGACACGTCAGTAGCGCGAACCCGCCGGAGTTGAAACCACGACCTTACTCTTGCGAGCCAGACTTAGGCCACCGAGCCATGGTTGACGGCGGTGGACCCCCAATGACTGATATTTAACTGTGATATACTGCGGCTCATCTTCCACTGTCATGCATGTTATGAACGTACAGAAAACAGGGTTGGCCACCAGAGCAACGACTTTTTTGTCAACAGGCTGTACTCATATGCATGTTGGACACACTGGGAAATTGACGTGTATAGGTAAAAATTCGTCACATCTAGACTCACTCAGACAGCCATCACACGCTCGGAAAAGCACTGTAAGCGCATTTCATTCTTTCGGGAATAGTCAGCAGTGCGCAATCCATCGGACGCTGGTAGGGTCCGAAGCCGCAACTCGATTGTTGCCAGTCCGTGGTTGAGGCCACTGAGAGACGGGGGACGGTAACGACCATCGTGAATAAGTTACTAGTAACGTGCAAGTCAGTGGATAGTGAGCGGCGCTATAGCACATCAAGTAACTTATACACGATGGTCGTTGTCGTCCCCCGTCGCTCAGTGGTCTCAATCACGGACTGGCAACAGTCGAGTTGCGGATTCGAGCTCTACCAGGGTCCGATGGATTTCGCACTACTGACGATTCCCGAAAGGATTAAACGCGCGTACAGTGCTTTTCCGGGCGTGTGATGGCTGTCTGAGTGAGTCTAGATGTGACAAATTTCTACCTATACCATTCAACTCCCCTTAGTACTCTTCTGCAAATTGACGTGTGTTGTGTGTCCGAAACTAGGATCAATGATCCTCGCGGGTTTCTGAATTAACTGCGCCCAGCTTGTCCTCTCACTATTGGTCACATGCGACCGGAGACGCTAATCTGGCAATCACTAATCACCCTGGGGGGGGGGGGGATCGGTCTTCGTTTCGAGTCTGAGTCGTCGTTGGGTGATTGGATTCCCGTGAACAGCAGTGTATGTGCAGTCGGTTTAAGGACAGCAACTAAGGTTGATTCACGAAGTAGCGCTAGATGCTGTTTGTTTGTGTACCCAGTGACTAGTTCTAATGCGATCAAGTACACCATTAATCAGGAATTGAAAACGTTGTTTCGCAGCGTTACCATTTCAGATACCGATGTTGATGATGAATGCGTAAGTAGGTCGTCTGATCTCTTCAAAAGCTCAGGATGTAAGTATGGACTTAACTCCGACCGCACGGATAATGGCGAGCGGCTGACGAAAATGTGCCCGGAGCACCGGCTGTTCCATAGTGGCACCGCTTTTAGACACAGTGCGCGCCGAAGTGCCATTTAGGGCCCCCTCAAAGCTGGCCAGTGAATGACAAAATTTTATCCCTTTGCCACAAGTTACATATGGCGTCGTTACATCCTTGTTCTGGAGTACATGCGTCGACTCTGATCATGCCTTGGTACGCAGTCCTTTTCTCCACGAACTCTATCGGGATGCGTATTAAGCGCAGCTTTGGTTAGCGACTGGGAAGCTATCGTATTTCTGGGTCAGACAAGCTTAACATGTTGCATTGCGTACCGAACTTCCGCTCTCGTCTTAATGACATTAGGATCCAGTGGAATAGGATGTCGGCCGCCTTGCACGACGTGGAAACCTCTGCTTGCGACAGTATCAGTTGTCACCGCCCCAGTCACTGGAGATCCGAGAGGGACGTGAGCCTATTGGAATCTAGAAGACTCACGGCTGACTTTGAGCACATTGTGACTAAGCGGACTATAAGACGAGAACTAAAGTGGGGCCTACGTGTCGACAGTGAAATCGGGTGGACCAGTAGAGCTCAAGAAATGGAGGCAGGAGCAGTAGACAGTTATCGCGAGATCGTCCAACTGATCCGCACCACTGGTCCCAGGAAACCGAGCGTCAGTCAGGGATAACACGCATACTGATTAACAACAAAGAGTGCTGGTTGGCCAATGCACTCTCGAAAACAGTTTAGTTGGCCGCCTCAGTCTGTATCCCTTCCTACTCAGGTGATGCCTATTGAGCAATGGCCGGTTAGTTTAGGTGCTCCATCGAAGGCTGAGGTCCGAAACGCGGCCACAGCCCTTATTCGGTTTCGAGCTACTCGCCAAGATTCCCTCATAGCTGCCCCATTTCAGAGTGGTGGTGAGGTTCTCTGCAAAGAACTGATCTTACTGTTCGAACAAGTCTGAAATAAAGAGACCATCCCAGCTAACGAATGAATCGATTATAGTGACAGTATTTAAAATGGACAGTCACGCTGACGGTGCTAACTATAGAGATATTGACTTAACACCGGAGGTGACAAAATTACTAACCTCAATTCTTGTTCGTCACCTAACTTCAGGACCAGAATCCTGGATCAGGGGACAGCAGGCAGGTTTCCGCGTAGGACGGGGCTGTGCAGACCATATATTCACTCTGAAGCAGCTGACCGCAGATCGACAATAGCCGTCTTACTCGATTCCAATAGTGCGTTTGACTCAGGCAACCAATGCATTCTATTCGAAATGCTTACGCGGTAAGGTGTTCCCATGGAATATGCAAACACTTTAAGTGCTCTGTACTAGAACACTACGGGCCACATCAAGGTCTACGGTGACCCGTCGGATGACTTTCGGACACGTTTGTTTAACTTCGTCGTGGATTGTATCATATCTCATGATGCAGGCGTTGAGATGCTGTCTGGTGAAATACTAGTTTATCTTGATTATGCGGACAATATTGTCTTGAGGTGGCCCAGTCAACCTTAAATAGACTTTTTAGTGTGGTCCCATCATTTGGCATGTGCAAGTGTTGTCGCAAGACCACCAGCCAATTGACGACCCATCGGGGTAATTGATCAGTACACTTACCTTGGCAGTTGCATCAGCAACAACGGGCGCATAACGAATGAAGTCAGTTAACGCACTGCAAAAGTTAGGACTGTCTGCTTGAGTCTGCGGCGTCAGATAGGAGTTTCCCTCAGCCTGAAAGACCATGTTTACGAGGCCACAATGAGGGCCGTCCTACTCTATGGGATCGGACGCGCCTTCAACCCTTTGATCTTTGCTGCCGGCGAAACACTGATAATATCGGATGACACCAGTGTGTCCGCAACCTTGATGCGCGTAGGCGAGCGCTAGGTAGCGATAATCAGGCTAGTTCTTTAGAACAACAAATAGCACCGAGTTAGTCGCGTTGGTTTGGGCACGTGCTACATATGCCCGGTGACCGCTTACCGAGGACGGCCTTGTTTTGTTTGCCAGATGTAAAGTGACGCAAGACTAGAGGTGGGTAAAACTTAACTTGGCAGCGGGAAGTGTAGTCACTCACGACCAAACTCAGTGCTGTCGGTCCGTCTTGCTTTCCAGCATGGAGTCCACGTGACCCGCCTTGTGCATGGCTCGAGACGTTACAGTACATGGCTCGCAGTCGGCACCAGTGGCGACTGCCGTCTCTTAGTCGGACTGTCTGTTTAAAGTGTGGTTAGTGTCGAGTTATCCGCGGGGTAATGGCTGATTATGACGCGGAAGCTGTCTCGCCGATACCGGTTTATGTTTGCACGATAGCCTACCGTTTGTGACGGTACGCCGTTGACAAGTGTAGGTACTTCGACCCTGAAGGTTTGCTTAGGGCACAAACGTTTCATGCTAGGTCTTTCCTCCCTCTGTCTGTCATTATTCATCGTTCTGTAGATCACCGTGGTTTTGTATGACAGCGAAGCATCAGTTCAAATAGCTGATGCAATGCTGTTGATGAGGATGTGACATCTGGTGAGTGCAAAGTACAAGCATTTCAGACTAATAGCCGAGGTTTGACAATAAACCTTATGGCACAGTACTGGAGATGTGTTCAAACGCGAACTGCTTGCATGGTATGCGTTGTTTGTCAACATAACACCCGGTAAGATAACACCACAGAGTGGTTAATGGAAGATGCAGAAAAAAGACATAAGGAGATATGGGCAAAGGAACGGTTGAGTTGGTGAGTACCTGGATAGAGTTAGAGAGCGTGGTCACATACGTGTTTGGAGACGCTTCTGATAAGCCATTGCATATTTTGTGAAAATCCCTGTCGATCTAACTTAGTTTTTACTTACTCCCAACGGTACCTAATTTTTGCAGGTGACGTGTTATGCTGACTAGATTTATCAAACTTCAATACTCGGACCACGGTTGACCAGCCGAACAGGACTGAATCGTTGAAATGATCCTGAAAGAGTAGAGGTGTAGTTCAAGGCCAATGGACTGGATCTAGTCAACACTACTCCCGTGAGTTGCTGTTGTGATATAATGCAAGGTGTATTTACTCGAAAAGCCAAGAAACATGAATATGCCCTGTAGAGTGTTAGTCGTAAACAAAGGTTCACTATTCAGGGTCGACACCTATTCTAATTCCCATGTGGTAGATACCCCAGAGATCATGCTGGTTGCCTACCCAACGGGCGATCTGAATGAAAATGGGCCAACCGTCGAAAGCTGATCAGTCGAGCAGCAACACCCACACGTGTGAGCGAGAATCGCCTTGTAATCCCGCATGACCAATTAGACCGATCGATGAATTTGCTAAGTTTACGCCAGCTGCAGCCAATCAAGGAAGAACAAATCGGAATGGCTCAAAGGAGCGTAGCTTGACTTATAAATAATGTGTTACCTTCTGATCAAACCGATTATGATGGCAGCCTAGTCTTCGTTCTCATTTCCGGAGGACCACTACGACAGTAGGCATCAGCAGTAAGCTGCACCAATGCTTCGTAGCCAAGCGACTACCACCAGACGCACGTCGTCTACTTATAGCGTTAGGTCTCCGCACGTACGCAGATTCGAATCGGTGACCACGAGGTTAAAACGCAGATGCCTCAATGCTTCCGGATACCATGTGATAAATATCAGATGAAGCTGTTAATGGGGATGCCCGTTTGAAGTTGGCACACGGCTGGAGACGCAACACGTCACTAGCACTGGACCATAAACCTCATTTTGACGCAGTTCGAATGCCTACAAATGCAGACGCATGTTCTGTGCTCGTTGACAGTCGAGCAGAGAAACAAGTTTAGAGTAGAAGTTAACTTGGGGAATCTCTACTATCCTAAACAAAAAGATGTGAAAATGTATAAGGGCGGTGCCGTGCTGCGGTAGAAAGAAGCTTTCAACCCATGCAGCATAGTAACTCCCGAGTTTTGGGGACGGTGTTGCTGTCACCGCATCAGAGAGGAGAGGGGAGCCCCATTAAACGACGAACCTTGCGATCGACGACTAATTACTACAGCAGTGGTCCAAAGTGGGGCACGCGCCAACTGTGAAGTGGTAAGGTTCGCTGTGAAGGTACATTGAGTTAGTAGATAGAACAAGAGGGCTGTAAATGGTGTATTGTGAGCAACAAGTCATAGTTCATGAAAGTGAAAATAATCAAGGGCGGTGATCTATTCCATGAGAGCTATCCGGAGGATGATAAGAGATGGGGAAATGAGAAACACTATTAATGTATGGTTGGCAACAATTTATCTGCTTCGTTTCCTTTTTTTTCAGCATTCTGATCAGAAGGGTGTATAAAGAATGACTTAATCCGATATTGTTCCGAGAATTTCTGATAACAGACAAAGCGTAATCTTTCAACCTCGAGCCCAGTACAATAACCCAACACCAGTTGCGTGGGTGGTGATTTTATAACAGGAACTCTCCAGACTGTTTACCAAAAATGAAGAATTCAAAACGGTTGCTCATGAAGTGTTCAAGAATAAAGATTTCAAAATAGATGTCATATGGTTTTCCTACCCCAAAACTGAGATTCCAGGAGCCGCAAAAGTTTAGTGCTGCAAAAATTGCATTACAAGTTCGGTAAGACTGGAGCTCAAGGCGAGATGGTTTCCGCCGGTGTAGCGCTCAGAGAAATCGGAGTTCCATATGCCCAACAGCTGTGAGCAAAATTAATGGGTGTGTAATCGAACTAGGTAAGTAAATGAGCCATCCATCGCATTGTCCATGGAAACCAAAAACAGGGAGTGAAGATACTTTGTTGGAAAGGTACCACAGTTCGTAAAGACGATGTTCTGCTTAACCTTGGATGGAGTGCCGCCAGGTGAGGTAGAAGGAAAATGGGTGAGCACATAGGCGCACACATCCATGTGACCGTCGTGCGCTGATATGAACGGCTAGCAATTGAGGGTAACCATTCCACTCAGACAGGAAAAGATAAGGGGCTGAGAAACCGATGCCAAAGAGAGGAAGATAACAATCGTAATGAGGCAGCGATTGACGGCAGCGGATAATTTTGCACCGAACCCTAAGAAAGGGATCATGATGTAGCTAACTACTTGCATGTTGAACGTTAATGAAGGTCCAAAGTGACTCTCGAGGGTCCAAGGGGGCATCGTAAGGTAGCGCGAATCAAAACACATTAGATGAATTTCTGAGCGCTCGCTGCGTGATCGGATCGGAAAACGCCCAATATTTGTTGCATCCCATGACCGCCTACTTATAGGGCCATTGTTAAAGATAAACGGGAAAATGCTGGTAATGCCGAAGCAACTGGTAGAAGCCAATATAACATGCGAATTGGATTACATCGGAAGCAGCTTGGAATTCAATGAATGCCAGGTTCACAAAGCTCAACAAGTGACGGAGCTACAAACAAAAGCCACAGCGTAGTCGAGGGGAGGTGATCGATTCATTTGGACTAGAGCCGCGACGGTCCAAAAACAGCAGCACTGTCAGTCATGTGAATATAGATTGGATTCATGTCACGTAAGATGAGTGAAAATCAAACTAATGCAAAATAGTGAGGGGGGTTGGGTAGAAAACGGCCCAGCAGGAAATAACAGTAGTGGCGCTCTGTCGATTAGCTCGACTTATTGGTAATGATTTGAGTAGTGATAAACAGGAGCGGCGAATAACCATTGCGAAAACGAGAAATACCCATTTAACTGAACAATACTCACCTGCCGCATCGAGGCAACCACACTGGTGTTCAGATTATCAAACGACCGGGTAGTCGACTCTTTCACTTCCCCAGGTTGCACAGTGTGGGTCGACGAGGACTGGACGATACGAACCAGGTTGTCTGTAGCTCGCTTGACTGAAGCTGCGGCCTGTCTCAACCCGATACAACTTCTCGAGGTTGGGTCAGCTTTGGCAACGCACGCCACGACTAACTGAGCCGTACAACCAGCAGTTGTTTGCGCGGCGCATATCAGTGCCTCTGGTTTTCGTTTCCCAGCGGCACCTGATTCCGAATCACAAGGTTCTACGACGCTGGTGCGCACAGAGACCATGGCTCTAGCAGACTCAACGACATAATTGGCCGCAGCGGCTACGTAGCGAGCCTGGAACAGAAAGATATCGCAAAAATAGCCCCAGAACTAGTCAATGTGGTGTGAATAGCATGAATCCAATTACGGAGTAGGTTCTCTTCTCATCCGGGATGGAACTTTGGATTTTCGAGCCCAATCGTCAAAGTGGCATGGTAGCGCCATAAACAAACTGAAAAAAGAAATGCCCACAGTAATCAACGCGATGAGGTGTTACCATGAGTGTACCTTTGAAAAAACCGACTGGAAATACGGACCACGAACCGCTCATGTCTATCACCAGTAAACATGGTACAAAGTTCCGCGACTTCTCCAGTGCGCACTTTTATTCTAGTTTACCAATATGACATAGGATTTTTCACCAACAATGGAACATCATCAAGGAAGGGTGGAGGTTGCAAACATGCTGAATAGCAGATGGAAAAAGGGGCCGGTATTGCGAGATGTGATGTTGAAGGGGAGGAGAAAGGCATAAATCAGATTTCAAACAGAGCAATACTCAAGTTTTGTGATGAACCCAAGATCCCTGATGACTGGTAGTGTAAAAGGAGCCGTGCATTTATCCAGATATCATATCGCAGAGGCATATTGAGGGCAAGTATCGAAAGCCAACTCCAATGATGACCATAACATCGGAAGAGCAGGGAAACTGATATGCTGACCCTGGATGCGGGGGCTAATCAAGCATCATGTATTGGAATGTCTAGTCCGACGTCCACATAAAATTAACCAGACCAATGAAGTGATGAGGACACCTGATGTACCAGGTAGAGCATAGTGGATTTACGCCTCGATGGCTAGGGAAGCGTTTGTAATCATGGTGAAGCAGCATAGCTAGTAGGTAAAAACTGTGCAACCACTCAGCACTGCCAGAAAGACAGTGGTGCTGACGAGGCCAAGATGATACATGGAAAAATGCGGTATCCTATAATGTCATTCACTGCAAAAGCAAGTGCTGAATTCCGGCTCTTCGCAACTCCATCAGAGCTTACACCCAGGCAAATCGACTCTCATCGCAACCGGTGAAACGAAAAGGTGAGCTACGTGGTCTTTGTCAGAGATCGGAGGAATCCGGGAGAAACTCTGTTCTTTTTTTGGAGAAAAGCAACATCGTTTCTCTGGCACTGATCCTAGTCCGGTGTAGCGCAACGAAAACGAAAGGATAAAAAACTCGATGTCAACCACACTTGTATGTCACCGTCTCATCATTCCATGGACAACCGTGAGGAATTTTAAGCAAACTGATACCAACAAAATGGCACGTGATCTCGGGACTTGGATGCCACTGAGGTGGAAATCTAGCCAATGCCAGAAGTCCATGTGCGGTGGAACAATAATGTGGTGATCAAAAGTTAGAATAAAAGCCGATGAAGTTAAAATAAGATGAAAATGAGTGGAAGGGATCGGGTGCAGAAGAAAGCACAGAAAGGGCGGTGACATCATAAATGGGTAGACAATGAAGAGGAACTCGGAATGGTAGAGTACACTGAGTATTTTGCAAGTCAGGAGTAGAAAAACGAGAAGAAACGACTGCAAATTTGTAAACCAGAGTGAATCGAATTGATCTGAAAGCCAAGTTAAGTCGTTAACCGAGCGGGAGAGGAACGAACCCAACTACGGCGACTACCGGCACTAGGTAGCAAAACCAGCTACGGTGATTGACCCGCATGGTGCGACGACGTGACAAAGATGGTCCGAGATTTCGATGGCAAGTCCCTGAACGGTCAGTAAACGTGTTGGAATCGAGATGAATTAGTAAGGGATAAAAAAGAATAAGTCGTCAGTTGTACGCCGTAACAGCGTTTCGTTGCCGCGCGTGGGCTAAGTATACCGCGAGGACGTCCGCCCCTACGTGGATTCGAATCGATGACGCTATGATTGCAAGCCAGCCGTGCAGACCAGTCGGCCATCGGCCGACAGATGAATTAGTTCTAGTTCTAGAACTAGAGATGAATTAATACTAGATAAATAAAAAAATCTGCACACCAAGTGATCAGACTGGCATTGAGAAACGCAATTAAGTGGACTTTGAGCTTACCGAGAGAACTGGTGAACTGAAGGTGATGAGTCACCAGTAAAGGACATCTTAGTTAACCAGCATCAGTGTACTCGAAAAAGCAAGTCGGTGAGATGTTCATGGCGTTCGCAGTTGCTTTGTGCGCCTAAAGGAAGCCCTACGTCACGCTGAGTAGAGTATTGTCAGAAGTAGTTCAGTTTGACTCTAGCTCTCTGAAGTGTGCCGCATTCAGATGGCAGGTTAAATGATAGCCAGTTAACTGAATCAGAGTTCTGAAGCACAATCCCATTTCTCAACCGTAAGAGACAGCGGCTTGCATACCCTCGAGTCGCAATCTGTAATGTGTAGCCCCCAGAAAACAACTGATACATCGATTTCAGGTGGTGTATGAGGGAATATTCCAAGCCAAATAGTGAGTGGTAATAATTCGGTAAGTTCACGAATGACGGAATGAGCGAATCGTTGAGGAACCTATTAGGCGCCAATTGTGTTGAAGCATTTCGCTAACGAGATAAACGAATGAGAAGAGAACAAATAGGTTCTTACAGACACGGCGATCTACAGCAGGCACTTTCGCTACCAAACAAAGGATAGGGCAGCGTCATATGTGACGCAGATCAAGCTCAGCTGTTATCCTCAATTTAAAAAAACGCGTTCGGCAATCAGCAGCTTCTAAGTGAAGTTCATCAGGGCTGACTAATCTATCCGTTTCTATTTAAAGGTATCACAGAATCCATCAAGAAATGTCAACTTATTTGGTCACACGATGAAGGCATCGAGCCTTGTACAAGAAAAACTAGGCTATTAAAGATGCAACGCAGATTTACTGTTTGACATTCGCGGGAGAGGGAGACAACCCTCGATAATTTCTTAAATGCTCTAACGCTTTCGTCTGCGCTTTGCAGTCTCAAAGTGAAGGGTGTCGTTGCAAAATCAGCAGTAATTCACTGCTGTTCAAGCCATGTAGACGACGAACCGGACAGCCAGCTAATCCGCCAACAGTGACCGTTGCATTAGGAACTACATGCGCTAGACTGCAAGAGTCAGCTCATACATCGTAGGAGTTAGAACTACCTGTATGCAGTGTGTATCTGCGCACAAATATTCATAGAACCAACAACCACAAAACCTACTGCACCTAGTCACCTGACTATCCTTACTAGTGGCAGAGACGGAAGGTTGTAACCATAAGGCACGATTAGAGCCACCCTCCTCCGCGACAGTAAGGGTTGGACCCTTCCGTCTGAACATCACAATCACCCTCGCATCTTCTTTCGTCGTTGCCTAAAGAGTAATGCGAGTGTCGGGAAGCATAATTGTGTTCTCGGAGTTTAGATCCGCAGGCGTCTACTACGCAATCGTAATGAAATGAATTTCAAGGACGTCAGGCCGTGCTGTAGATGCGTCTCGCCTCACATGGTGAAGTTTAAGCGGCCAACACTGAATTTGGCTCCAGACAACTTAGGACGGGTGGCAACCGGCTCCAATGAGGTGTTTTCTGTTACGTTCCATCAGATATATCGGTTTAAAGTAGTGCTGGTTGGGACACTGGACAGCAAAACCTGCAAGAACGCTGTCTTGCAGACACCATATTGTATACACAAAATAACCAGTTGTTTATGTCTGTGACTTGCTAACAAGATACTTTGATTCTGAATGCTTACTGGGAGGTTATTAGGTCCCTACTTGCCCACATATCTCACTGGTGGACATAAAGATGACGAAGTTCGATTTACCGTTACATGATATTGAGGTGATAATGAGGATAGTCGATGTATTTTTATCGTTGTTTGATGAGGAATAAGAGGATGTCATCGCGCCAAGGAACTAGTAGGAAAATAATATGGTTCTATTAAAAGCCGGAGGGGTGGGGTGACTAAAAGATAAAATGTTGAAGCAAACAGGAAAAGTGACTCCAAACCGAGAGTAGCACGAACCAGGTGCACTGAAACAAATATGTTCGATAGTACCATGGAGAATGAATGGAAAGAGTCGACTTCAGTCAAGATGAGTATGCGAACTGAATCAATCGTGTCCAAATATGTGATATTTTACATGAAGAAAGGTTGCAGGAGGGTTATACAACCAAAAAACACAGAGTCCGATAACTCACTGCAGATATCAGACCCTGAGCCCATTGAGAGTCGGGTTCGGTTACGCTGCTTTGCTCTATGTCAATTGGTTTTAGCCGGCCCTGCTGAACTAACTCTCGCTGAGCTGCCGCTGCCCAGTACATCAGGCTCAAAGTTGTGCGAATCACGTGCTGAGACGCGGCAAGCACGGTGTCGATATCTTCACTCGAGTCGGTACTCACCACACCGTCAAGATTTTGGGAGTTCGATGCCGAAGTAGTCAGGGGACTCACAGTAATGGCCTCATCAGTCGTGCTGGATGGCTGCGATGAAAGATGGAAAAAGACCGTCGATGGAGGAAACGGCCCAGGAAAACAGAGTGGGGTATAAAGGAAATACACCCAAATAAACTGCCGAATGATGTAAGCTGAATCTAAGCGTAACGTGAATTCAGAGAAGAACCACTGAAACTGATTGGAAAGATGTGAGTAGACAATGAACTGAGGCAGTACTCGAGGCACAATCACACCAGCCCCAATGAGTATAGAGACCATCGACACCCCATTCAGTTCGGTGGCGGCATCCAAGCACTTATCCTAAAGCGACCGACAAGCATGCATTGAAGCATTGTGTCTCGAGTAAAAACTTTATCAAAGCTGAAGGTGCGCGAACATTACGATAGATCAACGATTCGATCTCCTCAAAAACAAACGCGATACATGCAGTATATAGATGAAGTTGCAATGGTGGAACAAACGGTAATGAACAAAATATAATCTAGTAATCAGGACCACGGCAATCCAACTGGTTGCCCCAACTGTTGGTGTGTCCCAGCGTTGGACAATGCTTCGTGATCAGTAGCGCTACCCCAATCGCCAACCGCTCCTGTAACGTCCGATGTATCCACATGAGTACGAGTCGTTAAAAGGTGCTTTTTATCCATTCCTCTTTGTTGTGACATCGACTGAGATGTTCGGCCACCCTTTGGGTCGGTCAATGGTCAGTGCTTCCTATGTGGACGTCACCGCGATTGCAGGTGAACTGGTAAGTAACATGACAATCCAGACTGCGTGACAAGCTACTCAGATTGTTGGAATTCAGTAGTCTTCGCGTGGTGAGAACGAGTCGCGAGTGAGCGGTTGCGTAAGTGCGTTTTACAGTAACGATGTGTGCAGCAGTCAGTTAGATAGCCGTGGTCCTGATTAGCGAACTGTTCCATGACTGCTTGTACCATGCGTGGATTGCGTTTGTGATTGGAAGTAACAATCGAAATGTGGAGTAATCGCAATGGCAAACGCTTGAACTGACGTTTGTCACATGTATCTCATGGTAATATGAATAATTTGAATCCACGTTATTAACGGGTGTTGGAGTACATTCTATGTGTCTGGATTGAGGTACGCAATCTCGATTGAGGCTGCAGTTCGCATTGAAACACACTAAGAGAGTGAGGAGTGAGTCAGTGCTGACTGCTGGCCGATCATACCTAGATTGTGGACGTTAAAAGAACCAATGTGATTTGAAACTCTAGGCAGCTGCGAGGTCAGTGACAGTCTCTTGCACAAAAGACGGGGAAGAAGAGAGGGGAGCGGATAGAGAAGAGGGAGTAGTGTCGACGTGGTCGAGAGGGCAGATGACACTTTTCTGGCTGCTCGTTCACAGAAAAAGGTTTTGTTCGAGGTGCCCTGCCGCTAACCTTTGACTCAACGATCTGACCCACAAGGCAGTGGGGTAGATGGAGGTTCACTTGAGAAACTCCGCCGGAGCCTTAGGCTCAGTAGCCTGAACCACAATGCAGTGGGGAGCAAGTCCACCTCGGGGGTGATTGCAGAGCCCCAAAGGTATCTCCTCGAGACCTGTCATGCACAGCCTTTGAAAATTTAATACAGTGCACACGTGTTTTACGACCGTATTCTGCTGCACATCTGCGACCACAGTCAGCCGCAGGTGGGAGTTGGCAGGCTTGTACCAATTTGACCAGGGGCTTGAGATGGGCAGTGGCAAACCATTGAGCGCCGGTAGGTACCCTCCAATCGTCAGAGACAATGCGTGGCGCACGTGCTCTACGCCAATTGAGCTGTGAGCTGATAAGCCGTAGACTTGTTGTTTCTCATGACTAGGCTTGAAAGGAAGATGGCCATCGACCTCTCGATAAATGAGTTAGCTGTCTGGCATGAGTGGCTCTGAAGGCACTTGGAAAGTGCCACCCAGCATAGTACAATGAGTCAGGTGAGTACGCAAACCATCGCAGCACTCTAAGGTGCAGTCTTGTTGCGATGGTCTCCTGCTCAATGGACAGAGAAAAAAGCTGCAATGGGAGAGGAGGGGAACAAGGACAAAAGGCATCGACGATGGAGTCTTGTTGGTAGTTGTACATTTCGAAAGAAAGGGTTTATTCGAGGCATTTGACTCAACAGTCTGCCCCGCAAGACGGTGGAGTAAACGTGGGCTAGTTCAAGGGACTTCATGTGGAACCTTTGACACAGTACGGTAATCCAAAAGCAGCCAAGAGCAAGTTTAGCTTGGGAATGTGACAGCAGAGTCCCACTGGGATCTGTTTGAGACCTATCAAACGTTTTCACGTCTTCACCCTCCCCAATGGTTTGTCGATGTAACAGACGCTGGCTGACGACCATGAACCCAGCGCGTATAAGTTGCGAAAAGTGAATAACAAGCAACTGTAGAGACCGCAGTGATTGATTAAGGTTAGATGAAACAAGAAAGAATGTTCTTGAGTTGGTGGTGAAGAATCATCCCAGAAACTCAACCATATTCAGATCCGACAAAGTTAAGTGGTTGTCACCGAAACCGCAGTCAAGTGAATCATGGCATTTACATCAGTAAGCACGGCATTAGCATTCAGTCGCAACTCGCGGTCGCAGTAGACAGCGCACGTAGAGATTGAGCATAGCTGTGGAAAAACGAGGTCTGACAGAACACAGCAGAATATACTGTCGAGTAGCCGACATTATGGGGAAATGTAGCACACTTTCACATGCGAGTGGTGATCTGATGGTCATTGGTGGACACCAGTGCGTGACCTGTGGGGAAGTATGTGTCAGTGGCAATGGAAGATAGGCATCGATGGTTTCCCAACTCGATAACGATAATGAAACCAAGTCCTGATGATCATGATCAGTAAACACGCCAGTAAACAGTAAGAAACACTTCAGTTTTTGTACCGTTATCGCGTCCATCGTGTCCTATGCGACGGTCAGAGTATCAAGTCGTTTGAAGAGAAGTCCAGTGTGTTGCATAGACAGAATACTGACTGGAAGCGCGGGTCTAGACAGAAGAAGGATTAGTTCACAACGAAAGTATTTGGTTCAGAAATCTAACTGCAAGGTAGTGTGTTTGACGGTTGGCTAGATCAATCAAATTACGCAGTACCGATGCCTCGGTGCCATGCGAGCATCAGCCGCGTGCGGGCTGGGTATACAGCGGAGTTACTTGCACCTACGCGGATTCGAACCGGTGGTCTCCGGATAACAAGTCAGGTGCGTAATCCTCTAGGCCACCGACCGCCCCTAACCTGGAGGACTAGGAAACTGCGTTTGTCTGGCTTCTAATCATTCACCAACCTGGTGCATAAATCAATGGAACGTTGAGACACGTAAACCATTGTCTGATCGAGATGGTGATCTGTGACCGGAATACAGCGGAAAGCGTTGGCCGAAAGGTGGCCAAAAATATCGGCGTTTGAAGTGGACAGACAATGAAAAAGGATGGCCACCGGAATAATACAGCATGCGGAAAAATCGCCACTGGGCTAAAGCGAACTACCAGAGTGCTTGAACTAATAAGTATCACATCTCCAGAAGAGAAAGCGAGCTGCGTATAGTTTACTCATGCGACATCTATTCCGGTGTAGCGTTGAGGTGGACAGTTAACTGCGTGGCAAAGAGATAAAAAAAAGCTAAAATGGCGGAGTCAGGTTAGCATATGTTGTCTGTGGTTACAGTCTATTGATTATGGTGTAATTCCGAGAGCAGTGACGTTCTTTATAGCCTTCAGCTCCTTCATCAAACAATTTCTAACTAACACACGTTACAATTGTTTCTCGTCATCACTGTGATTATTGTCTTTTGGTGATGGGACTCAAATCAAACGCATCCGATTCGCGTCAGTGCAAGGAAGATGGTTAGAAAAGTGAACTGAACTGAGACACGTTGACTACACGTTGCACATTAACATCGACTGCTTCTGTGCGCGTCTGTAACTGCGCTGTCGCACGTTTAAGGTGTCGTCGGAAATGACAATGAAACTGGATTTAATACGGTATCTGAACAAAAAAATACGAACCTCTTCCTGGAGCACCGTGGTAGTAAATCGGACTGACTTCTTTGTGCTCGAGCTATGCTGGAAGTGACATAGAAATGGAAAAAACGAATTGGACGTGCTCTACAAAACGGAATTACAATGTACAGGTAACAAGTTCCTTAAGTTAAGAAACGAGCCAGTGGAAACATATCAGAAGATTGTAGTCGGAAACGGCGAAATGTACGGTCTTCAGTTACGGGAAAGGTGCACCGTTCTGGGGTAACCGAAAACCATACATATCACCGTAAACGGACCGAATTTGGTTCGCAAGTGAAGGGGGGGGGCTCAGAGAAGAATACAAGGCAAAATACCAACTTAAGCTTCCTCCACGACAATCAGAATATTTTTGATACCCACGATTAGAACAGTTTGTACTCGTTCAAAGGAGTGGTATCGCGCGACTTCTGCAGTCGCTTATCAGAACCACGGAATGCATTGGCACCACGACTTAGTGAAGCACAATAAATCAAATGAAGGGAGGGCAAACGAGTAACGCCGAAATGAAATCGCCTACTGATTTCCGATGAGGTCACTAAACCGGCCGATCGTTGATCGTCGACATGAGACTTATGCACAAGTTCAGAAAAGCTTGTGGTCTCTTGAGAACAACTTTATCACCACGTTTACTGCTTGGAAATTTGAAGACAATGCACCGGTAAAAATAACTTCGAAAAGGACCCAAACAAAATAAGTCAGAGGAACAAGCTGGTGTAAAGTAGCGCAACTCACTTTTGAGTGGAGCCGACCAATCTTTAGTACACTTCGCTCCAACTCATCTGTCATTTCACTTAATTCCTTCTGGAGTGGAATTGACGCAGCATCTGCGGCCGTTGCATTAGCCGCCGCGATGCTCTGTTCCACTTCGTCTTGGTGAGGGGACTCGCCCCAAAGTGAGGATGTACGATGAGGTGGTTTGGGCAAGGTGTGTGGCGGAAGGTTGGAAGCCGATGGAGGGGGACGGTTGCGAAACGCCACAGGGTAAGCAAGGGATGAGGTAACAGGCGGTTGGTCTGCTAGAATGATTACAAGTGAAAAAGGCGCAAGGTAGGACGAGGCACTTATGTAAAGCAAGCGAAGAAAAGTGACTTGTAAAAGCGTAAATCGAAACTGTTGCTCTAAGAAATAGGCTAGATGGTATCTAAGGGCAGAGAATATGTCAAACTTGGCCTAATGGGGACGCGTTGAAATCAGGGTTGTGAAGAAGTTCCCAATTCTCTTTGAAACGGATGACCTAGTCAATTGGTTGTTTGGTTACCGCAGGCAGACGGTTACATGACAATCTGCAGTTAAGCCAAAGTTAAAAAGCAGTCCCATTGCAAACGCAAGATGAGGTCGATTAGCCTTCGTACCTATGAATCAGATAAAATTCCGCAGTGGCGATCCTGCATTCGATTTCTTGCATATAGCGGTTAACACTTCATTCCGGTTCATTTCGACTACTTTCTTTTGACTCATTTCCATACTCTGATTCCATTCCATCTCACTTTCCCCACCACTGTTGCGTACTGTCATCCAGGCGACGCAAACTGTGACAACGCCAGTGCTCGGGTCATGAATTTTTGGCTAAGCCGAACTGACATCCTGCAGTGCAGTTAAGCGCAACGAGACTTACAAAGAGTGCCATTTCTTCCGCCTGGCATTAACGTAGCACTTTCAATGATCTCATGGACCGTTTCACGCAGGCGGCGCATGGCCAAAGTGACCTGTACGCTGGCCGGACTGGCTGGACCACTGTCTAGACTCTGAGAACAGAGAGAAAAGAAACTCTAGAGAACGGGAAATGATAGATAGATAGAGACATAAAATGCGACAGTGGGATAAGATAATCGAGGACAAGACTGATAGCAACAAGTTAAGCACGGTGTAGTGGTTTTATGGCGAAGTCAGGTACACCAGAAAGACCTCTTGATAGGTCAAATTAAAATATACACATTGGCCACTTTTTCAACGTTTTATTGATCATCGGAGCTGGGTGTGTTTGCTGTTGCCCAGCGACGAGTCTAGATAACCTCAAAACAAGCGTTTAAGCACAGAAACTTAAATAAACAAATTTCAATCAAGAACCGAAACTATTGATGCAGTGATGATACATGGGACTGTTGGAAAATAGGACTCAGACAAACTCACAGCAGCCATGTGTGTGACCAACTGCTTTAACTCGCAAATGGTATTACAAGTCCCAGCAAGGGCGTGATTACAGGTAATTTCCACTGCGGCTAAAGATGATCCAGAATCCTCTTCAACAATTCCTCCATCCTCGTCATGTGAACTCAGCTGTACATCGCCGTTCGATGGCTGGTGTTCGTTGCGTACACAAGCCAAAGCGGATTGGCAAGCCAAAGGTAAAGTGTGGATTAAATCTTCTGCTGCACGGCGGATGAGGTCACCAGCCAAAGCAATATCGGATAATTTGCCGGAGCCGGTGGCCGAATTTGCCTTGCTCACGGCTTGTGTCAATCTGTGACTCACAGCGATCAGTTGCTGGGGAGTAGTTGTCAAACAAAGCGCATTTTGTTCCTCAGACGCAGCATCGTATTCGGTGTCTAAAAGTCAAGGTAAGATGGGGCGAAGCGCGATAATACAGTACAAACCCGATAGACCCTAAAGTGAGACCTAAAGTTGGAACGCAAGCATTTAGGATTGAAAATACTAATCAGACGAACAGTACCTTAGACTAACCTGGACGCTGGAAACAGCCGTTTTGCACCGACCACGTTCCAAGCCGCTTTGTAAATTGGTCCAAAACGCTGAGAACAGACGTTAGGCTTGAATTCACACTAGCTTTCCCAGATAGGTCTGCACCCCCGGTTTTTTCTGTCCCGAGAGGTTTACCACTTGGCAAGGAACCGACCAAGCTAATGCGTTTCGGAGGTACAGCTGGAGGACTCGTCGATTCAGCAATGGTTGATGGTGTTGGTGAAGGAGCTGTAGGAGGCCTGCTGAAGTTGAGTAGATCGCTTAAATTTCGAAGTGCACGGGAGAGGGTAGATATGCTCTCTACTACCGAGACAGCTGTCTCGTTCAGCTCCCTCTGGTGTGAAGTCAAGAGTTGGCTAAGACTTCCATTCTCACTGCGGTCACCCCAAGCCTCCAAAGCATAGGAGGCAGCCGAGACAGATTTACCTTGATAGAGTAAACGAACCAAACCATTGGCCACATCTCTTGCAGCTGTGAGGAGCTGAACCTGGCTTTCAACACACGAATCGGTTGTAGCTTCGGAAATTCGAGGCACATCAACAGTGCGAGATGTTGCGCACTTAACAGCTTCTGTCAATTCCTTCGCACGCAGTAGGCAGTTCTGAGCAGAGACAGCCAGGGCATCCTGAGATGTAGCGGTATTCTTTATCTGCAGTTAAAAAAATCAAAATAAACGCGTGGAAATATATAATGCTTCTTATGAACTATTCTGCTATGTGAATAACCATCTTATCGCTACTACTAACATGCTGATATTCGACCCTGTCTACCGAGAGTAAGGTACGCCATATGAGAGGATCATAATGTGTACAAAAAACAGCAGAAATGCATAAATGTAAACGTGAAAAATAGTTTGTAATTAACCAGTATCCTTGTGGTCATACCAGTGAGTCTAGTTTTGTTTACAGCTATTGTAAAATTTGGGATGGTATCTGGGAGCTCTGAAAGGATCATCCGTTCACACGATAAAATGTGACCAATTCTGTCCACAAATTAGTGTGACTGGTTTAACGAATTGCTTTGGAGCAGGAAGTAAAAGGTGAAAACACGTAGGTAAATGAAGAAAAGTGGAAGTAGTACTCCGGCGCTTCGTACCGAAACTCTGTTACCACGCGATCAGACAGTCGCGCGCGAACTGAGGATACTGCGAAATCGCTAGAACCTACGAAGGTTCAAACAGGCGACCTGTCGGTTAGAAGCCAGACGCCTGAACCACTGGACCCTTGGCCAGATAATAAAGTCAAACAAAATCTTTTGACCTAACGGAAGTCGTGTATGTGTTGGTCATAATACAGGAAAATGACGTAAATGTGGCGGTGAAACGGAGTCGAACTGGTCCGAATGAGAAACCATTGCAGAGTCTCAAACGACGGATGCTGTGGTTTCCGATGCAAAAGAAGGAGAAACTGGAAACTCACCAAAGTACGCATATCCTCAACAATACCTTTGGCTGCATGCATCGCGGCTTCCTGCGCAGATTGAAAAGCGTGCTGTTTCACTGCCACGGAAGTCCGTGTAAAGGGCGCAGCAGTTGAGCCATTTGCAGCTACGGGGTCAACAGGAGTGCCCGCGCGAGCAAAGAGTGCGGCAGTATCGAGGTCAGCCGCCAATCGACTAATGTTTGCGGCGGCGGTTGCACAGGCATCTGCGCCACGAGAACATGATTGCAGGGTGGCTTTCAAACCCTCCAGTTTGTTGACCAATTCATTGAAGCGCTCCGCATGGCCTGGAGCCCGAATGAAGTCTGTGCAAGCCGCGCCTAGGGCCTAGAAGTAGGGATCCAAAGACGATCGTTTCATACACAAACTCGCAACTAATATGAGAAAAGCTTGGTTAGTTTTGGATAACACTGGAAAAAATAGAAATACAGGCAGTGCTAAAAAAAACTTGGCGCCCGGCTATCGTATGCTAGCAGTTGGTTGTGAAGATATTTAAGGTTGGCAGACCATTGATCTGGACAATGTCATCAGATAACCTAAGATACAAAGACAGCCATTGTGAATCGCATTAAAAGACTACATTTACAAAGTGGATGTGCCGCAAAAGTTGGTTAAAGATGTTGGTGATATGAGTTTGCATGAGCGAAAATGTCGGCAAAAAAGAAGCAAACGCATTCACCATTTTCCTGATATAACCGGGTGGAAATGAGAATGCAAATTACAGCATAAAGTGCGCGGTATCAAAGTAAATTGACATTTTAGCTGTGTTAGTACTCGAAAACAGCGCAACATCGTGCTGGGGACGACAACAGCTTCAGTAAGGTGATGAAAGTCAGTCACCCAAGTAACCAGAATCTGATCAATTTCGCTGGTGCAAAAGCACAGTCAGCACATGAAGAGACGAATTTTCAGAATAGTTGGAAAAGCGACTTCAGCCAATTAAGTCAAATATTTCAGACTGCAGCGAAGAAATTCAGGGGCAATGAGGTGATCCGATCGGTACTAACATTCTCTTTGAATTAAGCGATGAAGTGGTATCCTCCGTCTATTCGAAAGAAACATAGTGGAACCGGTAAATGCAGGCTCAGTTTGGTTCAACTTAGGCAACTAGGATGCGATCGCACACTATTTCGCCAGCACTGATTCGGAAGACAAAAAGTAACTGGTACAAATTTACTAGAATTGAAGTCGGAGAAAATGGGTATAGATTAAAAAGGTAATATCAGGAGAAAGGGATCGTGATCAAAGGCCATGCTGACTCCTTGACTGCGTTAGGTCGAAGGCCTCCAAAACTGATTATACTGATCCCGATAATCCAAACCAAACAGACGGCGACCAGCAGTGCAACTGTCTCCTGACTCACTTCGCCATGTCTACAGACCATATCGGGTTGATGTAGGTTGTCTAGCAGGATGAGGGTCTCTGGAACAGCCGTCTCAGTGAGCGAAAGAGGAGTAGAATATCTCCTATTGTAGGGTCTCCTAGTGGCCAATTTAGAAAAAAAACCTAGGCCAACGAACTTCGAAATGCGCAACAGACGCAGGACACAGGGGGAGTGACAATAAATGCAGTGATACTAGCGGGGTAAAGAAAGACATCAGTAAAACAACATTACTACATACAACCAAAAGACTGCAGTGATGTAGAGCTGCCAGACCTATGTAGAAGAGTGGACTCGGACTTGGGACGCAAGGGATGCAAGACAAAGGACTGTATCAAAACATCGCTGGCGGACTGAACTCACTTGAGTGACCTGACAAAGTCGGCGAGCAAGTAAAGGGCCAGTTTCTGAGCAGGGCTGTTTGAGCAGGGCACATGCGATTGATTGCACCGTATCGGTCATATAAACAAACAACTGAGCCAAAGAGGCCACAGAACTAGACACTGCGCTGGAATCCCTTCCTGAACTTATCTGAGCCAAATGTACAGCAGAGTCAGCAAAAACCCTAGATTGGTGTCCAAGATCGGTGTGATGTTGGACGAAGCTAGCCGGAAGGGAGATGACTTGGTCCACATCGCACGGCGCGTTGCTAGTTACCCCGTTCGAAGATGAAACGATATCGTCCAACTGGTAAGAGATAGGGCAGAAACATAATGGTCAATTAGTTGATCGAACAAACAGCGACGTATAAAATAGTTTGCTTTGGTATTGATTACACGCGTGCCTTACAGGCGCAACAGTGGTGAAAGGGGTGGGATAGTGTTCATATGGTAGGCATAATCTACGACTGCCCGATCACGTGTGCGAGAAACTGTTAAATATTCGAGTCGAGGGCAGCTTCAAAGTGGAAACCGGTTCAAATCGGACCATCAGAGCAGAAAGTAGATCGTCACCTTTGATCTCCAATGTAACTGTTATGAACTCGACAACCGGCAGAAGGGGCACGTATTGTTTGAGGGGACCGAAGTGGTGAAATAGCTGTCTAACTCTCTCTCTCTCTCTCAGGCAGTTTGTGCCAAATTAATTGAAACAGATGTAAGCATAACGATTGTGCGCATGCTTGTCTAAGCGCCAAAAGGATGAGGAAAATTCCAGAGTAAATAGACATCAGATTAAGCAACTTGAAAATTCTCATGTAGAATTCGAAAATGGGAGAACACAGGTGAACAATTGCTTACGATGATTCATCTGAAGACCATTACAATCATATATAAGGGCAAGAGGGATGAAATCGACCCAGTGGTTCAAATTACACAGTTCATTTGCGGTTCAGTGTGGGAGGCTAAAGGTTGACCTTTGCCCTAACAGATCGATTGCATAATATCAAGCTTGATCCGTGGCAGTTGACCTGAGCATCGTCCGTTCTCGATAACTAGGATAGCTGAAGAGCCTGAATTAACTTCTTTTTTGAGCATAAAGAAGGTTGAAACAATCAGATGCAAAGCGCTCCAGCTGTCGCGAGTGTGGGGAAAAGCAGACCTCTGGATTGATGCTAAGGGACTCATCAAATTATCCTACAGGCACGCTTTAGGATCAAGTTGGTGCACATTGTCGACAATATGGGCCAAAACGGCGTTGTTAATAAGCCCAGCTCCACGTTGACGTGACCAGAGTAGACAGCGCTCCTTCACGCGTTTGGGTGAATGTTTTGCCGGTTGACCGATAAAAGTTGTGCCACAGGCAAAATCGAACTGATAAATAACCATAGAGGAGGTCAGCATTGGCAACATATCCTTATTGCGTGAACAAACAAATGGTTCAGTAAAAAAATATGCACTTTAGGTCGGCCACTGGGAATGTCGACTTGACCGCCGTTGGTTAGGCGCTGGGTAGCGGCATCCCCTTTGAAAGGCAATCTTATAATTCTTCGCCGCGGTTAAAACTAGCACCGGCTTGGGTTTTTCTTTAAAATTCTTTGCAATAAGTATAGCAGGGTAGTCATTCTCACGCAGCGCATTCTGTATAAAGGCTAGTTCCTCATCCAGGGTGTCATGTGAGCAAATTCTAGTTCTTGTGGAAAAACAGTGTATCAAGTTTCGCTTATACCTCAAGGGAAAGAAACTATAATGCGTATACTGACGAATCCAAGTATTCTTTCTGTAAAGTTGCCGCTGGATGCAACCGTCTGGCCTCCTAGTTAACAAGACAACAAGATACAGAGGTCGATTGCATGTTTCTGCCTCGTAAGTAATTTGAGCCAATGGGTCTATTTTATTGCTTTGTAATGGTCGGAAGAGGAATCATCGAAAACAATTATTCATCTATGGTCTCGTATTTTCGAAATATCAGATTACGAAAAAGGAGACCGTTCACTCCAAAGTCGGCGGAGCGGTGTGTTAAAGTTCGCTTGTGAGCTGTCGCCACTCTGTGCTTGGTTGGGAGTAGTTTGATGAAAAGAGGCGGCGCGGTCCAACTTCGTGACAGCAATAGCACATGTGAACACTACGATAAGTGGAAAACACACTGAATGCAAACCGTGCAACGTTTAATATACGGCATTTGCTAGAGAAAAAACTTGCGAACGTTTGCTAACCATCAGTTGTACGCCGATGTGCTTCATCGACTCCTCGCTGCGTGGCGACCACCACCACTAGTCGCACGCCGACTGGGGACACACCCCGGAGACACTCGCGTTTACTTAGATTCGAAACGGTGATATTTAGATCACAAAGCAGAGACGTCTTAACCCTTCGGCCACATCAGGAGGAAACAGCGGGTTTCTTGCTCATGCTCTACACAAATACGTGGGTGGGCGCCATAACTGTGGAGCGTAATGGGTGAACCAGGTCAAACGCATAAACACAGGATGGAAACAAGAGGCAATGAAAACAGAGGAAGAGTGCAACCCGGAATAAAGTGAGGAAAATAAGGGACCAAGAGTAACCTAAGCAATGAGACTTTCTAGTCCAGTCGACAAGCGCACCTGGTGCAAAAGTAATGAGGTGCTGGATAGCTGGAGATACCGGAGTACAGCTCCAGTGTCAAAAACCTGGATTGTTAGTCGACTACTGTTAAGGTTGTCCTCAAGATCGTTTAATTGATAACAAAGAAAGCATCTTACAAAGTCAGGCAGTGTTCGAAGCGCTGTGCACACTTAAAAGTTCTGACTGTGAATGGTGGTACAACGAGCCCCTCAAGACGCTACACGTCACTTGACACGGACAGAGAGCGAAAATAGCTGGTTGCGAACCCCTTGCCGGTTCATACGCGAAGGGGAGATGATTCGGTAGTGGAAATTGAGCAGTATGAAGCGACTTTATTGAAACAATATTAATATTGTCTTGAATCCTTACTCTGCGTACCCACAAGGTGCACGCAAACTCAACAGTTTCATTGTACTTGGAAAATGGCTACGTTCAAGAAGTTTTCCTGTGATCATTAAAGACGAAATGTATGACAAGCAAATGGGTACTTACCTTAGAACATGCAGTAGTGATAGATGAAATATGCCAAGAAAGACCGCCCTGAAGTGCGGCGACGGTGTCGACGCGAGCTAACAACTCTTTACAAGCTTGCTTTAGTTGATGGGAAAAATCCAACGCGGGAAGGGGCGCAGTAAGATTCGAGAACTGTAGAGGTGTGGAAGGGAGAGCAACGGTGGATAGAAAATGTGTAAAATGGCGGGAGATACTCACGCAAGTACAGAGTGGGGGGTTACCATAGTGCAATCGAATAGTAAGAATAACAGAAGAAAAGCAAAATTGTGATGGAAAACTGGAAAAGAAATCCCAATACCCCATGCGGACACGGTTAGAGAAACGTGGTAAAAGTATCAAGTACAAAATGATTACATCTATCATGGAGTAAACAAAAAGCAAGTGAGGAGGACAGAATTAGGAATCCGGTTGCGTGCGGCACCAAGTAACTATAAAGAGGAATGAAGGGCCACAAAGCAAAGCACCATGTAGCATTTACATTAGAGCATAGAAAATGAAAACGGTAATTGCGGTTGAAAAATATGCAATTGAAATCGGTGAGAGTTTGGCTGGTTGGGAAGACGGGTTGGGATCCCCGACTGATGATGAGAAATCAGGTTGTAAAGTAGACAAAAACAGTAAAACGATCTACACTGTATGACAACTGTGCAACAGTAAATATAAATAATTCGATTTGACGGAGCGATCAGGCGAGGTGACCAGACGCGGAAACTAAAAAAGGTACATCTACCGCAAACGAAATGCCATCTATTGACCAATAATTAAGATGGTGTTATTTTGATCCCAGTGATCTCGAGTAGATGACGTTGGAGGGTAAATTCAAACTTTTATGTAGCCAAGAGTGTTTTAGGTACAAAAGTATGTCTACTTGTTGAGTTGCATGGTCTAAGGTCTACAGACAAACGTAAATCGCTGGTATAATAGAGATGAGAAAATAAATGAGTAGATTAACTAGCTTCAGCTCATTGTCACTATGTCATGATTGGTAGCTCACATGAACCGCCCACAGGTTATGCAAAAGACCAAGACAATTTACTTTGGGAAGAGTGAACAAAGTTTAACCAAAATGGTGATGCAATCAAGTTGCATCTGGAGTCGTTCGACATTCCACTTTGAGCGAACAAGACATACGGAGTGACATCGTCGAAAGGAAATGGGAAGACTTACGGAACGCGTGTGGATGCCTGTGTTGAGGTTTCCGATCAGTTGTTGCATGGCCTCCAACACAGTTCGCAACATGCTAAGCAGTTCGGCCTGGTCGGATGACAGCGACAGACCAGCTGTTGTGCACTGCACACACTCCTGGTGAACAAAATTGAAAGGTAGACATAGAGAGAATAAGAGAGAAATGCCATTAAATCGATCGGTAAGCAGACACAGAAATGACGACAAGGGACAGTTGTGACGAAAAGGAATAAAATGAATTTGCAATCGAGGGGAAAACGGGGACGTAAAACGTGACAAAGATCGGTTTTGTATCATCACATCGTGCGTAGTCGTGTGATAAGAAACAAGAATAGGTAACTCTTGTGGCAAAAGTGAGAGAGGAGATAGGCCCAACAAATAACCCGGAAATTGTAGGTAAAAAGCCAGAATCAAAAAGGTCGACCGCTAACAAACAGCCCAGGAGTACAAAAACAGCATGCCGCAGGTAAATAAGGCGGCACTCGAGGAACAAGTTGAACATTTTACTGTGCCGCTTTATGACCCACACCAACAGGAATCATATAAATGTTGTAAATAAACAAATAAATGAACGGTATATTCCTTGACAGAGTGAAGCACGGCCCGACTGAACAATCTGATCAGTCTTTACAGAGATACCGTATAAAACAGGTAAGTGTGCGAGTTGTTTAAGGCAATATGTTATTAATAATAATGAGTGCATATATAGTCAAACAGGTAGTTAGGATTGCAAGCAAACCACACCACTCAATGTGGTGTTTTGAATTAAGCACGACGCAGGTTGCATGGTGCTCGACCAAGAAGGTTAAGCGTACAAATGATACTCAGTTTAAAAATCCGTAAAGTTCGTTTCATGCTTACAGATTGGTGTTTATCAACAAGAGGTTTATATTTTTCATCCTAATTGCACAGAAAAGCTCCGTTCAGTTAGTGATGAACGTGCATGCATACCATTTTTTGTTTTATCGGCTGATCTAAGTGGCTTGGGTGACACGATCGCGCAGTACGTGTCTCCAGCACCGCATTGTTGCAGACAAGCTGGTTTTACCCGATACATGCACTGATCCGCAGGCATTGATAGCCAAAGATAAGACGGTTGAGGTAACCAAACCCAAAGGGACATATTTCACTGATGCAAATGAGACTAGCGTTGTGGACACGACCTACAAGGTTAGTCACTTATGTCAGTGGTTTTATACGTATATAATAGTGATTCTGTTTGTAGAAACAGGTGATATAATTGCCACCGTCACATGGGAAGCACTGCAACATCTGACGTAGAGATAAAATAATCATTAGCGCTCTGGTAAGAGTCCTAATAGGTTGGATATAGGACAATATTGACTGGGATCAGGGAGATATGCACTCGAACTCAGACAATCGAGATAAAGCATAATGTACTGACTGGATTGCGGAGTAATAAACCCATGCGACGAGCGGAAAATTGAAACGCGGCGGATGGAGCCGCATCAAATCCACAAAGCGGAGGGTGTGAACATGAGAGTATCATCACGAAAAAACTAAATGGCAAATAGCCCGAAAGTGGCGAACACTGGCGTGCGATGTGCATCACTGCGAGAGAGAGAGAGAGAAAGGATTACATGAGAGAAATAACTAACCTTGACGAGGCTGCGTACATAGGAACCAGCGAGGTGTATACCGTGTGACATCAGTTCCCAATGTCCACGTCTCCAGTTTTCGACTGATTCCAGGCACTGTTGTTCAACCTGCTGCACACTTGATTTGATTAGATTGAATGTGTTTTCGATGAGCGATGCGCAGAGAGAATTCGATACGGAGACTTCACTGGAAGTGGTATTTAGAGCAGCGTTGTCCACTTGAGACAACAACTCGCTAATGTCAGCTTGTACGGCATTGCAAACATCAACACCGGGCGCTAGGGATCTGGATAAGCGGGGAAGTAAAAGCAAAAGTTATCAAAAGGATCAACCTTATCATCATACGGCACACTCGGTGCAAATGTGTCATCACCATTGTGATGTGAAATAGAGTTAGGAACAATGCGAGGGAGGGCAAAATAGTGGGGCACTTAAGGAACTCATTCTAAATACGGACTGCTAGAATTCAGTAGTACGTCATCGGTGCTCTCGCCAGATATGGACAATAACCCGGAAGTACCGGTGATCAAAGACGATCAACCCGTCAGTGTGTCCTCGATGAGAACTGACAATGTTACCGATCCGCATTGCAACGTCAGTCGAAGCATAGCACTATGCACCCCGCTCCTGACCGAGAGAGTGAGACTTAAAAATCACAAGAGTTTTGCTGATGAAAGTAGCAACTGCTTCAGTGATTTAGCAACCAGTGACGATACAATTGCTTGGCTACGAGGACCGACTGATGATCCCTTCGAGTGGCTACTCCGTAACAGTAAGAACAGGTAGTACATCGCAAAAAGACGTGCCGGAACAGCCTATCCAACAATCCTAGTGCAAAATTTGAGTCCGAACCGAAAATGGTAATGCCGAATGTGCATCCTAATTTTATCAATCGGATTCGCTTTTCATGATTGTTAATAGGTGTTTGATGCAACCATTACATGAACCTGAAACCATATTAGCTTTCATTGATTCGAATCTTTAAAGGATCAGTTAGCAAACAAGATTTGATGCCTGTGAAAGGTTCGGAGACTGCGGTATTAAGCATAATACGTCAATAGTTCTAACATATGATCCGGTCTGAAGGGACCGGAGCGACTTGGATTATATCAGTTTGAAACATGGCAGTTTAGTGCAGTGGGTGAACTGGACTGAACTGCATTGATTAGATGAAGTCTAAGGGAATTTTCTCTGATGAAATTGAGCATGGGCGACCGAACAGTGCAACAATGGGTCGGCGTACGACAAACGCAAAGGACGTTTGGCCAGTCTATCTGGGACCATGGCATCAAGTTAAGTTGGACAAAGGCATCACGTTGAAGAATGGCGGATGGAGAGATAATTAATGACGGTGTTTACTTAGAAGTTACAAGTAAATTCTAGTGACTGAAAAAGGAACAAAAGTCTTCAGTTTATAGGTAAAATCAATTTCAAAGCACCTGTTCGTATGATGAAATTGTTTTATCAAGCAGTGCACAAAGATCAAGCGCAACCTGCGTAAATTATTCTGTTGGGTTGATTTACTGAGACACGAACAAACCACCAGACTTGATTCACCCAACCAGCTAGAAGTTGAGCGAACTGCTTCCTTGATTTTCGGCGGGGATGCTTTGCGTAATGGAACAAGTGTCTGCTACAGTCAAGCCCAGTAACCACAATCTTGTCACATTGGTTGGAAGTTGTAGTACTGACAGAGGAGAAGTAAATTCGTGCGCGGAGGAATATCAGGTAAAAAAAATCGTTAGGAGTGAAAGAATGAGTTTCGAGTGGTGAATGGGGTGAGCAATAGTTAGCTGTTGGAAAAGAGGTTTGAAAGCGCCTCAGGACTGTGTGGTGACAGCTGAAAGTCCAAAAAGGATAAACAAATGGGGAGATCTGTCGCAGCATCGCCAATAAATCATACGTCGGTTAATGACGGAAGGAAGTATCAGGATCGTATGGGATCAGATGACCTACATCGATAACGCATAGTCAGTGCCGGAGTGCTGAGAAACACGATTGACACGTAGAACGTAAAGTCAACGAAATTTGGCGTAGAGGGGTGACGATCAAAACGAAGGAGACCATTGGATAGATATGCCATTAGTTAATTTCAAGGAATCTCGCATCTGGTTTCATAGGACATATGTATTGCATTAAGTGAGGTACTTCGCAGCCAGTTTCCAAATCAGATAGTCGTTCAAATGCCCGGAAAAGCACTAGACTGCAGTTTCAGCCTCTTGGGGATCGGATCTATCAGGATTCGAACCAGTGACCACCAACGGCTTGAACCGCCAGTCAGCAAGCTTATGCCACTGGGCCACGAGGGACAGCTTCGGACAGTCATGATTTACAAGCTAGCTGCGATATGGCGCGTCTTATCCTCCAATGTAACGCAAGTTACGAACGTTGCAGAGGATAGCGTAGGCCCCGAAGACACGGCATCCACTAACAGTAGCTATGTACGACATAGCATTTAGAAACTGTCAGGGTGGATATATGTTGACGTACTCATGAGTAAGGGATTTTGATGTAATTAAATGAGGTTTTTCGCAGCCAGTTTCCAAATCAGATAGTCGTTCACATGCCCGGAAAAGCACTAGACGGCAGTTTCAGTCGGTTGGGCATCGTCAGTAGTGCGCATTCATCGGATCCATCATTGCATTGTACGGTATACTGCACATTGGTCTAATCGAAGCTGCGAATATCTGACCCGCATGCTCTTGAGAGGGTCCAACGACGCTATGCGGTTGGTACTCAAAGATGGCATACAAAGAGCATTGTGATAAGTTTTGATTTGACCCAGTCTGGTTACGGAGAATGCAGCTGAACATATGTTTTTTACAGGATCATAAACCATCAAATGCACACTACTGATGACGGCGTTCATATATCTTTAGACACTAGACACTCGAGCCGCAACAAAGAGACAAAGGTCACAATTCCAAAACTTACTACGTGAATCAGAGATCGTTTTTCTCCAGTCTACTACTCAAAGAGTTGGAACAAGCTTCCAAGGGGCACCAGAACATGTACAATGTGCAGTTTTAAGCTTGAGATTAGTGAACGGTTAACTGTCCAAAACATGATTAATATTTTGGAAACATCACAATCCCTAGATAACGCTTTCGAGAACCATACTGATTGTGCCCGACTAAATTACGAACAACACGCGTATCCGGGCTAGATGAATGCATGCGTATAACTTTTCGGACAACAGTCCCTTTCATTTCATTTTGCTTCCCTGCCTGAACATCTGTCATGTGTCTGTGTAGAACCCTGGTTGATAAACAGGTCAAAAAACAGCAAAACAATTTGGATCACCTTGTGTTATCCAGATTAGAAATTTGTTTCTATAGTATTATTATTAGCAATGCAAAAGCAAGAAAAGAAGGCAACAATTGTTGATCTGTCCATTCTAGGGAACAACTGCTCGCATCGTCTAGGAGTATACAGTTAATTTTTTTTATTTATTTAAGAATTAATCGCACAGAGCATTACCAACGAAGCGGCAAAGTTGGATTTTGACCGAAGGCTAACATGCATATCATATGTGGAGGTCAAAACGACACTAGTATCACAAAGAAAAGTTCGTAGGAAAACTGCACGAAGAGAGAGGGATTTGAAGAAAGATCTTACAGCAAAATCTCTAGGAGTTGGTGGATAGAATCGAGCAGTGATTGGCGAGATCTTGTATATACAGCCGACGTTGTATCTAGTTTCGATTGACCATCGGTGATAAAATGTTGTGCAACTTCCAGTAACTCCATGCTGCGTTTGACGACTGTCTGACCAGATTTCAGAATAGGGGCCTGCAGCTAAGGGTGAAAAAATGATGAATGAATGAGTTTACAGCAACTCACATCTAACCACGATAAGTCGCAGCAAAAACAGAGCCAATTCTCTCTACACAATGCATGGCTGATTTAAACGTTATCCAGTGATTGTTAGTCTATATGGGGATAAAAGCATACCAAACAATCAACGCGCATCACAAACTCGTTAAACAAGCAAAAAAAACCCAGATGAGACAATCGTTTAAACTGTCAGGTACCCAAAAAGAACATTTAAAAGACCCGGGCCCAACAAATATTAACGGATCCGATGTGCACAAAAGGAAATTTAACCGTCCGAACAACATAACATGATAAATATGCCTATAGCAAATAGAAAAAATGAAGTCACAGACGGATAAACAGCTTAGAAAGTGGTTGACTAACAGCGAGGGCCTCTTCTGCCAGCTGTGCAGGACAGCCTCCAGCAGCCCGGAAGAGCACGTCAGCATATTGGTCAACAGCCTCTTCGAGCTGTGTAGCACCGGATTTTAAGTGACTGAGCAGCGCATTGGTATCCGAGGCAGGAATGGTTTGAGTAGATCGGAAGACGGCCGCGGCTGCTCGCGCAACGCGTTCAAGAGCCTGTTTGAAAATGGCGATAAAAACAGTTTCGACGATAGTGAAAAATTGAAGCTAACAGAAAATGAGGGGTAAATAATGCAACTTAAATTAAGATCATCTGTGAACCGATAAATATTCAAATAGCGACAAGTAAGTTACGAGTTAACAGTGAAAAAGCTGACTGGTTTGCAAGTAGAGTGAGAGCCGCTAAATCCAAATGCACGGGCTAAGGGACGCACCAGAAATCATGATTAAGTCTACGATACAGAAGCGCATCAAAAATATGGGAAAATATAGCTGGGTCAACGCACACGTCCGCAACATTGATGGATGTAGACGAAAGTACCTTTGAGTGCGCCCCATCGATCAGGTTTGGTCAGAGAGCCTAATAACTCTCGAGAGAAAGGAGGAAATGTCGTTGATGGGTTTAGTACGATGCGAACACAAAGCCTATTCGACTACTGTGTAGAAACTTCAAGATGAATCAAAGAACTAGGTAGTCAAACGATAAAGAAAACGGATAAAATGGTCATAAATGTGAGATGTAAGTGCCTATTGAAGAGAAAGGTCAGATATTGATCAACTCCAGTCCTGACTGGTTCCGATCTTATTTCGGAGGTCTTCAGGAAGAGAGTCAAATCTAAGACTCGAAGACAGGATGCAGGAATTGTAGACAGACGGCAGGTAGCACATATCACGCAGGCATGGATTAATTGTTTGGTTCGTGTTTGCTGTATGGTTGTGTGCATTGGTTATAGCATGAAACCAAACTCCGGTCGCGAGTCACTGAAGTAAACTGGGGTGCATTTCGATCAATAACATAGCATCTGAAGCAGAAAAAAGTCAAACTTTACCAGTTCCTAACGCTTCACTTAACGACTAGGTTTGTCCTTATTGGTGATTTTCAAGCAAAGACGACCGCATTTTGAATCGAGCGTCAAGCGCATATAGATTGCAAGAAAAGCCTTTCACTACCACACCCTGAGTTTCGAAGACGGTGCTTGTCACAGACAGTACTTTGGGATGAAGCGACTTTGAGAGTAACATGTATATGAAAGATGCCCACCCCATACCTGTAAGACGCACATTAACTTAAAATATGATAAGAAGAAAAGGGCGGCACTAACAACTGAAAGACAGGCGCTCAAGTCCCCTCCCCCCCCCCAAAAAAAATTGACACCTGCATCGTTAATTGGAGAAATAACCACATTACTCCCATTCGCTGAGGTGATTGGACTGTAGTACGGGAAGTGAAATGATGAAGCGGGTTATCCAAGTGGGTCCCACCCTACTCATAAGACTATAGTAGAAGTCACAAAGTAGGCTAGCATGCGTAAAAGGGGGATATTAAATGCGAATGAAAGCAGTTGAGGTAAAGTACCGCTTTTAGAGGGGACAATGTAACACAACAGAGATGGGATGGTTCAGATGCAAAACATAGCGGTTACAAGCAACGTAGAAAAGATGCAACGACCTTAAGCTCAATGATACAGCCAGAAAGGAAATTCGGGGAATTAAAGCATACATCCAAAAAACTATATTAAGTAATGTGTCAACTGTACGTCGTAACGGCGCTTGGTTGCCGCGGGACCACAACCAGTTGCGCGTGGGCTGAGTATACCGCGAGGACGTCCGCCACTACGCGGATTCGAACCAGTGACCTTATGGCTGCAAGCCAGGCTTGTAAACCGCTCGGCCACCGGTATCAAAGACGGAGGCCGAAGAAGGGCAAAAGAAAGTGGGTCACCGGTCAAAGATTGCAGGCTGTGCTGAGTGAAATGAGGGAGTAACTGGGCTTGACATTATGACAGTGGTGAGCTGTAGTCGTTAGACCAAACCGACCTAAAGAACATGTGCAGTCAGAAAAAAGCGCCGTATTTTTCGGACGATAAGGCGCACATGATTACAAGACGCAGTATCAGTGAACGGATCTAATTCCATATATATAAGGTGCACCGGATTATAGGGTGCATAAAGTGAAACAAAAAAGTGGATAGGTCAGACTTAATTCAACTCATTAACAATAAATGTCAATATTGTTCACCTGTAACACGCATAAAACACAGAGAAATACACCCACTTTCTCAACCATTCCTCTGCTGCAAATCCGTCAAATTCTTCATGTTCAGTGTCGGAGTTTAACAGTTGGCCGATAGAGGCATCAAGCAAACTCGTATTCCTTTCGTCATCATCTGAGTCACTCTCGTTGCTGTTGCTTGGCTGCTCATTGGTGATTCCGGCCTTCATGAAAGGTCGGACGACAGCTGAGACCGATACGTTGGCCCAGGCAACGACGAGCCGTTGGCAGATAGTGGCGTAACTAGCCTGGCGGTGCCTCCCTGTCTTGGTAAATGTGTGCTCACCTGTCATTCAATGCTCCCACGCGGATCGCAATTTAATGTTGAACGCCCTGTTGACACCAATACCTAGCGGTTGGAGTTCTTTGGTTAATCCTCCCGGAATGATGACAAGCTCCGAATTAGTTTTTGCACTTGGCGTCTGACAGTTTCGGTGAGATGGGCGCACATTGAGTCGTAGATCAATAAGGACGGAGACGTGAGGAAAAAGCCATCCAGCCTCCAGACGTAAACTTCTCTCAAGCACTCGCTCATTGTCTCCTCGTCCATCCAGTCTTTTGGGTTGACCTTGACGATGACCCCCAACAAGAAACCTCGGTGTTGGCAGTCTTCTTCATAAAAATGACCACGGGAAGTAATTTCTGGCCATTAGCCTGGTAACCAAGAACTACAATGAAGGATGACTTCACGTACCCTGTGGTGTGTATAGAAACAGTAGACGTCCTTGTTTTTTCAACAGTACGGTACACGGGGATGTCAAAGCTGAGGGGAACCTCGTCCATATTTATGATGGGGTCTGGCTGGATCACCTTTTCGGTGATCTTGTTCTTGCGGAAGATGTCTAACTTTTCTTCGTAATCCTTTGGCAATTGCTGCGAGGTGATAGTTCTTGTGCGGATGCAGAGATGACACCTTTTCATAAAACGGAAGCACCAAGTAGGCCGTCCTTGAAAGTCGTTCTTCTTCATATCAGGTGCCATCGATATTGCCTTGAATCGAATGGAGACTGCAGAAACGCTTCTACCTGCTGTTCTATGTTCGGTAATCCATTGCTCAATTGTATCTTCTAACTGTGGTCATCTTCCTTTGTCCCCTCGGAAACTTCTTTGTCTTCTTTACTTGATGCAGGTCACCTTGCTTCTTCCATTTCTGTACCATTGATTCATTAATGTTGAATTGTGTCGCAGCTGCTCTATTCCTATGTCGTACTGCGTGTCTGATGGCCTTGAGTTTGAAATCCGCTTCGTAATCGTCTCTTAACAGGTGTCATTTTGGTGTCCTTACTTACCGGTATGTTGAAGCACAGTACATATCAAGAAAAGTGGTAGGGATAAGCGAACAAACTTTGTTGTGATCGCCAGCATGCGACTGGCGCTGAAAAATCTTATCGTGCTTGACCTCATAAGTTGACCAGATTGTATGTTATCACGCATTTCTCCGTAAGTGCACTGGTACTCCATCCGTCGTACACGCATGACGACGTACCTTCCAGTTGTCTATCCGACAACCTCAGTTTGGACGCTAATGTGGGTGAAGCTCACGCGGGCGTCGCCGACTGTCTGGATGATCGCACGTCTTTGGAACACTGGTGTGAGCGCAGATCGCGCGTTCCAACACTTACCTGCAATCAGCGAGATACAGCTGCGTGTTTTAGACAGTGTTTCCAAGGTGCATTGTTGGACCAAATGAGTTTGTCGTGTGGAGTAACGGTTACACATATCACAGTGTGGGATATCAGCGTGGAAGGTTGAACAGTTGGTTGGTTTATCATCGCCAGAAAAGCTCGAATCAGTTGGCTCCTTCACAGAGTTCGCCACCCTCCAAAACAAACCTGTCCAGACAACATAGAAAGCTGACTCCACGAGGTTCCTGACCAGTGATTATGCTTCGACAATCGAAGTCGTAATGAAACACTGACAAATTTTTAGCGCAATGTGAACATAGAAATTGATTGGAGGTCACTAGGCCACAGCACAACCAAGCATACATAAGGCGCACTGCCGAGTATGTTAGCAAATACAAGGATTTTAATTGCGTCTGCGAGTCCGGAAAATACAGTATCATCAGCAGTACGCCGGTACGCAGTACCGACGCTTCGCTGCCGCGCAACTACCACCGGCCACACTGCGAAGGTCGTCCTGCTTCTACGCAGGCTCGAACCCGCGCCGTCAGATTACAAGACAAGTTTGATACCTTTAGGCTACGGGCTGGCGTGCAGTCAGAAAGCATAAGTGGTAATAGTGATAACCCGTAAACGTTAGGAAAAAAATTAATAGGTACGGCTTCCTTATCGTTTGTTCAAAGCGTATTCAGTTGGTAAAACACATTCAGGGACGAAAGAGCCAGTACACGCTTGAAGTGGGTGTGTAGTGGAGTGTGAACAAGGACACGTCTATGCAATGCCCAATTAGTTGGCCAGGTGGAATGTGTAACCCGTATTCAGCACATCGAAATGACAACAGAGAAATGGAACAAGATCAGACAAGTAGTCAAAATGCATCTCGGCACGAATGACAATATAAGCATGCTATGGCAGTGGACAAGTAAACAAAAAGAGCAAAGTGATTGATAATCGCTTCGAGTGAAAGCGAAACAACGGCAACGTGATCAGGAATGAAATGATTTACACCATTTTTAGTTGGTAGTTATTTGAGTCAGATGTCAATATGAAAGCGAAAGGACACCAGGTGGCGCAACGGTATCTGACGCGCCATGCAGAGATGCTGCACTTTGCTAGAGGCACTCAAAGCCATCATCATTATCATCATCATCATCATCATCACTATCATCATCATCATCCATCACCAGTATACACGTTAGCTAGAGGTGGAAAACACAGCTACTGTGCCGCAATATATAAAGGAAGTAAAATCAAAAAGACGTGCGGAGAATGCACGCCAACTGAGCTACCAGTAACGGACTCGTACATTCGTCACCTAGAAAACACAAAGGGCAGCGGTTGCTGAACGACGACGGACAATGTGCTCAGTCAGTGTGAGATAGTGGTGTGCGAGGGAGTAAAAAGAGCCAACATAAAAGCGGTCATCAATCGGAGCTTCACATATGTCCATTATAGACGTTGTCAGCACAATAGTCTAGATAAGGCTGAATGTTGAGATAAGTCGGTAGTGAACCATCCGCTTGGTATCTATGGCATATGACCGGGTCAGGGAGACGTGGCCTCCACAACTTAAGCGCTGGTGATTCGTACCCTGCGCAGCAGAAATAAGGGGACGCAGCCGTTAAAAGACTCTGAACTGTTGCCAGAGCGTTGATCAGACCAGAATGGGTAGCGAGTGCGTTGTCTGTACTGGAATAATTCGTCGCAGTTAATCATTAACACGGCTGAAGCGGAAATGTGAAGATTATGGAGAATAAGAACACGACTCCTCCGCACTGCGATAATTAGAAAATACATAAGGTTATTTAAAAGGTGTGTGACAAAATAAGAAAGGTGTTAAGGATGAACTAAGTAGGTCCATTAGAAGCGCAAAACGAAAGATGCACGAATGCATTATTCATGGTAATGTATGCTAAGGCTACATGGGCACTGGCGTTCCACCAGATAAGTAAACCCAAAGGAGAAGAGCACCCGAACGCAAGAGGGGAAGCCTGGATAACGTGGCCAGGCGAACAAGTAGTGAGATGTGGCGAAGACCGAACTTTAGACTAAGGTTGATCAGAGGACACATGCAGTGCCGCCCAATACAGCCAACAGGTTACCGAAGTAAGCAGCGTCGCTGTTAGTGTCATAGATATAAGAGAACCGCGTAATGTGCACATATATCGGTATCACCGTAAGCCGCTTGTAGAACAGATAGTCGAGTAAAGCTAGCAACCAAAGCTTTTGGTTCGGAAACCTGACCGCAAGACGGCGGTGTTTTGGCACTGGACTACAGTGGGTCCGTTTTACAGAGAAAAGAACCATCATCACTCGAACCCGTAACATGGAGGGCTAGAAGACCGAGTTTGTCTGACGTCTAACCATTAAAAGATATGGTATGAGTGACTCTGAAGATGCAAAAAGCACCACTCAGCATAGCTCAATAGATCACACCACAAGATCCAGTCTTATCGCAGTAGATTCGTGCTTTCTAAAAATATTCTCAAAGTAAATAAAATGCGTCAGTTCAAGCGTTTAAAAAAAGCTGGTTCATAGCGTGTGGGATGGGCTAGTCTTGGTCCACCTGGCTTGCTGATAAGCTTCGTGGTAGCTGGAGCTGGGCATGACTCACCTGGTGGGCCCATCAGACACGAGCAATGCGCCGCGAGTCTGACGGGTACTAGTTGGCAAAGTAGTCTCTAGCGAGCCGAAGCAGCGATCTATGCACACGGTAGCAAGGAAAACATTTCTTCGTTGAGAATTATGCAAGCTACTGATGAGATAGCGCTCCGACATCTATAGTCAATTATACAATTTAATGCAAATGGTCCAATCATCTCGATGAATGTGGTCGAAAGGAAGTACAATCAAAAATTCTCATTGGGCGTCTATCTATTCCCTCGTCCCTGGCTCCTGACCACTGCATACGATAACGTGTATTTGTGCTCACTCTCAATGAACTACAGAAATAATAACAAGTACTAATGTTATTCGAGCAGTGAGAAGCAGGACAACTGGATCTGCTGTAATTCCGTGCATCAGTATTAGTTAGTAAACTGTACTGATAGTGCAGAAAGTAAAAACACAAGATGAGATGAAGCTCCTATCGAACTATCCAAACGCTCGATGCGTATTACACCACTACAAAGTGAACAAGTAGCGACCTCTTTAGGTCGCAAGCGCATTTGAACCAAGAGGAAGTGTGAACCGTGATTTTCTGGGTTTCTTGGCCGGCAAGACGCTTTATACAACAGTTCGCTGAGTGCCTAAATGAGGTCGACCAGAGTGACTGATGCAAGCACTTGAAATAAGCAAAACACTGCATGGATCAGTTGAACGAATGGTCGGTCGCCCACCAATAGACTCGGGATGAACACCCAGAATGGGTCTCCTGGAGTCAGACGAAGCTTCTATGAAAGTAATACGCGCCACAGCAGCTGCACCAAGTCACCAAAGCTCAAGGGGCGGCCACAGATATTATAAAGCATCGAAATTCCAGTTTTAACAAACACCGAGCAATGCCACGATGTGGTCTATAATGTAGATATCTGTGTCAGTGTTGGTGATCAACCCATCCAACAGGTTGCTATGTGTGTCGGCAAGGTCCGTTGACTTGAAGAGAACAGATGGAAAAGTAAGCGATTTGGATGACGAACCGCACATGTCTCAAAAATAACGATGCAACCCGGTCAGATTTAGTAAAGCGCGCCCAGTGGTGACTACTCAGCTGACACAATAGTAACGAGACTGCTCCGCAAGCCGCAAGAACACATATAAGCAATAACTAATGACAAGTGAGCGTCTCGTTGTAAATGATCAAGAGGAGAAATAAGACACTTCAGGACAAAAGTGCGGCAAAAGCGCATGCGTATTGAACATGTCTCTGTTCTCGGGTACGAACGGTGCAGTATTGCTGCAACCCACATTTGACTGCATAACACTTCGTAGGTAGCGTGAGAGTTTGCAGAATGCCGCACAAAAGCTGCGGCATTCTGCCCCCCCCGGGGGGGGGTTAAAATATTCATAGGATTAGGGAGGGCATAAGCGATCTAACAAGATTTACGTGGACAGAAAGCATTCCCATCCATTAAATGGTCGACATTCACGGGTATGCGAAGATGCACTTGAATCAGGAACGCGGTATTAGTTTTAATAACATATGATGAGGCAACAATCAAGTGGAAAGGTAGCGCGGTGCACACATTAAAATAAAAGTAAGAAGCAAACAAGAGACCAAAACACACTTCTGCTAGAGTCCGCTTCTCCTGTGTGGTTTTGCAGTCCGACAGAAGGGGCCGGGTACATTGACACAGCTGCGTCGCGCGGCTAGCCACATTGGTCGCGATGTTCATTAGCTATAAATTAGATGAAATTGATGTGCAATGAATGGATAGGTGCAACATCAATCCACAGATAGCCTGTAATCAGAAGGTATATAAGAACATAAATCGCACAGTGCTGGAGTAAAAGGATAGAATGTCGACGAAGGCACATTGAGTACAAATCGGGTCTAATTAGTGAGTAGTAGTGGGATTTATTTGGTTTTGATGAGGTTTCGTTGCAGCTAAGCTCAGGCAGACAGAGACCACACATCTAGGAAAGCGCTAGACGGTCGTTTTGTAGAGGATGAGCCGCAGGGTATCGCGGTTAAATATCAGTCATGGCGGTCCAATGCCGTCACCTATGGCCCAGTGGCATAAGTCGCTGGCTCGTAAGAGTAAGATCGTGGGTTCGAACCCAGCAGATTCAGCGGGTGCGCGCTATTGACGAGTCCTAATCGAACGAAACCGCCGTCTAGCGCTTTCCTAGATACGTGGTGCCTGTCTGTCTGTGTCTGAGTCTAGCTGCGACGAAACTTAAACAAAAACAAATCGGGGCTGACCACAAGCAAGAAACAGCTGTGAAATAGACTCAACTGTATCCGTCTCTAAATGCGATTAGGGAAGGTCGATCGGGCAAAATATGGAGCTCCCCATGTAATGCGCCGAACGAGGCAGTATCGAACATTAACTCAAAGATTTGGCAATGTTACATTGACCTTTAATTCCACCAAATGATTTGAAGGCTTCGGGAAAATGGGCATTACAAGATTTAAAGCGTCAGTGCAGGATGATTCATTATTAGTATAAACAGGGTATATTATAGCGTGTGTCCGCAAACAGTGAAAACCATAACGGCAGTGGGAATTCTGATGTGCTCAAATGATCGCATCAATATGGCCAGGTTGACAGATGCGTAGCAGGTATCTGTAGTCTGGCTAACGTCCCGATAAACTATGTACGCAAACAGTATCGGTTGACCAGCTGGAAGAGATTAGCCTTGCACTTGACCTTTATTCGGTATGCTGCAAACTCACTATAGCTAGAAAGAAACTCCTATTATATGTTTCCAGGTGAGACACAGTATGATGCCTCCGAAGGTTTTCACACAAGCATTTCGTAGTATGGAATATGCATATAATACCAAAGAAAGACGTAAAGCCCGATGATTAAAATGACCTAGCATACATGATGTGCTCGGTTACTGAGGAGAATGAAAGGCCGCAATGACATCGCGTGACAGGTGATTTGGCAGTAACTGGCAAACAATTGATGGAACTGTCAGATGTAATGCATTCTAAGAACAGGGAGTAGAGATACGAGAAATTCATTCTTGGTGCATTCTACGTGTCAAACCAAAATATCTGAATGTTCATGTCAAGGCATGATTCAGGGCGCTACTGCTCAACTGTACCGACGCATACCACAATAGTGGACGCTGTCAACCACTTTTCCCACGGCTGCATTCACAATATCCGGTGCGGATACGTAACATCACTCATCAGTGAGGTAGGTCGGTTAGCCACACGCCCCATTTCTTCGAAATCGTATAGCCTTTCTATAAACACGTTTTTTTGGCATCATTTGCCGCCATGGCTCAGCTATCATGGGAGATTCTGGTGTTAGTGAGCACAGTACGTCGGCTTCAGACCCCAGAATGTTGAGACCATCGCTGGAGGTATGCGTAGGAGTGAAACAGGACAGTAGACGTTATCTGACTAAATAAATAGACAACAGATGGTGGGGTGAACTGTGATCCGCAGGTCAGCAGTTCGAGCCTGCCTAGGTGCAAGCGACTTCTCTTACTCGCAAGCGACTGTTGGCGGTTGCGTGGTAGTGTAGAACCGGTGCGGTGTGTCTGTGTAGTGCTGCTGCCCATTCAATACCTCAATAAACGGTTTGGCCGAGAGTGCTTTGAGGTAATAAAAAAACAATTCTTGATGAAAAAACTCTTCAGTTCATTAAATGAATAGAATCACGGGGATTAAGGCGGCTGCTAAGGAAAGCACTAGCTTGCGGCGGTATGCAGCATTGGAATATAATGGGAATGCTCGTTTATAACTTCGAATCGTAAATTAACCCACCCCATTGTGTGCGTTCACAAAAAGTGCAAGAAATTCATTCCTGACACCATCGCACGTATACTGAATTGGAAACCGTCATATAGTTTTCTGTTCTAGAATGCGTAGTGAGAAATGTTGTGACAAACTTCATCAACACAAGAGAGACTTAATTAAAGAATACACCAGAAAAGATGTGTGCAGCGTCGCACCACTACATCATTAGCAAGCACACGGTTTTATCGGCCAGGGAAGAAACCATGGATGATTTAGCGTCAGGATCATGATTAACAAATTCGCAGTGCACAACATGACAGATGAGCAGAGGTGGCTACTGTTTTCGGAACAAATGATTGGTAGGAGAGGACTGGAATCCGCTAGAGGAAAATAAGCAAAACATTAAACTGTAGGGAGATCGCTCAAAAATTATGAGTACGCGGTTTTGGAGGTCCTTAATAGTAAAGCGAACGCGTAGTTTGAAACCTAGTAAAATCCGTAATGTTAGCGCAGTTGGATGGAAATGTTGTCGAGATACCTAAAGCAGACGGGGATGAAATAGGTTATCAGACGGAATATTTGAGTGTGCGATTCGAAGACAGGAAGGTGAGCTAAAAGATGCTATCCAACTTCTAAACGTACCTTCGGATGATGGTGAGGCGTCCATCCGAAAAACAAAACTCGATCAACTAGGGTAGGGCGATTACCTGGAAGTCATTCATTGTGGTTTAACTGGCAAAACATAAAAATCTATGATTCAACAGATGAGCAACACGGTGGACGGATCGTACCTCTAGTGATGGTAATCCGTCTGGCGTCGCATTTACGTCAGTGAGCCCGAGTTCGCTGGCTCCCTTTCGCACAGCGACGATGTGATCATGCAAAGCCGTAAGTTGATCTGAGTTGGCCAATCGACCAGTCCGTCCAGGCCTCGATGCTGGGTGCGCTACACTGATAAGGTAAGCTGCTTGGTTTGTGGACTGCAAAAGTTGGCAAGTGGCTTGGGCAACAGCTTTCACTGAAGAGACAAAAGCATCTGTGTTTCGTTCAGCCGCAGCAGTTGGAATGTATTTGGTATACGTTTGGATATCCTACAGAGTGAGAAAAGCGGAGGGTGAATTAGGTCGCGCCCGAGGTCAAATAGTAAGAGCTAAGGCAGTGAAGTAGGATACAGAGAGAGAGAGAGAAGGCTACTTTGCATAGCTGACTTCAATCAGGTGAAAAAACGATACGAACGCGTCGAGCAGGTAGGGAAACGGGTGACAGGTTTGGTTTCGGAATCTCACGTGGACTGGGTGCGAATGATTCTAAAACAACCGGTGAAGCGAGGAAAAATAAGAAACAAACATTCGTGCTCGATAGTTGACGCAGAAGACTAGAGACACAACTTGATTTACAATATCGGAAGGACCTTTAAGACCTGACCTGAAGTTCATTCGGTATCCGTCATTTTTTTGGAAAGTTTAACGTGCCCACTTAGTGGGCAATGTGGCTCGCAGCTGACGGCTGCATTCAACGGCTGAGGAGCTTTGGTGAGTTTGCACGGTATTATCAAGAGACGAGTTGACTATAGGCTAACGACAGAAGAACAATGCGCCACAGTTGTGACCTACCAACATCAGAGATAACTGTTGACGCTGGCGCACTATGCCTGAATACACAGAACTTATGCTCTATATTGTAGTGTCCAATGGTTCAATTTAGAAAAATTACAGGAGTTCGCCCCTGCTTCCGAAGAGAAAGAATTTGAGACCGATAACCTTTGACCCCAACCATCGACCTGCTTAGTATAATGAATTCAGTTGAAAAGAACTATAAAGCATAGTTCAATGAATCGTGAGCATAAGCAAACGACTAAGCTAGACTAAGGTTTAAAGTCGTCAAGATGGAGGGACCAAACAGCCGGGACGTAAATACTATACAAAACTGCCATGAAATGTAGGCTGTTCGGGGCATAATAAACGAAACTAGAGATGATTTAGAAAAGGGTAGAGTATGCAAACGGAACTGCAAAGGTGGTTAAACTTGGGCCAAGCTGGCAAATGCTCTCGGCCAAATCGGATATTAGTCGGGGCTTTCGTCATTAAATGAAACAAACCTTTGATCTTTAAGCTGCTCTTCCCAGTTTACGTGCAACAGCGCGAAAGATGTTCACAGACGCATGCACGCCCACAGGTGATCTGAGCGCCGAAGTCGTAGGTGGGATAAAAAGGACCTAGAATTTGCTGGGGCGCTGCAAAAGTCCCTTGCTCATGTAGTCGAATCCTTTCCACTAAGATCGCCTTTGGAGTCGTCGTCGTTTTTTTTCGATGCTAGCCACCTCATCTGGAGAGTTCATTTCTTGTTCTTCCATTTTAAATCATCAATATTATTATTGTTATTAGTATTATTATTATCGTTACTACAACTGCTTTGGCGACGTGGATCATGAGAACTAGATCGACTGCACCCGGTGTATGGATCATGAATGAGAAGCTGAACGGAAATGCAGAAAAGGAGACAGGCGGAAGGATGATCAAACAAAGCTAAATAGTAGCGTAACTTGATGGAATAAGTCAAATTTCCAGGAAGGAGAGCTAAATAATGCGGGCAACAGCATAATGCTCGGTGTGAAGAAAGCAGACATAGATCCATAGATGAAGTGTCAGCAAAAACACTCTTAGCGTTACCTATCTCTACTCTGAGAAAGCCGGTGATCCTCATGGAAGGAGGCCACTGAAGTTAGGTAAAAATGAAGAGCATTATTATTGATGTTGACAAACTGGAAGATCAAGTTGGTATCATTTTTTAAATAGATGGCACAGAACGATTCCTTTAGAGATCAAAAGCAAGCAAATAGCGCTGAGAGGGTCTAAAACAGTCCGCGCTCATCGTACCAAAACGAACTTAAGCAGTTATAGGATTTTGGGAGGTTCTACGAAGAACAGTGCAAGCAGAAGGGGCTGATAACGTCAATGTGACCAAGAACAACAAGTTGAACAATAAAAGGACCATTTGGCACTAACAGCTCTCAGCCAAAGTATCGAGAACTGAGGCGCCCCTAAACGGCACCGAAAGAAAAGTGGTGCAAAACAACAGTTTCAATTTTTTTCGGAGACGATGTCCATGAACACGGATACGTGGAAGAGAACAAGATACAATGAAGCAATGTGATAACAGCGAGCGTAAGAAGTTTGAAGACTAACCTGATCTATAAGGTGCACGTTGCGCAAGCATTCGGGGAATGTTTGGTCGATGGTGGGTACGCGAATGGGACAATAAGCAGGAGAGGTAGATCTGGAGCGCGCATCACGTGATTCTGGTTGCAAGGTACTTGGTGGTCGAATTAGAGCTTTAACGCGCCGAATCGCGGAGTCGCATTGGTGACGTACTTGAAGTACCGCGCCTAGTGCGTCTGGATCGGTGATGACATCTAACGGATTGGTATCAAGCTCGTTGTCTGGTGAGTTCAGGACCGTAGCTCTGGCTTGGGATTGGAGCCCAAGCTCAACAGCCCAATCACGAAGCAAGCTGGAAGAGGGATTGCGAAAGGAAAGCTACTATTAACCTAAACCTAAACGCCAAGCCAATTGGAAACTAGGTCATCCGTGCGGGATCAGTAGCTAGTTGGTATGCAAGCACAGCCTCAACGCATTCTGCAAGTAGGGGATGTTGATCAGGCAGCAAACTCTGGTCACTGAAAGGAACAAGATGAATACCATTAAAACAGTTTATGTGCAGGAAAAATGAAGTGCCGTGTCCCTTATCTAGGAGAGTACTGCTCTTAAATATAGAGTGCGTTGTCATTAGAGGGGATGCTAAATAGTTCGGTCTTGTTTGTAATACGCTAAACGTGAAGCAACACTTTAGGCTAGATAAAAGTTCGATAATAATCGGTCAAAGTCCACTCAAAAATAGTTCTGTTGAGAAACAGAGCAGGAGTAGGCATCTGCGAAAAGCAAGGATCTCAGAAAAATAATGCTGTATTGAAATAAATAAGATTGCAAACCGGACATAGTCCCCTAGTCGGTCCCGGGGAGGCCTGATTAGGTTGCATGTTGACGAAGGAAAGCAGGTGAGGAACGAAGCGATATGTCGTAATAACATATGATAATGTAGTGTAGTGTAACCCGATATAAGAAGAACATTCCATAAGTGTCCGTTATCAACAAAATGCACAGCACAAACTATTCTTAAAAACAAGGAAGGGAGATTCAATGTTGTTAATAAGAGTACCCGCAAGGAGTTTGAAATTCGATAAACAATCCCAATCCCTCAAGTAAACCTAGCCCAGTACGATCATCAATGGGACCGCATCTGGAAGCGGATTTTTTGGTAACGCTCGTCCCAAACACCCTTCGGGTGCTCAAAGGCGCAGTGATCAATGTGTCATATGTCGACCAGTTTACCTCGAGTTCCACTTTGTGAGACACACCTCATTTGGCGTGATCAGCGAGTTACACGAAGTGGAAACACAGGGATCACGTGTACCAGTAACATACTGTGACAGTATGTTGGTTTCCAAGTAGAAAATTATCAACGAGCATTTAAGTTAGTTTTGCACTCGCATGCTGATGTATTTAAATGCTTTTCAATAGTGGAAAGGCGAAGTCAGTGATAGTAAATTTGAGATCCACGGAATGTGCGCGCCAAAAACTTCAATAAATCGTGAATGTAACTGACTCTTCCCACGAACTCGGCAGTGCGGTATCTCCCGTCATCGATATCTGAGGGGTTTAACGCATGCATGCATCTTGTTAACTGACCCGATTGGGTGGTGAAAAAAGGTGCCAATTTGTGAGAAGCAAAAAGAAAACTTAGACTTGCGTCCCATTCCCTTAAACATCGATGACAATGTGTGGAATGTCCAGGGGAGAAAGGGATCTGCAGAGTGTCCGTTTAACAGCAGTACAGCGACAGATAGCATAACTAGTTATGAACCAAGAACATTACACATTACAACATTACGGTTGAATAGGTGATAAAACAGCAAAAGTATGGTAACAACTCCGTCCTAATTCTGTTAACACTGGGAAATCATAAGTAGGCAAATCACAAGTGAGGAATGTTAGAAGTGTTTACCGAACTGACACAAGAGATAACCACTGAGGTCTTGGAAGACCGACTTTGGAAGCGAATTAGGGTTAATCGTGGAGACCGCTTGAGAAGTTTTCAATGAGTGTTCACAAAGAAGCAACCACGTGAGGGGCGACACAGCACCACACCGAGATGAAGGAGAATCTCGAGATGCGAATTGACATGCAGGCCAATCAAGCCACTTACAGGAGAGAGTGAGGAAAAGCAGGCTCCGGACAAGGCCCCTCGTAATCAATATCAACACGCCGTGATCCTGTATCCACAGTGCGCATCGCGTAGCGCAGACCCGCAACCAACGGTTGTCCAGTGCAAACGAGACCGTGCAGAAGAGACACAGCGTAATCCAATGGTGCACCGCGACCGCCAGCTGCTCTTACCACCTCTGCCAAAGCGCACGTGATACGGTCGGCCACGTGGGCCAAACGAATCACTTGACTGTCGCTGCCGATTGCCTTGGTGGAGGCCTCCTGCTTTTGGCCAGTAAGCACATTGAACGAATCCACACAAATCTGAAATAAAACGCAAAGTAGAGGAGTACTGCTTGCAAGGAAAAATGCATGAGAGCAGAAGTGTCTCGGTGTGTAAACCGTTACAGGAAAGAGATGTTCGATTAAGAGCTAAAGAAGCAAAAAGTATGATTTCGCTTACACCAAGATGAAAAGACATAAGGAAATGAGTATCCATTTCGCCGAGCTTAGTACGATGGAGAAGGGATCTGGGGCAGTAATGAAGATCCGGCTATGCTGGGTAGCACAGAAAAGTCCCTAAGACTCTGCGGAAAAAGTGTGCTTCCATAAGTAAAACTGTGGTCAGATGATCGCATTGGAAGGGCTGGCAGCCGGGTCTCATTGAAAAGGGTTAAAGGTCAAAATTTCAGATGGTAACTTGATCGTGAAAATGGTCCATGGGAACTGCAACCGTAAGCAGACATACGAAGATGTACTCGGATAAGTGTGTGATAATTTGGTCGGGTGTCGCGGCAAGTAAGGCTTACAAACTTGAACTATTTCATATCAACTACAAATAAAAATTACAAACCGAAGTGGCGCGTGTACAAAAATTAAGATGGCGATCAACGCTACCGTGGTAATCACGAAGGAGAGATGATGCAAAAATGATGACTACTTCAGATAAAAATTTGTCAGATGATGGAGGCAAACAGGTTAGTTGCATGGAAAATAAGCAAACAACCACTACAACAGAGCATCGGTCATTGGAATTGGTTCTTCGTTACCGAACAACCACAATATCATGCGAAACGAAAAAATAATAGGATGAAGATGCGAAACTAAGCTTAAGCTCTATACTATCTCCGATCCATGTTAGGTCATACAGGTAACTACCTGAGCTAACCAGATATCAACTTCCTCTGTCATGCTAACAGGTTGCTCCTTCCGACGAACCAAGTTGAGCCAGGAGACTGTGACATGCGCGCACCGTCATGCAGTTCGTTCCTTAGCCAAGCGCTGTCAGCCAATAGCATGACGAATGAGTAGTAGTAGACATAGTAACGTGTACGCATGTGTGGGGCTCGGGGGTGTAGTGGAATCACTACAGCCCGGAGTTTGCTCGTGTGCGACTTGTCACTTGGCAGTGACGGATTACATGACGGGGGATGGGGGTAGTAACTGGTTAATATCTAAGGTCACCCAGGGCAGGCTAAGAGGAAACGGGGTCAGTGTATGATAAGCAGTCTGAGCGCGATTCACAGCACCATTATAACAGAGCCTGTTATCGAATAGGGGCACTGGCTACTCGCATTCTGACGGCCGACAATCCGTGTTACTAAGCTAAACCCAAGGTGCTTGTCCGTACGATCTATCGCGTGCTGTGCACACATGGCGTGCACGGGGCAATAGGCACAATAAGAGTGGCGCATTGAAGCGCGGAGGCCACAGATTACTTTGGTCACACTGCTAAATCGCATGTGCACTGGTGGACATAGACACCTTCACTGGTGCGAGGATAGCAGCGCAGAAATCTTTCTGGCATCCTGCGATTGCGCCTCAATGCTTTGCGAGTAAGGGTTTTAAAAACTAAGACGTTGACTCGGGTTACATAAACTAACCCCCTTTCCCTACCTGGGTAACTGAAAAGCTCTATGTGCGCACAACACGGACATGAATTTACGTAATCGTTTGCAGAACACATGTACGCCAAACTTATCGGCAGACTGGCTGGCTGGTGTAGGAATTGTGTTTAAGGAGCGCAGAAGCAGCGCTACTCGTTTGGATTCTACTTAACAACTAATCCTGTGCAATTCAAGTACAAGTCTCTATATGATTGTGCAGCCGCGAAACAACCGAACACTGTTTGTTTGTCGTAACAGTGCATGTTCCCATGGGTTGCAGCCCGGACTCAGCCAAAAATGGGTTCTACCGTCAACTCTCCGACCTACTCCATAAGAATCATTGCAAGTATATTGTGGTTCTCATCGGGGACCTGAGCGCACCTGTTGGTAGGCTCGAAGCTTTGGAACAAGATGTCGGTAGTCTGGATTGCTATGGTATTCGCATGACGGATTAAGAAAGGAAAAGAAAGGCATCAGCAAGACGCCGGTACGCAGTACCGACACCATACTGCCATGCAACCACCACCGGTAGCACGTGGGCTAAGGTAATCTTTCTGACCACGGACAACACCTGGGCGGCCGCTTCTAAGTCGATGTAGGCCGAACAGGCAGTGGTGATTAATTCGCTGATACCCATCGTCGTCAGAATCAGGGAGTCGAAGTTTTGTTACGACGCTGTTAGCTCGTATGAGTGTTTCGGAGACACAGCACACATCAATACCAAGCGAGTGAAGTGTGAGACGCAATGCTGCCTGCTGGTCGATCTGACCTAGAGTGCGGATGTGAAAAGAACCAATTTGAAGTGTAAGTCTAGGCTTGATGGCAGAATTAGATGTATCATTGTTAGCATCAAAAATGATATCTGAACTGGTAACAATGAGAAGCAGCGTGTGCAGTTCGTGCTAGGAGGCATCTTGTTAGCATCACAAATGCAGTCCTCGGGACCTAGTGCGATTTCATCAAAAGAAGAAATTCAGTGAATAATAATTCATAAAATAAGGGCACAAATTCAATTACGGTGTGGAGATAAAGTACCCACATTGGATAGCTGACAAGCTGATTCAGCTAGCTTTTGGTATATCTCTTGGCTCTCTTGACGATTGTATGGTCCGTGTAACTCTGACGAGTTTGGGCTAGCCACATGATGCGCAGAAGATGGATGACGTGCAGCATCCTTTAGCATTCCTTCTACATCATCTAAAAGAGCGATTAAACGTCGCACGATCACTTCGCCCGGGACGTAGCCCAACACAGCGTTGACTGAGGTGACCAACTAGGGAGGCAAGACAGAAAAAAATGTGAAAGAATGAATATCAGTATGGGTCGATGAAAGGGAAGCGGGTAGCAATGAGAAAAGGACCCCAATACGGCGGCACTAAATACAAAAATGTAAAGGAGTCGTAATATAAAAGACCTGCAACAATATCCGAGGAATAACAGATAGACCTGAAAAACCACTAAATATGGACCAACAATGAGATTAGCTGAATTCACAAAGAGGCGAAAACATGTCGGCTCCGATTTGGTGAAATTACAGCCCACTAGCTAGCGATGATAGCGCTGTGATCCACATACAAATACGTACGACACATGTGTAAAGCAATGCTGTCAACTGGCCTTGGGGGGATCAGTGGGCCTGAGGTAGGTTAATCAGAAGCATTTTATCAAGAGTGGGTGCAGTAGCCCTTAGCGTTAAACCAAACACAAGTACAGTTGTAGATGAGCAGTCCACTCTTCCATCAAGGCAACAGTGATCTAGGCAATCAGAAGTCACTAACAGTGTTAATAATTTGCAATAGCTGGAATGTAGGCGGCGAATAAGTCTTGATTTCGGTAGTTACATGACAAGCATGAATGACCATTGTTTTCGGATTATCCATCTTGTTCATTCACAGAGTCCCAACAGCAGTAAGTGGACCCATCGAGACCGAAGCGTTGAGTGAAATCAATCATCATCATCCAAAGTATACACGTTAGCTAGAGGTGGAAAACACCTCAGCTACTGTGCCACAATATCTTAAAGAAAAAAAATGAAACAGATGCATGTCAGCTGAGCTACCAGTAACAAGCATCGTTCCGGGAAGCTACTAGCCAGCTACCAGGCAACAAAAAATTATTAGGTAAAATTACATTATGCTAAGAAATGAGACCGTGGTTCGACGGGGTGGCTAAGAGGGATGGGGAGGTCCATCAGAGCGAAAATGCGTATTGTATGCGGAGTACGAAGCATGTGTCGCATGTGCACCCCCGACATGGACAGACCGGACAGTGACCCGACAGCACTATTCGGTTTCACTGTCAATGCTGAGGTGTTCAGCGACAGACGTCGGTGAGTGGCATACACCGCATCCTGTTATATATATATATATATATATATATATATATATATATATATATATATATATATATATATATATATATATATATATATGCCCCATGCTGAGGCTGATGTTGCATTCTTGATGCTTCTTCACCGCAGCTGGCCTAAACCAACTTACACTTAAACTAAGTCTTTTTAAGCTGGATACATTTTATTTCACTTTATTTGGTTTATTCTGCCGACCTGAATAACGTTCTATTAACTGGCCACGTTGCTTACATTAATTGCGCTTATCTTAGGTAACTTTGTTGCGTTTTGTAGCATTTTTAAGTAACTTGTGGACATTTCTTACTTATCGCGGATTCGTTGCAGACCAACTTACTTCATAAGGTAATTTAGCGAAGAGTTATGCCACTGTATCTATATGCATTATTGGATTTATTTTATTTCAGCCTGTCGTTTAAAGTGAATGGCTGTTGCTTGATATCCCCGGTGTGGCTGCGCTTGATGTGCATGTCGACAAGGTGCCTACCTCGTTCATACTGGCTCCAGGAGAGTGTTCGTCGTTGCTTGAGAAGACCGGGTGTACGGTCCTTGTGGTCGTGCTAGGCTCAAAGAGCGGTTCCATGCATTCAGTGTGGAGCGGACTACGGTCCAGCCACCGCCTTGTGTGCGCTTGATTTCCCAAATACAGCGTGCTTGTGTTTGCTTGTGAAGGAGTGTGGGCCGGGTCCGTTGATGAAACGTGGCTCCCATCCACATGTCTCCCGGTCTTATTCCTTCGGGTTTACACTGGATATGGGGTGTGTGGTTGGAGCTGTGGGTGATGAAGCGCAAGCCACCCATGGTCCCTGTGTAGGCGCAGGCGTCTTGTGGCTGGCCACAGTGACAGGCAAATCCGAAACCGGATGCCGCCAACCATATATATATATATATATATATATATATATATATATATATATATATGGGTGGCCGCATCCGTTTCCAGATTTGCCTGTCACTGCGGTCGCCATAAGTCAACCACAAGATGCCGGTGCCTACACAGGGATCATGGGTGCCTTGTGTTGCACCACCCACACACCCATATCCAGTGTAAACCCGAAGGAGTAAGACCGGGAGGCATGTGGATGGGAGCCAGATTTCATCAACGGAGCCGGCCCACACTTCTTCATCATTTACAGCATCAGCATTCCTGTCTATCTATGTAGGGAATCATGAGTACCAGATTTAGACAAGACGGTGGTTGGTCTGTAGCCCGCTTCACAATGGATGCGTGGAACCACTTGGAACCTAACACGGCCATGAGGACCATGCACTGCGTCCCACCCAGCAAAGACTAGCGAACTGTTGAAGCCAGCAATCGAGGTGGAGGGTGTTATACAAGCAGGTACCTTGTCAACATTGGAATCAAACGCAGCCACACCAGGGATATCAAACAACCGACATAGAAGTGGAAGGAAAATAAGCACGACAAATTGACGTAGAATATGTAGCAGAATAAAATAACTGGGCAAATCAAATAAAGTGGAATACATTTTAGCCATATTAAGAGCTAGTTCAAGTATAAGTTAGTGTAGCCCAACTGCGATGAAAAAACATAAGAAGAAAAAGAAGAAGAAGGATACACGCGTTGCCGGTGAGCCCAAATAGAACGAAGCAGCCATGTGGTGTTTTTCGAAGCAATGGATATTGAAATAAGGCAAGCTGTGACGAACCTAATTGAGATTGGAGAGCCAAGCGTAAAAGATTGAAACCATTGCGAAATCGCTAAACGTGTAACGCCCATTTGCAATGAAGTGGATCATATTCCAATGCTAAAGACGGTGGCTGCAGTTAGTCGATATTGGTGCACAGAAGGTTAGCAGCGATGACAGGTTATCAACCAATGGATGTAACCAAGGGAGAGTTTTCTAGTCTTTCAGTATTGTGCTGGATTTAGAGGTATTCGTCTACAATATAAAGAGTAGATCTGTGCTACTATAGTAGAAGGGGAACGAAAAAGATGTTTTAGGAACGAATGAGTGTGAATGTAAGGTGCATCCGCGTTTATTATTGCAGGCATCGTGTAGGGTGATTGCTAACCTGATCAGCTAATGCAGCTGCCTGGTGAGTTTCGTCACTCTGTGGATCGATGGGGGAACTACGCATAACCCATGCGATCAGCTGACCAGTGTGAGTGAGGCATGATTCACCGATTGACAGGAGATGCTGAAGCATTGCTTCTGCGGTAGATTGTGCTTGCTCTTCATGGCCTGCACCGAACATGCCCCCTTGATCACCCGGACTTGAGCAAGAGGATAAGTTGCTTTGCCTTTTGGTCGAAAGTCCATGCGAGACAAGGAGAACGCGGGCGAGTCCTAAGTGCCAAAGGAAAGTTGGTTAGACGGCAATGTGGAAAGTAGTAATAGTTCAAACACGTCAAGAGGAACAGAATGCAATAGCTTCAACTTGTCCAGTTGGAGATTGATAAGTCAAAGGAGCAGGCAGTTATCGAGCGATCAACTGAGTCCGAATCCAAGCGACAGTTTACATCTCGTAGACAGAGAGCCAAAACGAACAAAAACTGGTTTGGTAAGGCGTAGGCATGCAGCAATGAAATAATAGACAATTCCGGCTCAGACAAAGTTAAAACGTTTCATTTTGCTGGGGGAAATAAGCAGGAAGCCGCAATACATCGGTTACCTAATAAAACCGCCCTGGTGGGGTTTGCCAGTGAAGCGAAATGATAGAGAGGGAGCGGACAGTTTGTAGCTACGTTGTGACCCAGTGGAAAAGAGGTGCACATTGTAAGCGGGAAGTGAGGATGATGCCCTTAAATGCATTGTCATCGAGGGGAGTGCAGCAACAGTATTTGATTAGAGAATAACCTACGCAAACGGGTAGGATCTCCGAAGAGAGTGTAGTATGAAAATAACGTCAGCAAAAAAGAACCAGTGTTAACATCTAGATCCAAGACACTTGAAGCTTTAGACTTAACTCCATACAACCAAATGCAATGCAATCAACTGAAAGCAGCAGCGAAAGAACAATGTTAATCATTCCACGGTCCTATGAGCAGCTGGATAAAAAGCGACGAGTCGAATGCTGGTTATACTGGCAGTGGTTCTGGCTCGGACAGGGATTTTAGCACACAGAGTTAATCACCACAGTCTGGTTAGACCTATGGACAGTTTTTAGGAGCAAGCATCGTAAGCCGAGATTAAAACATCCGATTAACAGAACACCATACTTTGTGAAGTGATAAATGCAGCACAAAACAGTCTAATCATTTCGGTTCGATGTGCGCATACACACGCCATTTTTGTACAAATACATACCGTGATACACACGGCACTGCGTAGACTGGGAGAGAAAATGTTTAACAACCAAAAGAAACCCAATAGTTGCATCGACGTGGCTGTTATGTGAGTCAAGTCAAATCAAATCAAGAATGGCTTTTATGCACCCATGGCAAGTGAATTTTCGGCACGAAAATAATTCCATAAACATCAGAAGAATATTGGTGACGGAAGCCGGTTGCTTATTCCGTGCCTGAGTTGTCAGAATACTCTCTTGTGGATGTACCGGCGTAGTAGAATTATTTTGTGGAAATTCCGGAATCATCCCATTTCTGAGTCCGCAATTTCTGGATCATATTTTGTGTGGTATCTTCCCACATATTTCGTAGTTCCGTTTTGCAAATTCTACTTTTCCATGTTCCTCACTTTTGCACCATTTTTCCAAAATGTCGAAGAGATCATCCTGTGGTTCCTGCTCGAAAATTGTTGGAAACACGACAAATGCCCTTACATGCTTTGACTGCTGTGCTAGATTTCATATTTCGTGTGTTGGATTACCTGCCGATTCTTATCGTCTTCTGCGTTCCATCCAACATGATTTCATCCAAATCGTGTGCAACAAATGTCGCAGTCTAAGAAAGCTGGAAAAACGTATAACGTCTGCTGATGCAGGTCGCGACCAAAAACGCTTAACTATGAGCAATTATAAACCTACCGTCCCGCAAATTGGCATAGAGTCCATCCAAGGTTCAACCCAGTCTTCCTGTCATTCAAAGCCCTCGGACAACTCGTTACCTCGCCATCCTAATGTTTCCGGAAACACAACCCTAATTGAGGCTAATGATCTACTGACTTTGCGCTATGTTAACTCTAATGACGCAGATGAATGCCTAACGCATGAGGAATCTTGGAAAACTCAAGGACGGAAGAAGCCGCGAAACGGAGAAAAATTTCCTTCTACTGACCAAAAACAGGCTAGATCAAGCAACGTTCGAGTCCACTCTTCTCCCGCAAGAACCACTTTGAATGACGAGAAGCGATTAAATCTGATGCTTTTTTCCCGTACCTGAGTCCAATGATCCAAGTCCTCAAGCACGCTATGATCATGACGTAGAGTTTCTACAGAGCCTTGTTGATAGGCTCCTCAATGTGGGTGAGGATGAAGTGAAAGTGAGGCAAGTCATACGCCTCGGCAAAAACACTGCTGAGAAAGACCGACCTATGCGAGTAACTTTTGCTGACGAGGCAAGCCCGAAGCTAATACTGTCTCAGTTGGGTAGACTGAGAGGTGATAGGGTGTATATTCGTTCGGATATCGATCCAGCTGACCGGGAGCACCTCAAATGTGCTATCATCGAGCTAAAGCGGCGAACTGATGAGGAAAAAACAAACTTAGGTATTGTAAATTTTCGGGTAATTGCAACACGATCGCCAATCCGGATAAATCGGTCGCTCACACTTCAGGTTCGCCCGATAGTTCTTTACCATAGTCTTAGTGTAGCCTTTACCAACGTCTGTAGTCTCAGGAACAAGCACGATGAGTTGTGCAGCTTCGTTCCTTTCGAGCGACCAGATGTAGCGGGACTCGCAGACACGTGGTTGAACGATGAAGTACTCACCCAGGAAGTTGAGCTTAGTGTCTACTTATGTTTCCACTGTGATAGGCTATCGAATGTCCACGGTGACGTCTTGCTCTACATCCGGTCTGCCCTGTGTGGGAGACCCGTGAGCGTCCACCGAGGCGAAGATGGCCAAGGTGAGCACTTGTGCTGCTCAATCCCTCTCAGGCGCGGAGAGCTACTTGTGTGTGCATTCTATCGCAGTCCCCTGAGCCGTTGTTTGGATTGGCTGACGCATCTCCAAGACCACATGAGTCGCCGCCAATTTCTACTCATAGGCGATTTCAATTGTCCTGGAATACGCTAGCCTGAAATTGAACGGATCACCCGTTATTGTGAGGTCGAAGCAAAGTTCGCTGATATAGTACTTGAAACGGGGGCAGCACAGCACATCAGCCAACCGACACGGATAACACTTCGCTCAAATCCATCGTACCTAGACTTGATGTTAACCAGCTGTGGACAACCTGTGTATGACATTCAGATTATGGAGACCCTGGCAGCAAGCGACCACTCAGTTCTCATTGTCAACATGGAGCTGCCACCGCAGCAATCCCACAGACTGCAGGCAGATTACAACTAATAGGAGACGGATTTCGACGGGCTGACTCGCGCCGCGAGCCAGGTGCATTGGTTTCTGCCGCAATCTATATATACTGAAGCTTGTTGGTCAGTTATAAAGAATGGAATAAATTCATTGTGTAACCAAGTGTTGGAAAATCGGACCGGTTAAACTAAATTGGTTCGACAAAGAATACGGTAACCTGGCTCGGCAGCGGCGCAGACTGTGACAAATTCTTTACCTCTGACTCGGACGACAATTATGAGAGGTATACAGAGCAGCGAAATATCTGCAACGGCTTGAAAACCAGCAAGCGCAAATATTTCGAAGAGCAGCTTGCAAGCGCAGCAAAAACCGCCTAAAAGAGAATCTTTGAGTACGTAAAGCGGCGCCTGGGGCCGACAAGTAACCTACCAGTGATAGGGAACAAGAACGGACAGCCCCTAACCTCCAGCACTGAGCGTGCTTTCGCATTGGCGGCGCACTTTGCTTCTGTGTTTGCAGATGTCCAAGTGTCTGTACCGAGTTCGGCGTGCATCACCATTACCGAACTCGACAGTCTGGATTGTGATGTGAAAGAGGTGCGTCAGTTACTCGACAATCTTGACGGCACGAAGCCTGTTGGCCTCCACCCCCTGATTCTCAAATCCTTATCAACAATCATCTCGCCTGCGGTAACTGACCTGTTCAACAGGGCTCTGTCCGAAGGTACACTGCCGATGGATTAGAAATGCTCGGTGGCGACGCAGATTACGAAAGGTGGTGACCCCAGCAATGTAGACAACTACAGGCCAATTTGTTTGACACCTATTCTGACCAAAGTTGCAGAGAAGATTGTGAAGAAACGTTTGCTACAGCTGTTACGGTCAAAGGATCTCCTGACGCCCACACAGCACGGTTTCATGCCAGGTTGTTCATGCATCACCAACCTGCTCGTGACGAGGTATGAATGGATGCAGACAGTGAAGCAAGGGAAGTCTGTCGATATGATCTAGTTTGATTTCAGCAAAGCGTTTGACAAGGTGAACCATGAGGTCCTCCTGTTAAAGCTGGGAGGGTGTAGTGTTGGGGGATTTCTGCACCAGCGGATCCAGGACTTTCACCTTAGACGAAAGTGAGGGTACAAGTCGATAGCCACCTGACCGATTGGTATCCTTCGACCCCTACCCCAAAGCACGGTGCTGGGGCCTACATTGTTCCTGACTTATATCAACGACCTACCTCGGCTTCCTCGGTCGCCATGTGGCATGTTTGCAGATGACCTGAAGACATGAAGAGTGATAAGCACACCCGACGACTGCGGCTTACTACAACAAGACCTAAACCATCTTTCCGTGTGGTCTGCAGAAGTTCGCCTCCCGGTCAACGCATCAAGTCGGTATTCATGAGCCTGGGGAAGGGTGGTGACGGCCGAACTTACACTCCTGATGGCCAACTGCTACAGCCCACACCTTCGGTAAACGACCTAGGAGTACTCTCACGTTGCGACTTGAAGTCCGTTGACAACAAGAACAGGCTATATCGTAACGGACTGCGCATGCTCTGGGCACTCAAAAGTGGTTTCTGCATCTGATCTGAAGAGGTTGCCACTCACCTCTTCTCCTCCATCATCAGACCAATGCTAGAGTACAGCTCGCCCGCCTACTGCCCGACCACTCGCGGCGAGGCGCAGAAGATCGAACGGGTTCAACACGTCGCTACTAGACTCATCCCCAGTTTGTGAGGCTCACTGCAGGAGGACAGGCGTGAGAGACTGAGACTGTTCACCCGGGCATACCGCTGGTTACGTGTCGACCTCATCATCAGCTACCGGATTCTACATGTAAGCGACTTCCCATGCTAAGGTCAATGCTCCACTTGCGAACGCCTTGCAGCATATGCAGACACGAATACAAGCTTGTGGTTCCAGATATGAAGCGGGTCCCCCATCCCCTGTGCTTAGAACGGCGAGTGGTAAATATTTGGAACGGCTTGCTGAAAGCGAACTCAGTGCAGTTATTCAAACGATCATTGGATGTGCCTTTCTCCAATGTCAAATGCTGTGAACGATTACCCACAGGCATCTCGCAATTTTGAGACCTAATCCGCTGTGAGTTAACGATATGTTAACGATATAACGTGAGAACGTGCAAAGCAATCAGCGTATTGACAAGCCATAGTTTGCTTCTTTTTAACGCTTTGGATCATATTTCGATGGAGTTGTACACAGATGCAAATTTCTACTTGCTCCCACAATACATCATTCAGTATTAAGAAGAGGCTTTGAGCTGAACGCAGTAAAATCATTTGCAGTGGTTTGGCAAAAAGAATACAATTACGGAGAAAAGTGACATTGTCAAACATCTCGAGCCTGTAAATACAATGCATAAAAGGGTTAACAAGGCCGAGCGATAAAGGTCACAGTAGAGGATAAAAATACGTCTGTCAGAGTAAAAAAGATGTGTCGAACAAGGCGATGTGTACATGCACGATTCGTTTGCACAAACACCCGTCTACAAGGACACCATCCACGGTAGTCTGCAGTGCGTTGTGGTTCCTAAAACGTCCATCTATTGACGATACTGTCTGGTTGGCTGAAGCTCTAAGATGGTTAATCGAAAACAAGGGAAAGAAAGATGGAGATACTATCGAAGCGAATTCGTTAGGCTGGCAAATATCACTTGCGCGGATGGAACCCATGGAATCGATTGGGTCAATACATAAAGCTCCCTATCATAGCGCGAATGTGAAGTCAACGGTGAATCAGCATTTGGTCCCCAGCGTCTACCCATCGACCTATGCCACCAAAGACTACACCTCATTAAGATCAACTTAATTTGTGTTTGAGCGATGCGCACTTATCATGTGAATTCGCTGAGTTATCATCTGTTATAATTGAGATTTCATCGCAGCAGCTAACAAATAAGTCCTTCACATGACCAGAAAAGCACAAGAATGCAGTTTCGACTTGTTGGCTACACGTTAGTCGCTGTAAATGGATAACGGCTGATTGGCAGAAAAAAACACCACAAAAGTAAAGATCCGCCATTGGGTTAGTGATTGAGAAGCTCGAAAAGTGGCAGAGTTCGCATGAGGTGACACTACGGAAACTGACTCAGGGTCAATTTCGCATTTCGAATACCATTCCAGCGCATATTTTTAATAACAGCGATGATAAGCGTCGTCAGACGAAGCTATTCGAACCGATAAGAAGCTGGCGCAGTGTGACCGTGAAAGTCTGACGGACACATGATCTAGATGTATGCCCATCACAGAAGGCCAAGTAGTAGAATGAGCGAATGGAAGTTGAATGCAAGTTGTTTAAAAGCTGGGTCCCTACCCATTGTCAGCTGTGCAGTAGCCTTTAAATGAAGTCCAAAGGCGAGTAGATGCATTAAGCGAAGGTCTACCTCCTCCAACTGTTTCTCCAATGTGAGCACACTGAGCACCCATAATAAAGTACACTCAGACCAAGATGTACAGACCGACAACAGCGATCCGGAAAGAGAAGAAGCAAGATGAGAACAGAGTGCACTGCATTGTATTCACGAAAATTCTAAAAGGTGCTTCCAAACTGACTAAGTGAAATCGACGTATACTGCCGTTACTAGTGAGAAGATTAAGGCACTGGGGTAGGTGAACTTTGGGGCCAAATGCACTCACTATAATCCAAAGTTTGTGAGTGGGCTGATACGGTGAGAAACGCCACAAGGCCTCGAATGCCCCGGACTAGAGGTGAGAGACGTTCCAGCAACTCATCTAGAACGTCAACAGCGTACTGCCAACCGCGAAATGAAGGTGGGGTGTCGCCGTGGGATATCAGGCGTGAAATTAAGGTGGGTGGTTGATCCGGAGGTTGCTCAGCAGCTTCGGATGATAAATCAGGAAGTGCAGGAGGAAATGAGCGGTTGAATCGACTGACGGCACCCCAAAGCGTTACACAAACGGAATCGAGCTGATAAAGAGGAAAAAGGGATCATACGAGGACAGAGCAGTAGGTTTCACGATACGCAGTACACAGATTAGGTGTAGATGACCTGGCAAGAAAAACGCGAACTGTAATCCATTCTGAATATTGTTCAGCGATTTTAACTCACAGAACGTTATATCAGCAGCCCAGCACAGCTCGCAAGTCATACGAGTCGCTATACACTGTAAGTATGGAACTCAGTCGATGTTACTAGAAGACTATGATTTTCTATGAGTACAAATGTGGTTTAAAACAGCGCCAGAGTGTTGAGCGATTGTGTGCTGCGTTTGGCGATGATGAGCTTTCAAGAATCACCGTGTTTAGGTGGATTAGAATTCAAGCGTAGCAGGTGGTACCTGAATAATGAAGCACGGTGTGATCGACCCGTGGCGGCCACTACTGCGGACATTTGTGCTGTGCAATGGATACTTAAGGAAGACGCGCGGGTGACTGGTACAGCTGGGGAAAGCCATCGGAATCAATCCGCACCGTCCTCAGCGTCAGAAAGGTTTCCGCATGCTGAGTACCCCATCGGCTCAGTGAGGACCAGGAAGTAGCTCGGATGAACTGGTGCCGCACCATGCTTGTCAGGTTTGGTGGTGGACGTTCCAATGCTGATTGGGAGATCCTCGGTGGTGATGAGACCTGGGTGTACAGTGTGGACCCAGAGAGCGATCAACAATCGGCTCAATGGACGGTCGTTGGTGTGGCACAACCTCAGAAATTCCGGTGTGAGCGCAGTGTGGCCAAACAGATGGTGGCAGTGTACGCAACCAAGATCGGTCATGTGGCTAGTGTACCACTCGTACGGCAATACACAGCCACTGGAGACTGGTAGGCCACAAGTGCTGGAAGCTGAAGCCAGGCGTCGTCCAAGGACTAGAGCACGAGGGACCTTGCTGCACCATAGCGCACCTGCAAACAAGTCCTATGCCGTCGCAGACTTTCTGGCTAGAGAACGTGTCCAGGTTAGTCACCCACTCTAGAGTCCAAACTTGGCTGCATGTGACATTTCTGTGTTCCCAGATGTCAAGCGCAAGATGCGTGGAATCCGCTACGAGTCTCCAGAAGCTGCAGTAGTGGCCTTTATTGAGCTGTTTGAAGGGTTACTCGCTTCGGCATGGTCTAGCTGCTTCTTCAAATGGTTTGAGCGCATGGAACTGTGCATGAACGCTGGTGGAGAGTACTTAGAGAAAATGTAATGGTTTGTTTGTTATAATAAAACATCTTCTGCATCCAGAAACTCATTGTTCTATCCCAGTAAACAACAAGTGATGGTAACAAAGCAACATAACAAACGAATAACTTCAAAAGGGGCAAAATGCCTCATTCGGGTAAACCAGCGAAGTTGCAAACTCTGGGATCACGTTAGGAAAAGACTGATAGTATAATGTCACGCGGAGAATGATGGGGTACACTCACAGTTTCATCAGGCAACAACCGGGTTGTGTTAGAACGAAGCTCCTCATTCAGATCATCCAGGCGACGGTTAATTTTGGACATCGCAGCAAACCACTGTTCGTCATTTTTCATATGGGTAGGACTGATGGTCAATGCATCGAAACTTGGTGATTCAGTACACAAGACCGACTCGGAATCAGCATAACATGTCCGTAAATCTGTTAGACAAGCTCGTGTGTTTCTAGCGGCACCGCAAAATGCTGTCTGCAAGCCAGAATCGGGAATGGTGGGCATCAATGCATCTGTGATTTTCAATAGCTCCTCGAGGCACTATTGTCAGAACCAAATGAGACAAAGAGTGTGGATCAGTGAAATGCAGAGAAAAGAGTAAAAACTATACGATAAGCTGGAGTGGAGTGAAGTACATGTATGTGCCCATCATAATAAGAGCCGGTCAAACAAGTAATATATTACAGGTGTGTAAGAACTTAAGGAATGTCTGAGTGAATAGCGGAGGGGAACGCGAAGACCATAACCAAGAGGACGACGGAACTGCCGGGCAAAAACAAGAACACAAAAGATGGAAGCAACCAGTAGATAAGGAAGTAAAAACTGGATATTGGAGGAAGCATAATAAGAAACAAAGAGAAGATAATGAACGGTTTGCACAAGGCAGACGACATGATGATGGGTGAGATAAGCCGATGGAAAAACAGTAAAATACAATTAACGCTAGGGTTTACTTTCAAAATGCAATCCGTGACACAATAACCCAAAGATATAATCGATGATGATGAAGTATCAAGAACGTAAGTCAACTTATAGACACCGTATAATGAAACGTTTTGACTTCAACTAAGGTAATCTCTCTCTCATAGGGCTCTTCCGTAAGCAAAATCGAAAATGCGTGTTGTCAAAATGAGCATCGCCATTGCTTGGCTTGTCTACGCCAACACTCAGTGACATTTGTTTTCAAAATTGAACGCGGTCCGATGAAAGAGCCTGTTAACCGGCGCACAAAAACGGATGCTAAACGATGAGCAACTAACCTGCATCAAAGTTTGTGAGGCGGATAATAGATCAGCCTGTTTGTGTGCATTGTATGGTTCGCTGCGAGCACCGGAACAGGACATATTAACTTGGGGTATCACGCGTTTCTGCAATTGCTCCAAATTGGTAGCAAGCTGCATATGTAAAAAGAAGGGAAGGAAACAAGTACAGATGATCGGTTAAGGTGAAAAGCAGAATTAAATTAAAATTAGTGATCAATAGCAATCAATAGGGTGAACCAGATCCCTAGGCAAAGAAGGTCAGTACAGATCTGATGAGCAATAGTAAGACGGATACTCATACGCTTCAGAATAACTAGGTGAAATGACGAGAATGTAATGGGTCAATGTAATTGGCATACATAATGATGATTTCCAAGCGAGCAGCGTTGATATCGATGAGAAGCAGTAGATAGCCAATATTTTTCGGTACTGACGCAACTGTGCTGCTGTACTGACGGTGGACAAGTGAGTAATCTAGTATAAATGGCCAATACGAGAAAACGTTAGGGATGTCGAGCGATAACGGACAACAGTAAGGGATATCAAGTGTTACAAAATAGAGAAACAAGTCGGCGGTGTAAGGAATTTCAAAAGTAGACTAACTTTGTAGGTGTTCCCTTGAGAAATGCGCACCACTTCACCTCCAACTGTAGCCAGCGGACCCGCATTAGCGGCAGTTAACCGAGTTGCAAACTCGAGACCCTGGGTCAGGCGAGCCCGGATGATAGGGCCGGAGGCGACATAAGAAGTTGACACCAGCCGCTCAGCTGCGGCTACAATCATTTGTTGATGTTCCAACGATTGCAGGTTCCCGTCGGCACAAGCCTACACAAGAAGGATGCGAAAGATAAAATGCGTCCGCATTGCAAGCGTCACAAAATATAGAGCAAAACGACGAGGAATGCTCAGAAAGTATCATAGAATACAGAGAAAAAGAGCTAATTACCTGGGCTGCTGTTAGTAAGCGCCGGATGTCAGCCTCCAAGAGGTCTGCACGCTTAGCTGCTTCGACAGAAGAAAGGGTTGTCCGACTTTGTTCCAGGGAGGCTTCCGAACGCAAAGTAGACATCAGACTAGATGCAGCGGAAGCCAGTGTACTCGCCTTGTTCACGAGATTTACCCCATCGCCAATGCTTGCGGGGAGTTGGGTGGATGCAGACAACAGAGTGGAAACGACCGGATCTTGATGAGCCTGAAGTGAGAACAAAGTATACAATCAGGGATACATATGGAGCTGGGAATTAAGGTGAACACATACCGCGCATACGGAGTACGACAGAGGAGTCTGAAGCTAATCAGACTGGACTGATCCTTGTGATATGCGAGTGCAGTGTTTACACACTTCTTAGTGGTGGACTGCATCGCAAAGGACCATGCGGATGAAGGTATTGACCATCTCAGTTAACTCATCAATAACGTCTTCAGAGAGATCGAAAGAACCGATAAAGAGAGCAGCCACATTAAGGTTATATTGCGGATGAAACTGTAGAAGCAATTGGTCCTGCCACTTTGAGTACAAAAGCTCCAAAGCAAATGTAAGCACGTCGACGTAAAATGCCTTAGATTCCCGTGATGAGAATTGTCGTAGTGGTTCGAATGTAGTTGTGAATCGTATGCTACAGTCATCGGTGGAACACCGTCACAACCACGCCATCACAGACACCGTTTGTTCGCACCATACCTGATCATCATGTACGAGGAGACACTTAACATGATCGTACCACAAATCCAGGTATTAACTGGCATGCGCACATCATCGCGTCACGAGGTGTAGAAACGCATTCCAATGTAATTCTTTTGGAGAAAACATTTCCTTTGAAAAGTAAGTCAGTATCACCCCTTAAACAAGACAAATAAAAACAAAAAGCGAAAATCCCCACGGAAAAGAACGACAGAGGAACCGATTGAAAGTGACAGTTGGGAGCACGCACCCAGGTTGAAGCAATGTGGCCTCATGTATCACATCTTGTAAAGCTGATTACTGATGTGGCTGATCTACAAATCCGACACAAAAGGAGGACAATCGTCAGATGTCCCACTGCCCTTAAGCCCCTTGTCAACTCAACAGCTGAAGAGCTTCGGTATAAGATACAGACCGAAGTGAAGGACTAAAAGATGCTACATAAACCTTATGAAGAGCCGTCGATTATGTGATGTTATCTGCCTTTTCTTCAATCCTACCCGTGAATACTTGTTGATGAGATACTGCAAATCACGGATTTGGATGTGAACATCAAGCATGCAATCAAGACCCACAACAAAATGCACCTGAACCTTACAGTGAAGCGTGATAATGAGCAAGACAATTGTCCCTCGTACTTAGACGCACCGAGTATACTGCTCCCAGACGATTCTATCAGTAGGTCTGTCTACGGGAAGCCAACCTGGAGTGAATAGTATTTGCATTCCACGAGCTTCTCTCCGATCCAGTACAAATGTTCCCTCATCTGGACACTTCTATCGGGTCCGCATGATCTGTAAACGACACCATAAAAGCAACAAGGGATATGCTTTACGATACGCTACAAATCAACTATTACCCGTTGCAATTCATTAAGTGCTTCAGTGAAACAACCAGGCGAGATCGCGTGGCAACAGACCCAAAGAAGCTGATCATCATCGAGCTACTTTTCAAAGGTGACTACATTAAGAAGGCCACCGAGACACGGATAAATGCTTCACTCAAAATAGCGTACCATGCGCAGAATTGCAGTCGCTCATCTCGACTACACCCGTGCTAATGTGTTCGAATAAGACACCGAGGACGAGGCAGTGCATGTCCCACTGTTTATACAAATTCACCAGTTGAATCAGAAGATCGAGCTATTTCGGCAATCACAAAGCACTTGCTTACCACCGGGCACCGAGTCAAACCCGGATGAATCGTTCACAGCCCTAATGCGCGATCGGCAGTCGCACATGCTGAGGATAGTGGGTGCCATCGTTATCGACGGCGAACGACCGCCATTGTATATACAAAAACAGCTGGCTGTGGCATTAAGCGTACCATAGTAACGCAAATGTTCGGCTATTAATGATCACATTTGACATTCGGGTTGTTCGTTTACCTATCACTAAGGTATGGCTGTGGTTGATTAGAATGCACGGAATGACGACGCTATCCCACGAACTACGTTTTCGGAGTGTTCCCGTCCGAAACCTTGAGGACATCGCGACAATGGAAATCCCTACCGTAGTATAACGGCCACCAGCTGGACGTACTTCTCGGTGAAGATTTCCTAGTTCTCATCAAGGAGAGCTGCCAAAGTAGTTAACCGTGTGACGTGAGAAGGCGGTAGCCGGTGGTGATCAATATTTTCCAACCACATTTACTGATACTTTCAGACCTATTGCTTCTATTTGACGACGTTCGAACTGACGCTTAAATTTGCTTTAGAGCTCAGAAACCAACAGACTTCTTTCGGCGCATACATCAAGTAAGTCAACCACTTGAGGTGTGTGTGTGTGTGGCAAACGAAGCTGTCAGAAAATATTTATGGCTGAAGTTATCCATAAGACGGACACGATGCTTATCGTGTGTGGTAGCAGCAGTACCAACGCTTTGCTGCCACGTAACGACTAGCAGTCACGCGCGAGCCAGATAGACTGCGAGGTAGCCCCCACTTCCGCAGACCGAAACCCATGACCTGTGGACCCTCCAACCAGGTAGTTACCGACCGGCGCGGTGTCGCAGCCATCATCAAACACATGCACCGGGAAGTGTTCATCAAAAGGTGATAGTTGCAGTAGGGACATGCTGAGGAGAGAAAGTGACTCAGTTCACGCGATAAGCTCAAGTATTATCCTATCAACAGAGCGTGGTGGATCTAGTAACTTGCACCTGTGAGAAGTAAAAGGAGATAGCGTGCTGTAGCCAACCAGTGGGCAAGTAATAACACTCACTTGAGAAGAGTTAAAATGAATATAAGGGTAATTTTTCGCTTAGCAGATACGGCAAATTTGTTGTACGGAAAGTAAACACACATAGGTTGGAATCGGCCAAAACACCCAAGAGAGGTTGAGTTGGCAGATGGATGAAATTGGCGGAAAACATTGTTTCGAAATTGGTATAGTTTGGCATAGCTTCATGCACACAGGACAGAAAGACAAGCAACGCTGGTCAATCTAATTAGGACAAAAGGGAACAAAAACCTATATATTTTATAAGGTATGTGAAGAAATTGAATCCAAAAGAATAAAAGAACCTGGAACTCAGTAACACACGACGAAATACCACATTTTGTATACATTGAGCTAGACCTATCAGCCATGGGAAGCTGAGGAAAGATACCAAACAGTACGTTGGACCTATTAATTGCCTACAATCGTTTAAGATAGATGGTGGGAATCGAATCACATTTCGTCAGATTACTGAAGTAAAGAGACAGCCAACACAGGTTCGTGGAAACGTACTGTTCGCACAACACGGCCTGAAGTTCCGGCTACGTGTGCGTAGGCGGGTGCAAAACAAATGGAATGTGGCCAACATGAAGGTAATAAACATCACACAGGTAGTCGATTCCAAATCGATTGATGTGCACACCAGCTAAGTGACATGAGCGGCGACCTTAAGACCAAACGAGATCTGTTGATATGACAAACGCAACCGGAGGTGCACATGTGTGCAGCGCAACCTGTATCTGGCACAGTATCTGCATGGCGCATGAGAAAACTGGACAGTCGTGTTCACATGGTCGGGACATTGTAGGAGGCCGCCACAGGATATGAGAAAGAAGATTCAAGATTGTGCTGTGTGAAACTCGAACGACAGAATCAGTTTCGAAGAGAACGGGTAGAAAACTGAACTCGATAACGAACCAAAATAAGGACGAAAGCGGTCGGTCGTGGAGTGCGGTGTTTAGAGGGTGTAGCTCCAAAACCAACTCGATGATGCAATTATCGGAAAACAATAACAGTATTATGAGAGGATTTTCGTCCCCACGAGGTGCGACTTCCAAATGATTCGATGGTTTTCCTTGGACTGTTTCTGAATACTGAATACTGTATTATAGAGCAAGTAGAAATGGATTCTGTACAACTCTTTCGAGATATGGCGAAAAATGTTATAAAAGTTGTCAACCTTGAATATCATTGTCGTTCTCATGTAATATTTAAAATATTCGACTTACGATATTTCAGGATTCACAAATGTGATGTCATCATAAGTGTGCAGTCGTTCTCTGAATCGAATAGAGGCAAAATGCAAATCTAACAACGTTTTGAACTGTTGCACAGATGTTGCCTCAATCACATGTTCGGGCAAACTATTCCAAATGTTTACCACTCTCCGTTCGAAGCACAGTGGGTGGGGAACACGTTTCATATCCGGCACAACAAGTTTGTATCTGTGTCCGCGTGTGCTGCATGGCCCTCGTAAGTGCAGCATTGGCCTTAACATGGGGAACTCACCGAGATGTAGAATTCGGTAGGTCATAATGAGGTCGACTCGCACCCGACGGTAGGACAAGGTGTAGAGTCCTAGTTTCTCGCACCGGTCTTCATACCCAAAGCCACGTAAACTCGGGATGAGCCTGGTAGCAACGTGTTGGACCCGTTCGATCTTTTGTGCCTCGTTTCGGGTAATCGGAAAGCAGGCGGGCGAACCGTACTCTAGCATTGGTCTAATGATAGAAGAGAACAGGCGAGTGGCAACCTCTTCAGACCATGTGCAGAAGCTACGTTTGAGCGCCCAAAGCATGCGCAGTCCGTTCCGATATAGCCTGTTCGTGTTGTCAACGGACTTCAAATCGTAGCGTGAGAGTACACCTAGGTCCTTCACGGAGGGTGTGGGATATAGCGTTTGGCCGTCAAGGGTGTAGGTTCGGCCGTCTGCACCCTTCCCCAGGCTCATAAATACCGACTTGGCTGGGTTGACCTGGAGAAGAATTTCTGCAGACCATGTGGATAAGCGGTTGAGATCTTGCTGAAGTAGGCCACAGTCATCGGGAGCGTCGATTTCTCTCCAAATCTTCATGTCGTCCGCAAACAAGGCACACGGCGACCGGAGAAGCTGCGGTAGATCGTTGATGTGGATCAGGAACAGAGTGGGGCCCAGCACAGTGCCTTGAGGCACGCCACTTGTAGAGGGGTACCAGTCAGTTAGATGGTCGTCGACCTGTACCCTCCACTTTCGTCCAACAAGAAAGTCGCGGATCCACCGGTGCAGTGAGCCACCGACGCCACACATGCTGAGAAATAATTCCCGGAGACGACATCTGCTTCTAATACTTTCTTATTGAAATGATGGCTAACCACATCAGAAAGATAAAGTTATTGGTTGGGTAAATCCAGGCTCATCACCAAATCCAGAAAATTCAGTCAAGCTGCAAGCTCGGTTCCATCAGCGTAGAGCCATAAATTCTCTCTGACGGCAGGGGAACCCAATCCTTGCTTACACTGCTATGGTACACCATCCACTCAATCCAACCTCCTTAAAGCTCATTCGTGAGTGGCTTTGGTGTTACTCAAAATAGTAGGAAAATACAAGCAAACTGCATAGGAACAGATAGGAAAGTATATGAACAGTCACAAGCAGATCCCAATTAGTCTCTGCAGCCAAATTCATGAGTCGGATCTGCCCTCTAATGTGTTGAGGAACAGATAACTGAATCAAAGGCTAGCGGCGAGAAACTTTGGAAAATACCCCTAGGAGGGTGAGCAGCTAGGGAGAGTATGATAAACCCACAATAGGCGTCACAGGCTGTTTCTGCTATTCTTGATCAATTAGTTCTACTTTGCGAATCTCTAGTAAGATGACCGGCAACACATCACCTACGACTTCGTAATCTGTGCACTTCTGCGCCCGAACTGTTTGACAGACAAATGATCACACTTAACTTCTTGTTCGTCAATGTTCCCTATCCATGGCAGACCGGTCACACACGATCGCATTTTGATGATGCAAGGTGAGGTTACAATACTAGGTCGACAGATAACGGGTTCAAGGAATATCGGATTGGACACTGCGTGTGAGCGATCGGTTTGCGTAGCTGGGTAAATGTACCGTATATGACGGCCAAACTATCGCTGAGGTCAAGGTGCGCGTTCATTGTGAACGTGCTGCTTTTCAAAGCTTCAAGTAAATACAAAGACGGCGGAATACTAACCTGTCAGGGTACACAAAGCTGAGGCACAATCGGTGTAGTTGCACCGCCGTTGCGCGTTGGTTATTGGTGCCTGCGCATTAGTGATTAAAATTAACAGGAGCAGCTAGTGAAGAATACCAATGTCGTCTAGATGGGATAGCCACAAAACCCTCTGGTGTAGCACTATAGCATTTGTCCTGGAACCGTTCGCTTTGGTTTGGCCACATCTTCCTACGCTAGTGGATAACCTCTATGTCTAGTTACTAGACTGTTGAGTGGATAACCTACCAGTGTGACTTCCGAAGACATTGTGCCCAAGTGAGTGAAACCTAGGGCGACTAATTATGACGTACAAAATCAATGATCGACAAGCCTAGACGGATTGATGCGTGCCACTATCTCGAATGGGTATGTCGGGATTCGCCACATCCATGGCTGGAGACTTCGTCCAATATGGCGCAGTCGCGAGCGTGTTGGCGCCGGTGCATAGGATAGGCAGCAATCTGTTGCGTGTCACTGACTTATCATTTGACAATCACATTTGTTTTCCCTTAATTTCTCCTTTTCAGATGAACCTGAGTTTGGAATTTCGTTTGTGTTATACTGCTGTTTATTTTACGCTAGTAATGTGGTGGTGTGAATCATGATAACCGGATCCGCAATAATTCAGTGTTCAGGTTATGGAAGAACAAACGAGTTAATCTGAACAAAACCAAATAGTGCGGCTGGGAAGTTAACAAAGGCATGCAAACCAGCAGCCAATAATCAAGAATGGATTGACATCGACGTACCTGAATGGAGGCTGCCCTTAAACAGTCAACCAAAGAATCAAGCCCCGAATGAATCTCCAGTACGCCTTCGTGGAGATCGTCTCCAAGTTGCAAGTGCGCATCGTGTTGCGGAGTGTTTGCCCCGACAAGGTCAGAAGACATTCGAATCAGATCATCTGTCGCACCAGAGACGGCGTTAGCCGACACCCCAACCTATGTAACATGAAAGAAAGGTGACGGACGGGTTTCAAGCGCAACATATACACAACAATTGGCCTCGGTTGGTATAGGTTGGTATAGCTGAGATGGTAACCAGAAAACAGGAATGGGATCAAAAGAAATAGTTCCCAGCCGATCAGAGAAAAAATATAAATTGCCAGCTGTACGCCGTAACGGTGCTTCGCCGCCACGCGACTGCCACCAGTTGCGCGCGGGCTGAGTATACCGCGACGACGCCCACCCCTACGCGGATTCGAACCGGTGACCTTATGGTTGGAAACCAGATGCGCATACCACTCGGCCACCGACTGACATCTGATCAGAGAGCGAGAAAGCACTGGTATATATATATATATATATATATATATATATATATATATATATACATATACATATACATATATACATATATACATATATACATATATACATATATATAATACACAATCTGTGGTACAGATATTGTGCCATCGGAATCATGGCTGAATAGGAAAACAATATGAATAATAAGAAAAGAGCAGCAACAACAAAAGCTACTTTTGTCTAGTTTACCACAGTTTTTGAAATTTTTCAGGGGGAGGAAGAACGGACACCGCAACACACCGATGCACACGTTCGTCAATGACATCGATCTTGAGCCATGGCTTCCAAGGTCTTCAACCAGCAAGTATCCGCATCTCTCCGACCCCAACCAGGTAGTCGACAACAACCGGCCGAGGCCAACTGTTTCGTCAGCTTTTTCATGCGGCTTCTCCATGTTATAGGCTGTCCACCAGACTGTCTCTTCCAGCCCTGTCCAGCAAATGCAAACACCGCACGACGCGGATAAGACTGGACAGGCATGCACAACACGTGTCCCAACCACAGCAGTTGATGCAGTGAAACGAGCTTCTCGAGCTAGTGGCTTCCACGTTCCAAGACACGCCGTCTAACTTCCACATTGCTTACGTGGTGCTGCCACCACACACGGGCAATGGACCGCAGACAGTGGTGCTTGAAGATGGATAGCCTGCGCAAGTCGTCTTTACGAATGGGTCAGGTCTCGCATCTGTACAACAGTACAGCACGAACAGTTGCACAATAGACCCGCCCTTTGATGGAGAGACGAATGTCTTGGCGACGACACAAGTGCTTCAGACTAGAAAAAGCGAGGCGTGCCCTCGAGATGCGCATCGAAATCTTGTCTCCGACAGCCCCGCCAGCAGTGATGCAATTTCCCAAGTAGACAAAGCTCTCCACAACCTCTAGTGTCTCACCACCAAGAGTGAGCGCAGGCAGAGGCACCTGCCAGCCTTCGAAGAGAGTCTTGCATTTGGATGGTGGAAAGTACATAACATACTTTGATGCTTCAATCGCCAAGCGGTTTAGTGCAAGTTGGACGACGTGTGGGTCGTCACTCAGCAAGACGATATCATCAGTGTAATCCAAATCAACAACTCGACTACCTGGAAGGAGCTCAAGGCCAGAGCATTCTTCAGGACATCCTCAATTGCAAAGTTGAATAGGAACGGAGAGATAGGACATCTTTGTCAAACTCCACTGCAGACCACAAAGGTAGGCGAAAGCTTATCATAAGCCCTAACCCTGCCCGAAGTCAGACTATATAGAGCGCGCAGTATGGACGAACTTCTCGGAGACACCATTCCTCAGTAGGCAGTGCCACAGTACCGTACGATCGACAGAATCGAAGGCTGCACGGATATCCAGGAACACAGCGATTGTTGACCTCTGATACACATGGCCGAGCTCGAGGATCTGGCGGAGTGTGAAAATTTGATCGATGCAGCCGCGACCAGGGCGAAACCCAGCTTGTTCTCTTTGCAACGATTCGCGTGTTGGGAATAGCCTGCGAAGTATGGTGGACATCAGCAGCTTACAAATGACGGGGACTAAGCTTATGCTTCTGTAGTTGGAGCAGATTGTGCGCAGGCCCTTTTTGAAGATAGGGACGACTATCGATTCACTCCCAGATGATGGAACTTTCTCTTTCGACCAAATTTTCGAGAACAAAGCGGTGAGTTCTCGAACCAGCGAAGCGCCATCGTCTTTAAATAGGGCTGGAGAAAGACCATCAGGGCCGGGGGCTTTATAACGCTTCATGTGCCGGAGCTCCTGTTCGATTTCCTGGGAAGAGGGAGGATCTGTGGGAATAGACCACTCGACCCCAGCGCGAGCGCCAGAGGTAGCAGTTGGAGCTGGGGGCCAACAAAACTGCGAGCCAAAATGTTCGGCCCATCGCTCCAACCGTCGTTGAAGATTGGTGATAAAGGTGCCATCCTTTTTGCATATTGTTTCACTTATACCAGATCCAACACCTACGGTGACTCGAATGAGATGGAAAAGTTTTTTGGTATTACTAGAGAGACTAGCAAGCTTCAACTCCTTAGCACGTTCACACCACCAAACTTTGCGGTCCATTTGCAGACTCCTGCGCAACTCTCGACAAAGGTATTGACGTGCTTCACTGTGTCTGGAATCCGATGGGATCAAGCGGGGTTTGTTCATCAGCGACAAGGAGTCGGCGGAAATGCAATGATTCGGTGGGTGATGGGTAACTCCACAAGTGTCGATACTGGCGGAAACTAAAGCAACTTTGATCTGCGCTCACTGCGAATCGAGATCACCATCAATAGTTGAGCCAAGCAAGGTTGACAGTGAGGCTTGGTACTTGGTTAAAATTGCAGGGTTTTGTAGATTCGCGACGTAAAGTCGATAGTGAGCGCGCTTAGGTGGTCCTCCGAAACGAATGCAAATCTTAGCACGAACCAATGCGTGATCGCAGTCTAGAAAAGTTGACCAGTACGATCAGCAGTCCGTCACGCTTCCGCGCCATCTGCAGCTGATTGCTATGTGGTCAAGCTGGGAGCACTCTTGCGTTTGTGAGGGCGGGCGCCAGGTAGCAGTGTCTCCTCGAGTGCCGAAAACTAGTGCTCGAAAGATACAAGCGACGATCAGAGCAAAGAGTAAGCAGTCTGTCTCCATTGTCTGGTCGACTGCCACCGAGACCAAAACTACCCCCAAGGTGGTGCTCGCTTGGTGGAAGGCGGCAACCCGTGCGTTCAAGTCCCCGGCAAGGATGACTATATCCGTCCTTTTGGAGGAAGGCAGAAATTCATGTAGCTGCTTGTAAAAGCTATCTTTAAATGCATCCGGGCTGCAGTCTGTGGAGGCGTGAGCGGAGAAGACAAACAAGGCACGCTTGACGTCTCGACGCCTGCTTACATTACATGAACCTCGTAGTCTGATTGCACATAGCCGACTGTCGAATGGGATCCAGTCAAGCAGGGTTGATTCAGCCCTGGCATTTAGTGCAACCCCAACACCAGCTTGGCCAGTGGCGGCAGCTTCTGGGTCGCCGGAAAGCCTCAAGTGGTATTTGACGTCAGGGTTTACCGGATAGGCCATTCTGATGGCGGCGCTAGAGTCTTGTAATCTGGTCTCTGAAAGGCAACAGATGTCTACCGAAAGAGTTACAAGAGTACGGGCTAGACATGCTTGTCGTCCGATCTGCATCAAAGTTCGAACATTAAACGCTGCGAGGATGAATGGAGAACCAGGTCGAAGAAGAGCTGGAGCTTCGGTGGAATGAGAGGCGGTTGCGATCGCAGGACACTGAAAACCGGGGGTTTGGCTGATGCTTCCATCAGTTGCGAGACGTGGATTGTTTGTGACGGTGAGTCTAGATGACACAAGAGTACATATAGGTGAAGATCGGGAGGTGGGGTGATCTGTGAGTGGAGGTTCAGCGGTTGAGTTAGCATAGAAGATAAGCATAGCAGGAGCAGCAGTAAGCAGTGTGGTCCATGATTCGTCAGTGGGCGTGATACCACCCGGTTGCCCAGGCCGAAGTAGAGGGTTGTCTTAGGGGGCCCTACCCCGAGCCTTTGATTAAAGATCTAACCTACAAGGCAGCAGGGCGATGTGAGGGCGTCGCAACCCGTTGGGAGCCGGTGACGAAATAGAATAGAAGCACTGGTAAAATTGTGGAGATGATGTCTAGTCCACAGTTTTAAACAATCGAGTAAAAACGTAGTGGACGGGAAATACCAGGAGATACATCCGGTAGAATTTTTTGTCCATTAGACCGGAAGGGTGAGTTCTGCAATGATACAGGTCGCCACAGTAAAGAGTACATTAGATAGCCCTGGTGGATAAGAGACTAATGGGCACGCAACAATGAATTCATAAAGTTGTTTAGAATCAGACACGAAGTGCAGCCCAGTAGATAAGGCCACGTTTATGGTTGACATAAAGGGATAAAGCGAAAAGGAAGGATTTTGTTACTGGATGCATCTGGTTTAAGTATTGCACTGTCCAATTGACCAACCAGAATGGCCCAATCTTGGATTCGCCAACAAACAGCAGACAAAGCAATGGAGGTGCAGAAGAGGTCGAGATTTGGAGAGGGAATAGCGATTGTGTACGGGAAGCAAAACTGATAGCCTATAGACAAAGTTGTGAAAACCAATCACTTATGGCGGTAGCCGTCCTGTTCGTGCGATGGATGTACTAAATGAGTAGTGTCACATGAGCGAATAGAAACGGACACAAAAAACCTTCATGAATCTGACATTCAGTTACGTGAGCTAGAACGGTTAAGTCATGAGTTTTAGACCGCGTTCTCAGGTATCATAGAATGTGCCAAGTAGAACTTATGTTACTACCCCTCATATCGATTTCACCAGTTCAGTAGAGGTTAGTAATAGTTCAATATCGAATTTATGAATATGTGGTATGAAAAATCACCCATCCCGTCGTAGTGACTTTATGATGGAGTTAAAGATGTATGTATGTAACCTCAACCTGTGGCTTGCCACAGTGACAGGCAAATACGAAACCGGATGCCGCCAAAAAAACCTCAACCCCTTATGCATTAACCGAGTTTTTCTCTCATTTTTCTCTTTTTTTCTTTCTCTCTCTCTCAAGTGATTGGCTGTTGTTTGATATCCCAAGTATGGCTGCGCTTGATGTGCATGTTGACAAGGTGCCTACCTGTCTATTACCCACCACCTCGTCCATACTGCCTCTAGGAGACAGTTGGTCGTTGCTGTAGGGGACGGGGTGCACGGTCCTTGTGGCCGTGCTAGGCTCAAAGAGCGGTTCCATGCACTCAGTGTGGAGCGGACTACAGGCCAGCCACCGCCTTGTGTGCACTTGATTTCCCAACTACAGCGTGCTTGTGTTTGCTTGTGAAGGAGTGTGGGCCGGCTCCGTTGATGAAACGTGGCTCCCATCCACATGCCTCCCGGTCTTATTCCTTCGGGTTTACACTGGATATGGGGTGTGTGGTTGGAGCTGTGGGTGGTGCAGCGCAAGCCATCCATAGTCCCTCTGTAGGCGCAGGCGTTCTGTGTTTGGCCACAGTGACAACAGGCAAATCCGAAACCGGATGCCGCCAACCAACCTCAACAGTCCATTAACTAGACATAGAGCTAGAATAAAACCATGGAGATCTGGAGATAAGCAAGAATCATCGCGTCATAATCATCGTGGCATGCTAGTTGAAGGTGAGCAACACACTTCAACTAATATGCCGAAGGAAGAATGGAACATTTTGACAAAAAGTAGAACAAAACATTTTTAGTTTGTTTTCACACGCCGCTTTTGCTCCTTTTTTGTCAGTTTAATGTTTGTAGTATTAAACATGTGAATCAATACAATACTGTACATAATTCTTCCACGGATTCCGGTTGCGGGCCATATCTTCTAGTGTGTTAAGCCATTGGCACTCCTCATCTTTGGGTCCCCATCCTGGAAGACGTACGGATCCAACAGCGGCTAGACACGACGTCAGCGATTTCATGTGCTGCCGCCAAGTGGAAGGCTGACCACCACGCGGTCGCCTCTAGCCAGGTCCTTGACGAGCGATGGAGTTAAAGAACCGCAAGGACACAAGGTTGATGTTGAAATGGAGTCCTAATCGAGTAACAGGTAATACTATGCCGTAGTGTGTGAACTCGGGGTTGTAGATCCAGAGGTCCAGGGGGTTGCTACTGTGGATGAGGTGAATCAAGATTACTCACTGCCAGGGCAAGAACATGTTGCAGCATCGCTAGATAAAAACGAGCGTCTTTTAATATACATCTAATGAGCAGGTTTGGGAAAGTAGAAAAGAGCACGCTGCACAATCAAAAGTGAAAAGATTTGAATTCTGTGTGTGTATATTAGCAGTGACTCAATAAGAATGTTAAAGATGGATGAAACATATAAGAAACCGGCAGGATCCATAATAATAATAATAATAATAATAATAATAATAAGAGCTTGCAGTGCCCACGGTATAACGGTTTCCCTAAGGACTGAATAACCAATGAAGATTCGATGTCGATAATTGCTGCATACCAGAAAGTGAAATGGGTAAGCAATGGCAAGATTTTTAAACCGTCTTAACACATGGGGATAAGCATGACCTCGAAAATTAGCCACCTGTTAATGAAACGTGGGTGCAACCAGGTGAAATCTATAATCAATGAATCTCGTCCCCACTATGTGAGTCCAGCGGTTTTTAGATAGACCAAACACAGAATGACAGTTGGCTGATGGCCATTTTAGTACGAAGTCTGGTTACACAGTGTCAAAAAGGAAAGTATATCGGTGCAATGAAATATGAAGACATGCCGCACAATACACCCACCTCTTTAGCCGTTCGAAGAAGCTGATCTTGTGATTCCGGTTGCTCCATAGTGCACACTACCACCTTGGCACACGTGACCAAACGGCTAGTGCTTTTGCCAGCCACCGTGGCGGAGTGAACAAGGCGGGCTTGTGTGGCTCGAAGGGTGGCAACTGCGTCCTGAGAAATCTCAGACGGATTCTTTGTGCTCAAATCCGACGCTTCTTGCCCAATGTCCATTGCACCTTGTTTGGCGGTTTTCACAAGCTGTGCCATTCGATTAGCGATGGTCTGGGGATAGAATAAAGGTTGAGGAGGAGGTGAAATTCACTAGCAGCTATGTTTGCAAGATAATAATACTGACATTGGGGCTATTGGTCATTAGTTGACGGTGCGACGTGGCTGTAGAAGGAAGACTCGAAGATGTTTACCATGCCAAAAGCAAGCACTGCAGATAGAACAGCAGTCTGGTCAAATGAAACCAAACAAACGATACGCAACATCAGTTGGTGGGAGCTAGAAATAGGGCCTGTGTACAATTGGTGGAGGAATAAGTCATGGCGCTGAGTGGAGAATGTACAAGAGAAAACGGATAAATAGAGACATGTTAAAAAAAACGTGTCGCCACATGCAGCAAAGTCAGCATAAAAACAAATATCCCGATGGAAAACGACAAAAGTAGAGATACCGGATGTTGTGTCATAGGTCAAGTTTTAAAGACTATTTTGTCTATTCAACGTACAGAAAAGTCAAGTCTTAAGCGTAGCAGAAGAAACGTGCCAAGACGGAAGAATTACAGCCGGTGGTGCGGTCTGCTAGTCCTCGAATTTTAGATACTCTACAGACCCTAGAGTGTGCTGCGCCAGTTCGAAGTCCCATGTGTCTACAACACCCATTGAAGCGTAGCAATTTGCACATATTGAGTAAGTAGCCTTTTATCTATGTGAACACACATTTCCTCCGGAGGATGTGGCAAACAGATATGTAAGACACGACCTAAAATGAGCGCATGATACGTCTGTTGATTTTAGACAGCTGAGGAATTGGTGAAGAAGTCGGCACGAGAAACTGCAACCTAACACTTAACTGCTCCCGGAAGGAGTGGAACACAGCGGAGCAACCACCCATCGCGTCTTCTGCTCTTGTTAATAGCGGATAGAGTGCTCTATTGGGACACCCGTAGGAAGATGGATGATGGGTATGTGCTAAGATACCGGTACCTCAATAACACTGAATGAGACGGAGCAACCGATATGAGTGTATAAGGCTGGCGCGTCTGTATTGAGCCCACTTCGGAACCGAAGACGATTGATGAGCAGGGATACACAAGTTTGAAATTCGGGAGGAATAGACTGACAAGAGCAAAAGCTAGTCGTGCTCAAGCCAACGGTTCGGAAACGGATCGTCGAGAAAAATACGATGCCTGTCAACGTGGAGGTTCGAAAACCTCGTGGGCAGTGCAATGACATATACATGCTTCTGATAATGGAGGAACAACAGTGCGTCGAAAGTACAAAACCTTCAGTGGATGCAGCCTGTACAAAGTGACAAGAAAACGCGCTCGGTATAGGAACAGGGGCGGTTGATCAAAGATCCAAAAATAGCGTAAATGAAAGTGAGAGAATAAAGAAATTCACTGGATCTATGAATATCAAGTGATCGTGCCACCGAACAGGGTAATGGGAGAATGATGGGTATCGGTGATGCCAGTCCACCGACTCCCTCGACGTGCGTTGTTTGCGCGCCGGGGGTGTGGATGGAAGAAGAGGAGAGATGGCCAAGCGATGACTTGGTCCAGAGGAATGAAGTCCTTCACTTCGAAGCTAGCCTCGGTTGGAGCTTCACGGCTCCCTGGTTGGGGTCCGAAAGACGGTGAACACGTTTGGCTGGATACACTTGCTGACATGGCAAGGAGCCGACCTCAGTGGCGTTCGTGCTGTGAGTTTCTTTGTTCCACCCCATCCCTTTTAGCCTCCCCCTCCATCTATGATCTCATTTCGTAGGGTAAAACATAATTCTTTTTTCTTTTTGCCTAGTAGCTGGCTGGTACCTTACCGGAACGATGCCTATCCGTTGCTGATAGCTCAGCTGGCATGTTAATGTTGTATTTATTTTTCATTTATGTATTGTATGTATGTATGTATTCCCCTTATGTATTGCGGTACAATAGCGGTGTTTCCCCACCTCTAGCTGACATGTATAATGATGATGATGGTGATGATCGGTGCTTTGGGTGTTTCATATCTCTTTCCAGGAGTGAAAGAGACTCGTGCTCCAAATTATCCAAAAGACAGATAGGAGGCAGAAAGTGGAAGTCTAGATAGAATTTGCAGAACCATCATGAGATTGGATTCGATCGTTAGAGTGGTGGACGCACACCTGGAGAATACAAGCCGAAAACAGAGTCCCGGATAAAAATTCTCCGTTCCGATGGTTAGTGCTGAATTCACATGTTTCATGCTCTTAGTGTCAGTTTACTACGATGAGTGATGGGAGCCAGCATACTCTTGTCGATTTTTAGCTTCGACTCTGCGAAAAAAAGATCGCGAATGCTCCCACTGAGCTTGATGTTGTAGATCAGAAGTGCAACTAGGTGACAAGCCTACGAGCGTAGACTATGAAAAGGAAACAATTCTCTTCTGATTCAACGCAGCTTCTTTCAAGTGTCACTGGGCAAACTGACACTAGGAATCGCCCTTTTCGACATGCGCTTTGAGTGCTGAAAGTGACAAATGCTGTGCTATGAGAGCCTAGGCACTGAAGATCTACTCGTGGGGTCCATTGGTTCAGTTATCCTATTGTTATATCGCTTATGGTGGCCTAGTCGTCGAGGGTGCCGTAATGTCCACAGTGAGCGTATGTGTATTTGAAGCGTCGGTTAGTCAGACAGCGATTGCGCATCCGGAAAAGCACTGGATGTCCGTTGCGGGACTCGCAAACGACGAAATTTATGCTCTCTGTGCGGCACTAGAATACACAAGCTTTTATAACCAGTTAGAAGTGAAAACTAATGGTAGGTTTCAGTTGTATATGGAACAGGAGAGAAATTGTTTATGACGGTGCGATTCGGTCACTGGTATGTAGGGACCCGTGACATGGAAACAGTGCGCTGGAGGAGTCCTTGAGCAGTGGCGGCGCCACAGCGTCGTTCGTGTCTGATAGGAATACCGATCAGATTTACCACTTGGTGTCTGGCAGCAAACACCCGGTGCTGAACTGTACAACCTAATGAAACTGAAACATTAGTGTCACTAAGATTAGGCAAATTACGTGTTACTCTATGTATACAAGCACGCACCGCCAATGATATGTCGGATTGGGCTTGCGAGATTGTAAAGGGATGAAAAAATTGCCGAAAAAGTGGTCCAGTTGGGTAGGGATTTTTGCTTCCACGAAACACAACTAAGAAAGCGATGGAAAATTACCGTTCCGCTTCTTGATGGCCTTTAGCCTTCCCATTGGACGATGACTTTTTTAATTTCTTGATATTATTCCCATCAGTTATTGTGCATCAACATCTCTCTTGTGTCCTCTATCGTTGCTAATGCCTAGTACCTTTATTGCGCAGGTTACAGGGACTGGATGCAATGCACGGATTGTTGTTGTAGAGTAACCAACGAACTAGCGCGAGTTGCGCTGCGGGATCGAGTCGCTTGCATGTGCGCCAAAGCATGGGCAAATGAGTGCTCAGGCCCGTTATATCACGCACCAGGCTCCGATGGCTGGGCAAGGTGTTGCGCAGGCCAGCCCACCGACTCCCACGACGTGTGTTGTTTGCTCACCTGAGGGTGTGGATGGAAGAAGAGGAGAGGAGGCCAAGCGATGACTCGGTCAAGAGGAGTGAAGTCTCTCACTTCACAGACGGCGTCGGTTGGTGTTTCCCGACTGCCTGGCTGGGGACCGAAGCAGGATGAACACGTTTGGTTGGATACACTAGCCGACACGGCGAAGAGTAGAGTTCAATGGTGATTGTGTTGTGAGTCTATTTGTCCCTCCCCTTCCCCTCTCTAATAACGATCACAAATGTGATATCAGCAATGTGTTACTTCCTTATAGCTTTTGAGTCTACATTGCTTAACGTCTTACCCTTTTTGTATTGTGGCACACTAGCTGAGGTGTTTCACACCTTTGGCCAACCTGTATTGATGATGAATGATGAGGAGGAGGAGGAGGATGGATGAGGACGATGGTGAATGCCGGCTAGTTGCCAAGCCGTGAACCGGAATAAACAGTTCGGATTCGATTCGAAGCACAGTGCGAACATTGTGATAGTACTATGTAAAGCTGCCATCTGGACACATCGTACAGAGTTAAAAGAAAACAGCTTACTTTGGTTGCCGAAAGCAATCGATCGCGAGCCTCCCAGTCAACAACTGACGGATAGACAGATGAAGAGGTTAAGAGATCAAATTCCGATGCTTCACAGTACTCAACATGACTATTCATCGCATGCACTGTAGGCTGTGATATGAGTTGCAAGAGCTTTCGGCTAGCATCCCCAACATGACTCGCAGCCTCCAGTAAAGCAGCGCGATCGGGTCCGTGTCGGCCAGGCTCCGTAATTGATGCAGAAGATTGTCTTGGAGAGAACGCCTAAAAAGCACAAAAACGGGAATTGGCGCCCTTGTTAAAGCAAAACTACCTGGTGGAATACTAGATGAAGTCATCTTTCAAGATAAATTGTTTACTCTACTTTGTCAGTCTCCGACTCAGGATCCAAGGGCGAGGCGGGAACGGCGGCGCGCATCAATTCGAGAAATGCGTCGGACAGAGCCTGTGCCGCCTGTCTTAATCCGACTGCCTGGCTTTCACGACCATCAGCGGCACCAATTTGATCAAACAGACGAACGTATTGCATCAGACCATGAATGTTCATACCGATGGAGACGAGTGAAGCATCCACATTGGTATAGTCAAAATCTTGACGATTGTCTGGTAAAATTACATATTATGAAATAAAAATTGTGATAACAGGACGCAGATAAAAAACAGACAAAGAATGTATTTGTGTTAATAACGAGACAGACGAAAAATAGCTCTTAATCAATGCATGAAGTAGAATAAAATACCCACCCAGTATGTGCTCCATTTCCAGCCGGAGGAACAACTTTGGCCCTTTCAATCAAAAATTAAGTACGGAAGTAAATCAGAAGTCGAAGTACTGGGGGCTCTTGTTCGTTTAACGGTGAAAGAAATAGTACGCTCGTTAGGCGGAGGCCTGTATTGTCCTTGAAACCTGAGCTGTAATTTCCGGACTTCGTTGAAGCTATCAGCTACATTACTAATTGCCACGAGGCCCTAGATTAAGCGCAAGAAAAGGGGTATCGAGGGTGGATGAAAATAAACACTTCATAGTCGCGAGTCTTACATTATCGGATCCCATGACAAATACTGAAAATAATGATAGGAACATCACGGTATTTGTACTGGAGGCGGTCTGTGCTGAGTACAAATAAGAAACGTGGCCCGCTGACAGACTGCAATCAGACTGTGTGGGCGCGTGCAGATGAAACCAGAGTAGTAAGAAAAAGCTCACACTTTATGATCCAGCTACAAGCTGTGAAGCATACAGTTACTTCTTTGCCACTTTCATGAGTCTCGGAGCTGACCATATACCTGCATGCACAGAGTTTGCTGTAACAAACGTCCGAAGCAGATTTGATATTTCGTTCAACGATATCCAACAATTCAATCAAGTCATCCTCCAAGCTGGGTTTCCATGACCTTCCGCTAGCCGCCATAAGGCTAAGAAGAGCTGACACACCCTTGCTCCCGATGAACATCTTCACCCCATCGTTGGAACCTAACCACTTTCCAAATCCTTGGAAAACGTCGTTTATCATGCTCGGCTTAAGAGAGGACACAGATTCCTACAATCACCCTGTTGCTTAAAAAACTGGTCAAGAAGTGCGTGTTTAGTTTTGTCACTTCTTCGGCCTGATGAATAAGTCGCAGCATAGCTTTCTTGACAAACGATCACACACCAGCTGTCAGTTGAATCATCTGAACTGCATTTCAGAGTCTGTTGATTCCGGCTATGCATAAGTAATTTTGTTTCTGAATATACACCAAGAATTTTATCGAGTATCTCACCAGCGGTTGCTAAGAAAGTTAGGGGCTTTTGGGATTCGTGACCCAGTGTATTAGGATGGATATCGTCAAACCTGAGTGGTCGCCACCGGGTAGTCACTTTAGGTAAATGTCACTCCTCCCGTATCCTATCACTAGTGGGGTCATCCAAGCAAGGGAGCCTGCTCGGTCCTTCGCTGTTGCTGCTCTACATCGATGATATCACCAGGTCTGTTAAAACATGGCCGGCGATTTTTATTCGCCGACAATATTAATATGGTGTAAAGCTTCGACGTGAAGAAGTTCGCGGAACGCTGCTGTTCGTTCAAGATGACTTATATGCCCTTGAGGCATGGTGCAACTAGTGGAGGGTGGAATTATCGGTCAAAGTCAAGCATCACATCACACGGCTGTTACAGCTTCCACGTATCTATTGCACAAAACGGTGAACATGTCCCCGTACAGCTGTACACGTGCGAATTCGGAATTAGATGATCAGTGATCCACAGCTTCTCCGAACAGACCCAATATCAAATAGCACAAGTCAGACAATCCACACAATCTTATTATGCTACCCATCTGTCTCATCCTCAAATGCCGCAGCATAAAATACGCTGAAATGAGAAATGCGACACAATTGCTCTGGAACACCTGCAAAGGTCGGTTACTAAACATCTGATTGAGAAACATTCTGCTATGAGTTATCGATAGCGCTGCAACAAGCTTCAACTCGAACCGCTTTAGATGCGACGAATGAAGCATCACTTGCTGCCGCTTTACAACTTGTTAGACAGAAAAACTTACTCTGATCTGTCCACCCTCGAACAGCGACATAGCTGGATTCGAGATCTTAGCAAAAATGATTGTACAATGATTATACCAAAGGGTAGAATAAGCATGCGCTAATTTTTCCTGGTCAGACATACCTATCACTGGAACAAATTTCCAATCACGCTCAGATCATGAGAAAATGTGGTAAGATGTAGAAAAACTCGCAAGCCACTTTGACCTGAATATGAGAGGGAACATACTCACACGGAAAAATCATTATCCAAAGAGGAGCCGGAAAATGCCTAAGCATCTAGGTTTCGAAACGTTGGCTTCTGCCCGACTTAATCGCTATTATATGAATCTGATGCTTCAATATTGCACACATGCACATCGCTCACGCAAGTGCATAGTGATGCATGGACATGCTTATCTGTGTCCCCACAGACAGTTTCTCGGATAACGAGACATATACGCATTAGTATTATTACGATAAGACTATGTTATATATACGCCATGCCATATATGCTGAAAAATATTCTGAAAATAGCTGGGCGCCTAAAAGCAGGATTGCGTCGGAGTAAATACTAACTAATATTATCGATGTGTTTATTAAACAATCGAAAGTATCTGCGACGATGTCCTTATGATTGAGTGAATAGTGCAGCGACAACCAGGAGATGGGAGTGAACATAATAGAGATGGGCAAATAGAAAGGCTAGGATCAAAAAGGAGTTGCGATGGCGCTGTTTGAAGGATCAGCTCTAAGTGGATAATAGCGAGTAGTTAAAAGGTTAACTGAGTGTGCACAACAGTATATACAGACGACCGCTAAAATCTGTCAAGAACTATGACTCCGAGGAAATAAACGCGAGAATGAATCTATAGAACCAATAGGGGGTGGCGTACCAGAATCAAAGTGCGATGGTTGGGAGGGATAATAGTGGAAGCAACAGGGTGAAAGTAAACGGTTAACTGGGGAACGGTTACTACAAAACTCCAGGGTTATTGAACAGTGAAACCGGAAAGGCAAGCCCTCCTCTAGACCGACTCACCAGTGAAGCATCGCATAATATGAGTAAAGCCTACAAATCCTAGAAATCGGAACCATAAGTTATCGAGAAGCTGAGGTTCCCCTGGCAGCAGTAACACTGCTCGAATACAGGAAGACAGAAATACATTATTTCCACCGAAACCGACTGGCTGCGTGGCCGGCCAACTTAGTGAGCGGATGGTCAGGATCGAATCTGAACCAAAGGATCAATATGGTGCTCATAAGCGCCAATCAACGTTCGAGGCATAAATGCGTGCACGCGCAAGCGGACGAACATGACATTGTGCATCAGTGTGAGATCGGTCATGAGTGACACTCGCGCCGCGTGATCCCAGCGCAGTTCGTTCAAGCGAGTGGCAGCGGAGCAAATTAACCAACAGCTGACAACGCGATTGATAGCAAAGCGGTCAACAAAAGAAGAGAAGAAAGAAGAGCACATGTGTCGCCATGAATAAGTGTGGAATAGACTGGTGACAAAGAGCGCATTGTGCAATGCGAAAATCAGCTAATACTAGAAAACGGACGCAAAATCCAAGCGGATAAAAAAAATAAAATGCAGGAAGGTAAGGGCAACCGGGGTGGTCTAGACAAAGAATGTCGCAAAAGTGACCGAAGAATGAGCAATGCGATAAACGTTCCATGGTCCATGCAAAGTTTTAAGGAGAGAGTGAGTAATTATAAAGCAGGAACCAAGCCAGATCCCACTAGAGAATCGGTCCGACAAGCTTAGTTTGTAAGCAATGCTCCACTTGCGCTAGCCAAGAGGGTCACGTGGAAGTTACAGTTCCACGCCTGTGAAAAATAAATCGGTGTTCACTGTGTGGTGGCCAATAATCCTGTCAAGTACAGTAAAGTTAACGCAAAGTAAGAAGCCTGGGAATCGGACACAAGACAGTGAGTCCATGAATTGAGACCTACGGAGAAAAATGCCAGAACTATGCAGACCAATGGAGTGTTAATATTCATAGTGATGCATCTCATGTTGCTGACCCTAATATGTCTGCAAACGGTGGGAATGAGTTGCGTGAACGCGGGAATGAATAGCGCGTTAAAATCGGACAGTGCTCAATATCCGAATATTAACGGAGAGAAGTGGAAGACAAATAGTCAGTTGCAAGTTATGAAGTGAAACAATGAGAGGCTACAGCCGGAGATGGAAACGCCGAGGCACGGCTGCGCATGAGGATCGGAGATCTCCATTAATGACTCAGTTATACTTATATGAGGTGCTACGAGTCCCGATTTGCTTCGATTTAGTCTGTTTGATCCAATGGTGGTCATTTTGTCACCACGGTAAACCCGCTTACCGCAGCACTTAGTCGAGCGAATTATGATTTATGAACTGAACCGAACAAAGGGCCCACTGCATGGAGCCCCGATCCATTACCGAGATTGGTTGGAAATGGATTGGAGATGAAGCAAACAGAGTCGTAGTCATTCACGAGGGGAGAAGACAATCAGGCACAGGGCCCCAAAAAGCCCTGCGGGCGAGCAGAGCCGATCGCAATACAAGGAACGCCGTCAAAGGTGATGGCGTTGAGAGAAAAATGCACAAAAAGTACATCAGACAGCACTATAGGAGAAGGATACAAATATTAAAGGCTGCAACGTATATGAATAGCTGGCATACGAACAGCGGACTGAAAATGCGGAAGTAGAATGCTGTATGGCTGAGGCACATGATGGAAAAAATGGAGTAATTTGACTGTAATAAGCATCAGCTGAAATCTAGAGGGATGTCGGTCAGTGGTCGAAAGCATTAGGCGTCTGCTCTGGTACCCAAAGGTCACTGGTTCGAACCCGCTTAAGTGCAGGTGACCCTAGCCCACGAGCGACTGAAATTGGTTGATTGGTAGCGAAGCGTTGATGCGGTGCACGGACGTACAGTCTATACCGTACTTTAAAGGAATGTATGACAGTGGCCGCAGAAATAACTAGGGTGTAGAGAGGACCTATCCTAAAGGTTGAGCAAAAGTCGGATGTCATGATAATCATCAAGAGTAACAGCGCCGATGGATGCATCCGTGACTATAGTGGTACTTAGTGAAAATCATCCGGATGAGAGTGTGACGCTGTGCATGGACTTAAAGAAGACCAAGCAAAGTATGATGATGAAGATGCCAGTGAACGCTGACGGCCGTGAGATAAATGGATGAGGGGTAAAAAAGGCAGTCACCTTCCGTTGGCCGCTCACTCGGTGTACTTTGTAAGCACGACACCAGATGACCAGTCGCCATTGTCATTGCGCCCAAATGGCTCCACACACCTTGGCGTGCTTGCTCTAGCGCCTCCGCGCGCCAACGCATTGTGGTCTGGGAATAGAGTGTATAGAGCAGGTAATTCGGTTGGTGAAGTCAAAACCTCAAGTGCACTAGTAATACGTGTATGGATGAACGAACAAATGCGCTCAGATTGAAAACGTAAGCCATGGGTCTGCACTGCAAACAATACAGCAAACTGAGTATGTGCTAAAAAGAAGGACCCTAGATGTGCTTACTGAGTCCTCACCACGCAAAGCTTCGTCATCGGAGTAAACAGGTGTATCCAACTCTTCGGCTGCCTCTTTAATAGTGCGCAGGCCGAAATCAATGCGAGACAGCAGCGCCCGCTTCGGTTGACTCAAATCGATTACTTGATACTGCAAAGAAAACATAGAGCACTCAACAATAGTACGCTTAAGACCGCAGTTAGCATGGCAGTAATCGGTTACATTTTAAGATTCTTCTGCCTGAAAATATAAATAAGAAGTAAAGCTTACGCCCTGACGTCGACGGTCACCCCATCCGTCATGTATCGCGCCATCTCGGTTGACGATGACACCGGAGCCGACATGGGCCCCATCAACAGTTCGTTCAATTACTGTCTCGCCCCGAGTTGCAAGATGTATCTCGGAGAAATCTCTGTAACGACTGCCCGGATGCAGTATGCCATCTTGGGCAATGTGAGCTTCATCAGCCTGACGAGCACGAGACAAAGTACCAGTAGCGCTCGAAATGACTTGAGCCCTGAAACGAAGCAAAAGGGAAGATTAAAGTACAACTTAATGAGACTTTTAGGTCAAAAAGATAGAATTCGGAGGTGAAAAACCGGTCAAGCAGAATGGAAGCGGTATAAGGCAATTTTGTTTGTTTGAAATTAAGTGTTGTTCAGTGTCAACTTCGAAGGAGACAGGCGCCGAAGTCTCTGTTGATTCTGACCGGAATAATGCTAGTAACACTGCACCATAGAATAGCGAAGCTTACGTCCGTGATACGGGCTCTCAAACAACCAGACTCTTTAATTCAATGGGACGCGCCCACTATGTGTTACTGACAGTTTCAAAGGCTTTTTGTCGGACTCTCAAATGAAGACATACAAACTTATGCAGGCTATTCATTCCCAAAACTGCGGGCGGGAGCTGGAGTGAGCTCCGTCGTCTAAACGCCCAATGTTTTTTATATCCTCTTTCGGGCGTACACTTTAAGAGCCAGTAAATTACACAATTATGGAAACGCTGCAGTGTTACCATGGTTCCTGTATAGATCAATAATGTAGCGAGGCTTAGGTTACAGGCCACATACATACAGCAAGGGGCTGGGTTCACCAGTGTTTCAAGTCATTTTATACAACACGGATCTTGAATGCTGAGACCATTGAATGGAGAAATGCGTTATCACTAATGGATGTTTGGAAATTATCCATATGACACGGTAGTTATTGGCCCATCGCTTAAATCACCCGTGGTGTTGGTTAGATCGAATGCCTCCGACCATCCATCCCGGTTTGTGTAGTTTGGCGATAATATGGCTACGTGGTGACCAGTCTGTCGTCTCGCGGAAGGGTATAGAGAAACTGACCGCAAGATTTGGTCGGGTAGCTGCACATCGTCTTCCTGTATGGTATGGACAGACAGCAACAGGAGACCGAGACACTTCCGCATACGTCAAATGTCACTGGTTGTTGAAAATTGCATTAAACGGTTATACACCACAAGTAATATTGGTTAGAAGTTCTATTCTTATTCGGATATGCCTTTTTCTCTGTTCCATTTCGTCCATTTGCTTCAAATGACCTAATTCTTCCTGTGATGTGGTAAATGACACACCTCAATCCGCTACACTTTGATGACTGGATTACAAATGAAGAACGAAACCAAAATTGGGTTTAAGCCAGACTACGTAATTGTCATTAGTGCACACTTGTCCTAACAGAAACGAGCACACCCTAAAGTACTCAGCTCAAAATGTGTCTGTGGAGCCGGACTGTGTCCAGAGGCCACCAACCCGAATGTACCTTGCACCTCTTGCGCAATTGTGTCAGTGGAAGGAAAGAATGAAACTAACTTGGATGGAGTCACATTTTCCTCCACTATGGTGTTCTCCTCATCCCCGTCGGCATGAGTTGTATGTTTGCTGCGCTGGCGGCGCAAAATGATATCAATGTAACCAGAGATAAGCTGTCCAATTTGCTCCCCTTCCGTAGTTTGCATAGCGTAATTACCATCCGGATTGTGTTGCCCGAAATCCTAAAAGGGGAGATAACTTCCATGGAGGAGTCAAAAAGGGGAATGGCAAGGACTGAGTGGAGAGGCATAGGAATGTCAGTATCACAGAATGACTGGCGGCTAACTTTATTTCAGACTAATGGGGATATTTCAGTGTGAATCAGATATAGTGAACACCGACAATTCAGTCAATCAAGGTCGTATGGCGAACTGTGCCGGGTCCAGTTTCTGGGGCTTGTGTTGTCATTTTAGCGACGCAAAAAAACGAGAGAGTAAATAGAACAGGAGGGCACAATCGGTGGACGAAGTTGACGGATGGGATCAAATGGTCAAATTTGGACCGCGCAGCCTTCATCGAGAGTTAGAGTTATTTTTTTGGTCATTCCCGAGGCCACTTAAAAAAGATGTGCATCACGAGGTCAGTAGTCGGTTTATCCGCAAAGAAGAAACTGAAGGGATGAGTAGCGACTAGTCCTCAGAGCATTGGAGCTAAGTGACTCTCTAGTCATCGAAATAATTAACAGATGAGCAACGTCGAAACGATATCGATGAAACCATTTTGAAGCTTGATGCGCAAGTTACCGCGTGTTATGAGGGTATTGAGACCGGATGTGAAGCTGTCACCTTCATTGTAACACCAAACTAGTTGAGGCACAGTTCGACCATGTGGATGCTGCGCAGATGTTCACACATATCATTCGTGGTGTAATCAACAGAAAGGTGTACCAATCGGCTCTAGTCAGTAAGTCCGTTCAGCGATGTGTCGAATTAACTGATGTGGAGTACAATTGTCACCATCACCATCGGAGCTAACGCACCTACTAGGTGAACGACCAGACGAAGCAAAGCGAACAAGGTTTGGAGTCAAACTCCCGCGTTTAAATCCGATGAGGTCTATGAGTGACAAAGAGAGTTTATGTCCCGTGCAGGACACCACAAGCCAGTGTTCCTTCAATCCAATCATTATGGAATCGCCCCCAAGGTGTAATGCTCAGTTAAAGGAAGCGAGTTATTAGGTGCGGGGTTGCAGGATCCATGAACCACCAAATCGAGCTTGCGGCTATATCGCTGTCGCATACAATGTTTATCGTTGCACGTATTCGCCACCCATGACGAAGAAGGTTAAGTAGAAACACCTCAAGTGGGGTGGCAGTGAGACACAATTCGACGCAGTAACCGAGAATGAAGGTAGAATGTGACCCAAAGAGAACTGGAAAGGAATGTTCGTTCATCTCTTATTAGTGTCAAAGCAGTCGAGTAGACAAATTAGCGGGAGCAAGCATGAAGAAACGGTGTATGATTGAACACGAGGTTATAGCAGAGAAGTAAGGGGGCGTACAAACTGCTTTTGTACGCATAGCTCCGGCTTGGGGCGGCGGATATAGATAGCTGCAACAATTGACAACTGTTTCTGGAATCCACTAGAGAATCGCTCAGAAATAGGGTAGATGACTCAGAAATCGCTTTCTGAGCCGACCTCTCCGTACCCAAGGAGAGGCAACAAGTTGGAACTATTAGAAAATCTCACTTCACCTCTGTAAAACCACTTCAGGACGTGCTCGCGAATCCTGAGATAGGGACCTCGTAGTACGACGTACGTACCGTGCACCACAGAAGCACGAGTAATGATAAACAAGCATAGATCGAATCGACGGATGCAGTAAGTCATCCAAAGGTTTTACGAGTAAAGGTACAGCTTACCACAACAAGCAAGGAACCTCGACAATGACCGAATAAATTAAAAGTGTAACCGGTTTTTGTGACCGAAAACGCTCCACACGAAAGGTATTTACTACTCGGAGAAAACGAAGGTAGAGGATAGTGATGTCATGCTGGGCAACAGGAACGAACGAAGTTGCCAAGAGATCGTTGTAGAGAAGAAATGTAACAAAACGCATCTGTCCACCAGCTATAGGGTCTTTACCAAAAAAAGCCGAAAAGAAAATGAGGGGTAAAACTTAAAACCCAAAAAAGAGCATGAAGTGGAACAGACGAGAGACACCAACTCACTAGTGTGAACAAGTTGGGACCGGCAGCCCATCGGCGAATACGAGTGAGGGGCCACATCTCCAAAATCTCCTTAGTCTTTTCGTCCACACGCATTACCCTTTCTTTGCTGACACCAAACAACCGTGGGACCAGTTTGTTACGGCCCTTCAATTTTTCCTGAATACAAAAACACAATTTTGCGAAGAATACTCTTTTCGACAAACCTCCTCATGCATTTACTATTATAAAATGGAAGGACATAGCACAAGTAGCTGATGAAGCCAAAGAGGTGGGAATAGTGGAATCACGACAAACAAAAACTGAAAAGTCTAGATAAATAAAGTCGACAAACCACACATGTGACAGAGCACGTGTTGGTTGATCGGTGGAATGACAAGCGCATCATCCGATCATTGTAGGCGCACGAAGTAAGTTGGTAAGCTAACTAGGGTCATAGTCATAGAGAGAGAAATGGGATACCCGGTAAACTGCAGTTCTTCGTAGGCATATAGCAAACTGGCAACGATAAAGCGAGTTGCAGCTGTGGGTGAAAGTGAGTACGTTACAAACAAGGAAGAAAAGGCTTGACGTATGAACTTCAATGTAATTTTGAGTGAAACTTGGGTAACGAGAATTATCACGATCACAAGCGCAATGCGTTGGGTTAGCCGGAGCCAGAGAGCGATGGTGCAGCCATAAAATAGGCGAATGGCGCTCCTCCGTCGGTAGGTACATTCGTGCAACCTAACCAGATGTGGATGAAATGGGGGAGGCTGTGTGGGGTTTTGGATGCGATTACAATCGCGTTCATATCTCCACGAGCTGATCACTGAGGTTCAATTACGAAAAGCAGTTTGCGATCACCTAAAGATAGACACAGTTAAATTAACCATGCAGCAAAGCGCGGCGGATAACATCACCATGACAGCCGTCACAAAAATACTAGCTAAAAAGATCAGGGAAGCAGGAGAAGGGATTCTGTCTAAGTAGAGTACAGTGAATCTAACTTTCACCACCACGGATGGAAAATAGAGTAAGGAGCAAACGCGATGATGCCATTCACTTCGTGATTGCCTCAAGCCCGACGAGCATCTGAACTGTGGATATTGCCGATCGCAGGGGGGCATTAAGGGGAACAGTATGTTCCAACCATGAGCAGTCTTGGGACTGGTTACCTCGGAGCAAAACCCAAATCGGTTGCACGATTATGAGCAAAAAATACACCGAGGTGGTCTGGCAGCATATACACGAAGAAAACGAGTGGCCTGGCCCCAGAGGAAGCCTTGTCAAGCAATAGTAAGGTTCAAAACTCTCCATTCGATTCTTGTACCAGGTGTGAGCAACGTCTCTCGGAAATATTTCCAAACCAAACAGAAAATGATGACGTACTTATTTGTGGTATAAATTGCTGTCGTACAAAGCAATCGATTGGCTGTCACTGATTTGTGGCTTTGTACCACTACTAGTAAGGTAGAAAAAGTAGAAAATCACTACAACAATCAGGCACTTTGCTGTCAAGCTACCAACATAGCCCAACTAGTGAGAAATAAGAAAGGAGAAGGAAGATGCAGTGCGAAACCGTTGTGTCGAACTGCTAGAATAGACCAACTCAGCTGCAAGCTGGAGTCTATCGGACACGAAGAGGTGAGTCATTTGCACTGATCAAGACCGTCCTAGTAATAGCCCGATTGATCAATGATTCTGATCTCAGATCAACACTAGTCTGTTAGTCAATGCGTTTCCTGTCTGTTTCGAGCTAACCTTTGGACTAGTTTTGACCTTTTGGCATCAGCTTGTTCTGGTCTTTGGAACATATGCTTATTTTGACCTCTGGTCACGAGCTTCATGGATTTTGGTGCTAGCAAACGCACCTTACTAGCAGAAACTCAAGTTCTTAAAGCAAATACTTATAACTAGTAAAGGTACAACAGTACACGGCCCAAAACTATCGTAAGAAAACAAGATTTTTGAGACAAATTAATTGTGGATCTCACAACTTTAGCACGAATAGCCCAGCGACATACAAAAGTTAAACAGTCTGTTCGGCAAGAAGACGGCGACAAACCCTCCACTGGTATCTTGCAAGACCACTAAGCAAACACAGGGTCGGTCGCATGGATTTCAGCTTGGGACGCGAGATGGACGAATAACGTTCGGTTTGATTGTCTGTGGGTCAATCCACGCTGACAAGTCACTAGCTATCCCAGGTCAGCCTAAAAACCAGGTAAGCAAAACAAGACTGTGGCATCCTCAAGGACAATGCACTGAGCCCTTCCTATTCGTTGCCTGCATCTGCTGGCGTGTGTTAGTAACCCAATCACCCACTCATCGATTGGCCTAATTTGGAATACTGAACCGATGCGTTGTACAACATGTTGGTTAGAGTAGTTTTGCCTTCCGTGAGCCTGACGTGTCTTGCTTTGTAATACTTCGGCTAAGAGCCAACCACTGAGCGTTAATCCAGCAAGTGCTAAATTGTGACAGTGGGCGAAGAAGGCTAAAATTGGAATTATTTACTATGAACCATCTTACAGCGTCGGATCGCTTTGTAAAGGACACGTCGTCCAAGCTATCCTTAGCAGTTTGGAACCGTTGGTAACGAACCATCTGTGACTACCGATTTTTTCATAATTACACTCCCCCCCCCACATCCAACTTAGTGAAACCCAATCTAGCAAACTATTATGACAACACTTCGATGCAGGTCAACGATATTTTCATGCGTTGCGTTTGTACGAAAGCACACCCCTGATGGAGTGCTTTAACGCCTTGAATGGTCGTCACGGGCCGCGGCAACATGTTTTTACTGGGCGCCCAAGTTTTTCTCAATTACGACAGGGAGGAGTGTTAATGAATTCATCAGTTGTATACAACAGTCCCTTCCTGACTGCCGTTACAATGAAACTCCAGTAACGAAATTCGAGGAGTCCATGGCGGTGCACTGCTTTTGAGTGGCATTCAAGACGATAAAGCTAGAGAACGGTTGCCGTCAGAATACGAGAATAAACTCACTTGGGAAACAGCCTGTGCACTGGTCAGACAAAGGGAAGGCGTTATGCAACAATTAACCCATTACCGGTTCTCCTTCAGATGCTGTCCATGCGGTTAAATCTCGACTATCACCCACCAATAAATGTTTCTCTGCGTGCTACCGATGGGGCGAGAAGCATGAAAAGGTTATTCATTGCAGACACAAACAGTCTACTTGTTACAAATGCGTGTATGTTGTTCGACTGTCGTTCAATGACCGATACCCCGTCCTGCGCAACGTACTGTTCGAACTGTGAAAAACGCTGCCGATCCCATATTCTAGCTAATTTCACACACAACCACATCGCACGCATGGGGAATGCCCTCGTACACCGTTGATTTAAACATTGAAGGTAAGTCAGTACGTCTGGAGCGATACAGGGGCTTTGGTTACATTGATCAACAACCGAACTTTACCCGACCTAGTTTTGACTCCGACTCAATCAAAATTACGAGTATACAGTGGGGAAATACTCGATGTCTTGGGTGCGTGACGTGAAAGTAAATCATGGGGACAAAACGTTGATCTTTCCTCTAATTGTTGTTAACACAGACGGGCCGAATCCACTTGGAGGAAATATTACAATCTGTCAAGAAGGTAGACAGTATTTTTGACTTACTTGCATTTTTGAAAGTTTTTGCCAGTGTTTTCAGTAAAAACATACCTAGGGGATTACGTGATGTTAAGGCTTGCTTGAATATCAAGCCACAGATCCAACCGAAATGTTATAAGGCACGAAGTCTACCTTGTGCAATCCGTCCGAAGATACAGTTAGATCGCTTACAAAAGACGGGATATTCTCACCCGAACGCCACTCTCTCTGGCCTGCACCCACTGTTCATGTACAGAAGACTGATGGTTCAGTTCGTATTTGCAGCTACTTTAAACTGACGGTTAATAAAGCGACAACGAAGGTACATTATCCGATTCTAAGGATACATGACCTTTACGCATCTTTGTCGGGTGGATAAAAGTTCTCGAAACGTGATCTAAGCCATGCTTATTCCCAAGTGGAGTTACAGGTCTTCTTAAAAAATTACAATTATCATGCATACATGAGATCATTCTGCTATAACCGATTACCATTCGGGATACACTCCGCGCCTACGATCTCTTAGAGAATTATAGACAACTTAGTGAAAGGCACACCCGGAGTTTGCGCTAACTTGGAGGACATTTTCATCATCGTCAACAACAGCAGTACATCAGATATTTGAACTGATGCTTCGCTGCCAAGCCCTAAGCATACTTTTAGGGTCAAGGCACCTACACACTGCGTTAACAACATACCGTCACAAACAGTTAGGTATCGTGCAATAAGGCGGTATCGGCGAGACAGCTTCCTTGCGCCTTTCAATGCCACGCGTCATAAGCAGCCATTACGCCGCAGACAACTCAGCACCAAACACACTTTAAACAGGCAATCCGATTAAGAGACGGCAGCAGACGCGCCATTGGTGTCGGTTGCGAGCCATGTCCTGAGAAATCTCGAGCCAAGCACAAGGCCAGTCACGTCGACACCAGCCCGGAAGGCGAGACGAATCAAGGGCACCCAGTTTGGTCATCAGTGACTTCATTTCCCGCTGCCAAGTCAACCTCATGATTTACAGGGGCCATTGGTGTTGGGATAACCTGAATACGCTAACTGCCAACCCTACATTTTCCAGTTCCCGAGGTTTGAGTTCGTCAGACTTCCTTGATCGCTCCGTAGTAGCTCGTGACTGATGGCCGTTTGCAATCCTCCCATCTACCCAGCGGGTCCATTGAACAGTGGGTGTGCAAAAAGGCTGATAGTGTCGCACGTAGAAGCTCCCGAGCAGTACAAGACAGCATGGACCCTACTCCATTAGGACTGATTTTCTCCAGGACAAACAGTACACAGATTGTTCTGATAAGCTAACTTGACGGAAAGGCAAGACAGCATCTCAAATGACAACTGACTGAGTTAACGACCGGTTTCTTGTGCTGAGCTCGATGATCTAGTAGGGATAAAAGCATCAGCAGTCGACAGATACGTTCCGAATTCCACGCCCGGCTCGGTAGAATCTTTACTTGATGAGCTCCAAGGCTGAGTAATCATTGGTTGATTGGATTCCCATAAACAGCCGTTTATGTGCAACCCGTTCGACAAGATCAACTAAGGTTGAT